TATCCTCTTCGTCCTCACCCCGTCTTTCGCATCTGATCTCATCTCATCCCTTGCGATCACGCCTCCCGCTTCTTCCATCACTGAGTCTCTAGTATAGTACCTCGTACGTGTGTCGAACTTATTATTCCCCCGATTATCCGGTGCATCTCCGTCTCGCCGTATTTAGTTACCTGTGTCGCGATAGATCTTCGTGTGCTGTGTATCGTACGGAACACATTCTTAAAGCTGTGCGCTTGCTATTTGCTCAGGTAGAGAGCCAATTTCGATCAACCTCCTGTACTGATTCGAACACCCTTCCTTGATCGAGGCGTTCCGCGAGCATTGAGTCGTGCCATCTGCGCAATCATATTCTATCCCTACGTTACTCGCGCCTACACTAAGTGACAAAATCGACGCGATAAGGGAAACGGAGGGATATGCGGGAGGAGGAATACCCGATATTGCGTTTCAAGTTCTCACACGTGAAGCGCGGGCGGCAGGTGCGGGACTGGCGAGAGGTTGGCAATCGTGTTCACCGCCTATCTGCCCGGACGTAAAGGGTCTTCAAGATAGCCCTACTTTCTTGACATGGCCCACAAGTTGCAGTCAAGGTCTCCATGTGCGATGGTGCAGGTTCGATCCGGCATCTTCGTTGTCCTCGGTACGTCCATAGTGTCAATTGTTGGCGTCATGCTCATCAACAACGACCATGATAGAGGGAGAGATTTGCCGTACTTTCGCACCGGGACGCAAGCACGTTGAAACCTTGCTACTTCGAGGGCATACATGCACATCACGGCTTTCGGATATGAAATAGTGTTAGGCATACGCCACGTCTACGCCACACCTACGTGTCGCCGGCATTGAAGTGCGCATGATTCACGTTTTGCATGCTATATCAACAACTGACGGCCATTCAAGCGTGACCTCACCCTCCTCGCTCCCTCCCCTCCCCCTTGCGCTCTTGCGAATACATCTGCACCTTCCCCAATGAAGAGAAAGCGCAATGGGAAAAACGGGCCGCGAGTACATGTTGTTGGCGCCGAAACGGTCCATCAAATACGGCCGTCCGTGAATGATAAGGGGCGTACCCAACTCCGACACACCTCCTCCGTCGTGCCGCCTGTCGACCCAGCCATGTTCGCATCCTCAAGCAAGGATGCTGAAGCACGGCAGACGCCAAGCAAAGAAAATTCTACCCCTGTTCGCTCTGCGTCGGCCAAATACTTCAGCGCAAAACCGACGGCCAAGAGGCAGCCTGTCGCGGTATGTGTCGCTGTTTATGAAGATGGTTTCCTGTTGAATCAGCGTTCTCATATCATTTCAGTCACAGATGGAAGGGTGGATACCTCGTTGTGATCAATACCTCGATCGTCTTATGGCTTCCGAAGCACCCGACCCCAGTCAGTTATCAACGTGTCAAGCAATCCTTCACGATGAAATGGGTGTGCCTCGGGTCTGCGGTAACCCCCAGCCGCGGATCAGATGCCGTGACTGCATCGACTGCTGCACGGTTCAGTGCGACGACTGTAGCCTACGCAGGCACGAGAATCTCCCCTTCCATCGGCTCGAGGTGAGTTAGGCAAGAACCGTGACTTACTATCTGTGACTTACGCAAGCCGCCAGCGCTGGAATGAAAAATACTTCGAGGATTCCAGCCTTGATTCCTTGGGCTACACTCTTCGCATGTGTCCCTTGGGCGAGCGGTGCGGCAATCCTGTGCCTGCTCATCGCAATTTCGTGGCATTCCATACAAACGGCTATCACCGGCTACGTGTCATGTTCTGCGGATGCGGAACAGCACTGAAATACGAACAGTTGCTATCGTTCCGGCTCTTTCCGGCTACCTCGACGGAGCCTCAAACCGTGTTTAGCTTCGAGTTTCTGAACTTGTTTCACCTGCTCACCTTACAAGGCAAGCTCACGCTCCACGATTATTATCAGGCCATCATTCGATGTACGGATAACATGAACAATGCACCCGGTGTGGTAGGTGATCTCGCTGGCGCGGGCGTCCGGATAGTAACACTATCAATAGTGGAGATACCATGACGCCATCCTCGCCACGCGTCAATGGCGGCATCTCAAAATGCTGAAGAGGGCAGGGAGGGGGAATGATCCAACAGGGGTAAGCGGTACCCCTGACGGTGGTCTTGCCGTGGAATGTCCCGCATGCCCGCACCCTGGACGTAACCTTCCCGACAGATGGGAGACGGATCCAAACATGTTCGTATTGTTCACTTGCCTATGAGCGCCTCTCTCACAGTTTCCGTTAGATGGATGTATACTTTATTCATCGCGATTGATGCCTGTTTCAAGCTGAAGCTTAGGAACCGTGGTTTCACCGCCCCGCCTCTAGGCGATGGCCTTTCTTACTTTGTGAAGGAGGAGAAGTACCGTGAGCACCTGGACTCGTGCTCCGATGAAGCACCGGAGGTAATTACGATTGATATAATGTCGTTACCATCGCTGAGACTGACCCCTATGTTTTAGGATGATGTCGAGCCGTGCGACTCGCATCACAACGCGGTCAGCCAGATGAACACGAAGAACAGCGGGCGAACCCTTCTTGTCACTGGACTTGGCGGGGCCGTGTGCGCTCGGCACTCGCTGGTCAGGAAGAACGGTGTGGCTGATTTAACAAGGGGCGAACGGTGCGTCCTCCTTTCTCTTGGTCCCACATCCCTTCTGAAAGCACTTTTTTGATAGACAAGTCACGATGGACTATATCTTCTGGACAACGATCTTCGGATGCGCGCTGTCGTTCATCATCGCCTCTTATGACATTGCCTGTTCCTGGTCAATCCACCTCATGGACCGACTGCAGCGAAACTATGACCCGAGTTGGGTGGCCGAATTCGCCAAGATGGTCTTTGTCTTCTTGCTACCGAAGTTACATATTCACACCCATGGTCCCAAATGCCGAAGATTGTACGACTTCCAGCACACGCCTCACGTTGGTCGCACTCACGCAGAAACCATCGAGCAATTATGGGCGCATCTAGGTGGGGTTGCGACGAGCATAGTCGAGATGGCTCCAGCCGCTCGACGTGTCACTCTTGAGGATCATATGGGCAATTGGAACCACATGATGAAGATGAATATGGGTACTTCCTTCGCTTTCAGTCTTTGGCAAAATCTAATCACCTACGCAGGTATCAACATGTACCGCTCACTCACCGAAGCGCTGGATCAAAGGAGCAAACATCGGCAGCTATTTGACGAGCTTGACGCAACCTTCGACCGACCGACAGTGGAAAGATGGACGAAGCTGGTGAAGGCATTCGAACGTGACAAGAAGCAGGGCAAGGACCCCTACGCAGAACCTGAGCTATGTAAGCGTGGTGCAAGTCGACTCTCTGCGACACTGACGTTTGATGTGCAGTGCAGACCTTCGATCAAGTTCGGAAAAAACTAGAACAGGAGGAGAAGGCTTCATTGAATGCACTTGAGCCGGACCATGATATTTCGCCGGCAAAATATGTACAGCAGGCCCTGAAACTTCTGGACAGACGGTAAGTTTTCCCTCTTACAAATGGAACGCTTGGCTTACGCTGCGAGTAGGCGCGCATTAAAGCAAGAGACCGACATCCAGCGATCGGAGCATCACCGCGTACTGCCTGATCTACAACGGAAGTGCGAGGCGTTGCAACGCGACGTGAGGAACTTAGCAGACGTCGCGCCAGTATACATGCCGTGCATTGTCATGATGCCAGGAGAGAACGCAGTCCAGGACGCTCCGAGCTCCCGAGGCCTAGGATTCATACACCTTCCCTCTTCGCTCGGGTCTGACCAACTCAGGTCCACCGGATGTATCCGAGATCTGGTCAAGACCGAGCTCCAGATGCGCATAGCCGAGGCAGCGGACACTCTCGAGGCCATCTGCAAGATGCGGCGATCGCTCATGGGTCTTATCCACAAATACAGGGTTCAGGTATCTGGATCTACGTCCGCAAAGACTCGATCGCATGCTATTTTGCAAAACATCGGCCGCAAAATCCAGCTTCTCGTCATCAAGTACCGCGATGCGCGTCTCGCCCTTCTAACGCTTAGCCCTGATGGGGATTGGAAGAACTTCCTGCATGAGCTTGAAAACGACGATGTCCGTGGCCCATACCCGGAGGAGGACGAGAGCGAAGGACGCCGCGAGGATTCATGGATCTGGCGATCCCGAGGACGACTAGTCAGAACGGCGCTCAACCTTGAAGCTTCCTCGGACGGCCCCAGGGTTGAATCCGACAAAGAACTAGATGATACGATGTTATATATGTGGGCGGGATCTCGTGCACGCGCATTCCGGTGGCACGAAGAAGTGCAACTCCTGGTTGAAGAAATGCGGCGCGTTATCGCATTCCTCAACTGGCAGGCACGCACTTGGGAGTCTACAATCGGCTCCCGAACACGATCCACCGACGGTGTCACCAGTGTCTGCGCTGCGGACATCTCTCGTGGTGCAGACTGCTACGCCTATCGGCAGGCTAGTCTCTGTCGCGCACTCGCAGAAGCGTTCGTGCGTCGATGGAAGCCACTACTGAATAGGGCTGGTCTAGGGCAGACCTGGCTATCACAATATCACGCATCCGCGTCTACAACTGTGCCCGTTCCTGGTCGTCCGCCCGCGTCTCAAGGGAAGAAATTGTCAGACGCTGCAGGGGATGAGCTGGACGCCGATGACTCTGTGGATGACGAGGGCGAAGAAGGCGCTGAGGGGGAGATCGAGGAGGACCTCGAGGAGGAACCCGGGGGGAAAGTGAGAGACACTGTTGACTCGGACGTGATAGATTACAGTATATATCTAAGCACCCAGTAGCGTGTCTTGTACCTGTACATTGTACCCTCGGTTAGTGCTAGCACGTGCGGTGAAATCACGTGCATCGCAAGAGAGGTTCATAAGCGCATCGCCTCCGCTTTTCCCTCTTAACTTCCTCCCTCTCCCTTCTACGTGTCGTGGGCACGTCTGTTGCAGCCCACGACGCTGGCGGCGTGTCCTGTTCACCACCCCTCGTCATTGCCTTGCGCTGCAGACTTCCCCACTTACGCTCGTCACGTACAGTCTTCAGGGATCTGGCTCATGCATACCAGTCGAACATTACTGGATCCGTTTCATCTGTATGGGAAGGCATGAGGGTGCGCTCAGCGCCAGCAGGTGCGTGTCATGTATCCCTTACGCGTATGATTGGGCTGACGTGGTGTTACGTAGGTCGAGCACGACACACCTCTGAACCATTCGACGGCCTTCATCACCAGCCTCCTGTCGGAGGAATGGACCCATGCCACGTCATCGCTTTGGTCGACCATCCCGCATTAGTGAGTAATATGGCACATTTGCATGGTAGTGGCTGACGTCTTTCTCTTTTGGGTAGGACTTCCCCTGTCGTCGTGTGGCTTCGGAAGGTCGTGCTGGGTAGAAAGCTTGCGTCTAGCGCCAGCAGGTCTGTGACTGTTCATTGTGTATACATTAGCGCTGACGCGGTATGATGCATAGGTCGACTGACGTTGTGCTTGTATATCCTAAGCTGGATGTCGTCATGGGTTCATGTTATGCCAGAGTTCGGTGGTTGACTATCTCTCATTGGTGAGTACTGTATCGCCTGTTCGTGTCGCTCTTCGCTTACACTCCTGGGCAGGCATTCCATGCATTGGATCGCTGTGCGGCACCCAGTGCTAGCAGGTGCGTGATTGTGCCCGCCACGTATGTGTTTGCGCTGACGCGGCGCGTCACATAGTTCGAGTCCCACAAGTATGACACGGCGTTGACGGCGAAGTTGTTCTTGCCGACCCTAAGCTGGGTTGGTCGGATCGGTCCATGCGGCGTCTGCAATAGTGGCAGGAATTCGATGTCATCATCGTTGTGGGCCGTGCGAAGATCGCGCTGTGTTGAGGATGCGTTTAGTGCTACGAGGTGTGTAACTGTGAGCCCTGTGCTTACCTGTGTGTTGACAAAACGGTATACATAGTTTCAGTGCATAGCATAGCCAACATTCATCCTTGACCATGTCGTCCTGCTACATCCCGGGCTGGATCTTGATTGGGTCGGTCCGTGCAGTGTCTGCGATGTTTGGAGTTGACCGTCCTACACGTGCGTACCGTCTCGCCAATTCATACAGCATCTAGCTTATGCTTTTGCACAGTCCTTGATACCCGCGTTGCATCGTCGCAGGACGGGGTCACTGTGCCAGGGTAGGGCCAGTGTGCTGCTTTCAGGTGCGCATGCAAGTGATGCGCAGTGTTTCCTTTGTGCTAACGTGGGGCATTGGGTTGACAGAAAGTGGTGTATTATGAGGTGGTTTCAGGACTGGTCGCTCGCCTTCTATGTTTTCCCGGTTGCGCGAAGCTATACCCCTGAGGGTAGAACTGTCTGACCTCTCTTATCCTTTGTTGGTATGTACGTTACGGTATTCTGCCGAGCTTGAGGCTCACGCTGCTGGGCAGGACATTGGCACTTCGTAACCGTATTGGATGTGGCGGCTCAGGTTTGGTCGTTGCATCGGAGTCGTCGCTCCGCACGCTAGAGCACTGCCATCTGTCTCGGTCCGCCTTCCGATATGACATATGTTGCCGACCCGCAGTCGTTCGCATCGCCGCATCATTGCCTCGGATTGCGGTGTCTCTTCCACGGAGGAGTCCGGTTGTGTCGTGCCGGGTTTGGTCGGACGTAGGAGTCGTCGCTCCACATGCTATGGCGCCGCCATGTGTCTCGGTCCGTCCTCCGATATGTCGTTGCGGACCCACAGTTGCTCGCATTGCCACATCATCAGAAGCTGTGTACTGGCGTCCCCGTCATGGCCGTGATGACAACTTATGCCGCGACATCTCCCGCTGTGGAATGCGGTGATGCTGCACTGGGTCCGGTCACTACGCGGGCTGCTCGCGCGCGGGGTTCACGCGTTGCAGCGCCATCCTCTCTATCGTGGCCAGCGGCGCCACATGTTATCTATCCACGTGGCGGGTGCTGCATTGTCCGGCCGTTTCCGACCCAAGCCGGGTCCGTGTGCCGCGGTGCCGTATCGTCGCCAGCCGTCCTACGTGGCGCCACCCGTCGTCCATCCACGTGGCGCCACCCGTTGTCCATCCACGTGGCGCCACCCGTCGTCCATCCACGTGGCGCCACCCGTCGTCCATCCACGTGGTGCCACCCGTCGTCCATCCACGTGGTGCCACCCGTCATCCATCCACGTGGCGCCACCCGTCGTCCATCCACGTGGCGCCACCCGTCGTCCATCCACGTGGTGCCACTCGTCATCCATCCATGTGGCGCCACCCGTCGTCCATCCACGTGGCGGTTACCGCGTCGTCTGGCTGTCTCCAACGCGCGCAGGGTCCGCGCGCCGCGGCGCCAGTCGCTCTCGCATTCCCAGTCTGGATCGGAAGTGTCTGACCCCCTGCTGATGTTTATCCCGGGTGCTGCCGGTCGCCGGTTCTGTTCGCGGCGCGGCGGTCGTGTACTGGACCGGGCTCGGTTCATTGACTTTTCGCCTTCACCGGCCCGAACTTGCTACATGCGAGTGACTTCTGCTGCCGAACTTCGGCCTACCGCCTGTCATTGGGGCTGTACATGTACATGTGTTCTGTGTTATGTATGCCGATTGGAATGCGGGTTGTGCGTGTACGCGCTCCAGGCTGGGCGTGTACACGGGATAGTGATCTGTTACATGTACTGCGTACAACCGTTGTGACGCTGTCTGCTGTACGCATGAAAGTACCATCGTACTCGTCAGAGAGGTCCTTGCTCTAATGGAAGTATGTACACGGAGGAGGCGTGTACGCGCAAGGATGGTTGCGGGTATAAGCTTGTACACAGTCTAGCATGTGCCCTATTGGTGATATTGAGTACAATGCCACCTGATTTTCTGCGGATTTGCTGTACACAGGGGGCAGCCAGCATTGTTTTGTTAGCCTTCTGTGAAACCCACGTTCTGGAGACTTACGAGGATCTAAGAAGAAGCAAGCAATGTAGGCATCGTCATCTGATGCATTGATCTGTTGATGAAAGCGGCGGTTGACAATTTCTCTGACAGCTTCAATGGTCTCCGGCTCATAGCGCAGAGATTTTGAACGGAATAGTTCATCGAGATGCGCAACAATGGCAAGCCAGAAGATGTAAACATCAGCTAGCGTAGCCTTCGAAGACTCCAAGCACTGAATGGCGCAAGCGACTGGACCAAGTACGGACAGGAGTTTCTGTAGCGCTTTTTCAAATGCTGCCGTCTCGACCGTGTTCGCCCGGAAGAGATCAGTATAATCCTGTGTAGCATCAGTGTATATACCATGATCTCCGTGCATAGTTAGCTTACCCCAATTTCAACCTCTAGCTCTGGGCTCCCGACGATTGCACGGAATGCGGGAAGACCACGTTCGATTGAGAGCCTGGTCCAATACATAGTGGCAAATCGGTGGTCAGCAATCCATTCCAGGCCTCAGGTGATACCCAGCTTCGCCCTTGTGAGGTTGAAGTGCTCCAGCTCCCACCCTGCATGCGACATATATGTCGCTATACCTCTGACTTGGGCGACAATCTGCGGTAGCCATTGAGCTGATGCATATTCTGAGATTACTATTCTTTACCGGTATGAATTCTGCAACACGTTGGAGCTCCTTGGAGGTGTTTCTCAGCAAATGTGTACAGTCTTGAAGATTGAGAATATGTGGTTGGTTGTCTTTCACAATCCGACGACATTTTCGTGTATTGCCAGTGTCATCGGATACTACAGCGGAGAAACGTGATGGTCCAATCTCAAGGAACCACTACGTAGGTAGGATTTCAATGCATGCATATCAGATATTGTGAACGACGTACCTCCTCAAGACGTTCATAGATATACCGGCCAGTATGACTCAACCTTGACGCATTGTCGATGTCCATCAGAAATGCACGACGATCTTGGGTCCATATGTGTACAGTGTATCCAGATTTCTTGCGTGAAGTACCACCATCAAAGGAGATCGTGAGGTTGTGGTTCTCCTGAAGAAACCGGACCACAGATACATGGATTTGCGCCGCATGGAACGGTATGAGACTTTCTGTGAGCTTGGACGCGGACGGTGGATTGTATGAAGAGTTGAGCGTTGCTGTATACTTTTTGAAGAAGGTTGAGTCGGCCACGTCGGGAGCAATACCACAGCAAGTCAAGAACACAACAAGGTCGTGGTTCGCGCGTTCAGCCAGTTTCAACCGACCTGTGGCTACAGCCTTTGCATGCAATCCACCTTCACCTCTGTTCTGGTCACCTCCCTTCTCCGGCTTGTGCTTCTTCGACGGTGGTGCTTCATCATCAGACTCAGACGCCGAGCTAACAATTACTTCGCTACTCGGCGGCACCACAGCACGGGGAGCACCATTCTTGTCTGCTTTCTGTGCAAGAAACTCGAGGATGCTTCGCCGTACCCCACGGTCAAGGTACTTGCAGTCCTTGGCATGATGAAAAATCCGTGTCTGGTTCCGAGGAAACACCCAGTGTGTCGCGCACCCACTACTGCCTAAGCAACGAATACACTTGGCTTCGAGGTTCACACTTTTGCCCTTGGGAAAGCACGGAACACTGACTTTGAGCAGAAGCGGATGTGTCTGGTTGCCACCACGTCGCCGGGAATTTGGAATGACTTCACTGGTATCTTCGAAATCTGAGTCGTGTGTATCGGTGAGGATCTTCGTATCTCGATGGTGATGTACCCTTCTCTTCTTCTTCGCAGCTGGGGCATCTGGAGCTCGAATAGACATTGCATCCTCCAACGACGGAAGCTTGGGAGGTGTGAGTCCCACGGCGCTATAACAGGCATAATTCTTATGCACCTCCTTCTTTTCCCGTGTGTAAAGATCCTTCGCAGCATCGATCAAATCATCCAACCACTTCTCAAGCACCGCATGACCCGGATACATCGACATAAAATCCTCCAGGAGGATGGGGAGATAGTCAAGCCCTGGTCCCTTCTCGACGAATTGAATAGGACCTGCAGCTCGTGAGCCGAGTTTGATCTCGAGGCCGCGATTAACTGCTGATGGAACATCTTCAAGCTCTTTGAGCCAATCTTGATCGACCGCGAATTCGTTGAACTTGTAATGCACATCGGCAACAGGGATATTGTCGGGAAGATTTTTTGAACTGATCAGGAGCCGAAGGTATGCCAGCTTTTCGAGCACGCTGTCTGAGAGCTCGTCGGCTTGGAGAGGAGGTTCTGTCATGATGCAAGTGGATTGTAAACTGTCGTAGTACAATTTGCGAACAAAACATCTGCAACTACCCGTAACACGATATCTGCACGTCCTCACATCGGGCTTGTCGGACACCCGCCGCAGCGCCACAGCTGGTTCACAATTACACACATTTACCACCCTCTCTCAGGCCCCACGAGATTGACCGGTCAATCACAGGTGAATTACCTCGGTAGATCTGCACGGTCATTGACCCAGGTCAGACTTACGGTACACTACAGCCTGGGCACCATTAAGACCCTTGTAGTAGGCGTCAACGAAGCGACGAGAGCGATTGGCAAATCTGAAGCAAGTACAAAGATAGGCAACATGACTTCGACATGTTGGAATTTGCACGGACGTGGGTCAATTGAGGACGACGAGTGGGTACGCTTGAGTGTTTTCCTTCGCAGTGATGGGTTAACTGGGATATGCTGCTGACAGCGTAAGTGGCCAGTAGTCAGATGCAAGCAGTTTGCCACGTACATTCTCTTTGTCCTCCTCTGCGCTGTCAACTTCATTGTGCCTGCCAGGTCATGCATAGCGGCCAAGATTGAATTTGCGCCAACGACCTTTCTTGTACGGCATAGCGGCCGGATGCTTGCACTAAGCTGATATCATGCCTGAGGAACTACGGCGACGGCCATAGCTTAATGACAGTGGTACGAAAGAAAGATGTTGAGATGCCCGCACGCGCACTGAAGGCAGTACATGGCGATTGGCTCCCCTCTCCTCTCGAAGATCTTACACAAGAATTTTCCCTATAGCTCTATGACTACCGTGTCGTACACATCTCTTTAATATCAGCATCCCTTCGAGCGAAAGCTTTTCTGTCAGAGCAAGAAACGACTTTGCGCGCGTATTACGTCTTTTGTCACGCACAGCCGCGTGCGAGGGGTTCAACGCGTATGCGGCCTACCTTAGAAGTACGAGGTCACGTTATCGACGCTATATCTTAGAGTCAGAGCCTTTTGCGGCACCGGGGCTGTCCATCGCTGACTTGCACTTGCCCTCCGACCACTACCACTTCACGCCGTCGCCTTTCGACGACTTGCGACACCGGGGTCACAAGAGACTTTGATCTCCACTCGATATGCCGAAGGTTCGTAGGGCGTCCATACAACGTCACCCACCTGGCATGAAGTCGATCTAAATGATCTGATCTTCACTGGATGCGCTCTTTACTCATGGTCTTGCCCGTTTCTCCATAGAATAAAGGAAAGGGTGGAAAGAATCGGAGAAGGGGAAAGAACGAAAACGACGATGACAAGCGTGAACTCGTTTTCAGGGAGGATGGCCAGGAGTACGCTCAGGTCACCAAGATGTTGGGCAACGGTCGGCTGGAGGCCGTCTGCTTTGACGGAGAGAAGCGGTTAGCGCACATCCGTGGCAAGATGCGCAAGAAGGTATACCGTTCTCTTGCCGTGCTCCGCTGCTATGGCTAAGTTTTGCCGGTCTGTGATTTAGGTTTGGATTAACCAAGGAGATATTATCCTACTCTCGCTCCGAGACTTCCAGGATGACAAGGCGGACGTCATCGTTAAATACACCGCGGATGAGGCGCGGAGCTGTAAGTACATCACGACTCGTTCTGCCCATCTTTTAAGCGCTCGCGCAGCCCCCTTACTGATGGTCTGATGTCGCAGTGAAAGCTTACGGCGAGCTGCCCGAAAACGCCAAGATCAACGAGACCGACACCTTCGGAGACGAGGAGGGCGAGTGCACATTCGAGTTCGGCGACGAAGGCGAAGTCGACATCGACGACATCTGATTACGCACCATCCTCCCGTTTCACGCACTTCGTTGGTATTTTCGGCCTCATTTATCTGCTTTTCGAATGTTTTTGTATGTCACTACACGCATCGCGCACTGTTTCATGTCATGATCTGTACACGCATCGCTGTATTTCCCATTTGTACACCACTTCGTATGAGAGGTTATATGAACGGGATTCTAAAGCACGCCGTTAATGATTTGAGATAGCAGGGGGAAGAGGACAGAAATAGCTCACACATGGGGTCAGAAATTTTTGGGAGAGGAAGTCTAAGCTCTGGTGGAAGCTGAACAACGAGTAGATGGGTCCAATGTCATTCGTCCGCCGTATGTGTGCGAGCCGATGCATCACACAGACATTATGCGTAGCGTCTTCATGTCGGGTACACACCCCTTCTCTTCTCGAAGGTACTGCACGATATCCATAGCGCCTTCTTTGACCGCTATCCTTAACATCTCCACGTTGCACTTTAGACGATCTTCGAGCCTTGGTCGTTTACTGGACGATCGCACCACCTCTCGTTCGCCCCGCTTTCTCTTCCTTGCCTGGGACGTGGGTGGATTGTCCGTTACAACGGACGATCCGCTGCGCTCGACAAGCATCTTCACCAGGTCAAGGTCCTTGCGCTTGATGGCGACGAGAACGGCCAAGCCGTCCTTCCACGAAGGATCGGCACCGTTCTCCAACAGGAACGAGATCAGGGGTCTGAAACCCGCATGGACCGCCATTGTCAGCGCGAAGCCTTGATGTGCATTGGTGTTCGGTCGAGGTATTCGATCGTGGTTAAATAGATAGTGCAGTAGGGGTAGGGGTTCATCTCTGACAGTCCAAGGTCCGTCTTTTCGGGGTGATAGCTCGCGGAACAGCCGCTGAGGAAGGTCCGGAGCGTACAGTGGGATAACGGGGCATGTGCCATCTCGTAGTATTGCTTCGAGCACGTCCCGGGTGCACAATGGATAGCGCAGGGCGAGCGTGATGATTCCTCGGGTTCTTGTGGCAGGCGTGCGGGTCGTGTAGTACTTGCCGATAAGGTACTGGGCCCTCACCGAAAGGGGAGCGACTTGGAAGACCCGTCGGATGTGTTGCGACGTATAGGGGAGCCATTCGGACAACGCATGGTACTGAACTTCGTAGAGCAACTGGGTAGTCACAATGAGCCATCGCGATTGACTTTGAGTGAGTTTACGGATACCTCTACTGGGAGTGTGTCAAGGGAGAGCCTGGTGGTCATGAAAGATCTTGCATGGCTTTTACACTCATCCGTGCACCGCAAGTGATCCGCGAATGACGCACTCAGACGACCCATCGCTTACACTCTACGATCACATTTGCTTATGGCGGAGTCAGAGCAAGAGGATATGTACTGCCGTCTGAATCAGGTCCCGACTTTGAAGGAGCTCTATAAATCTGCTATTTTGAAAGCCGTGGCTCAGCCGCGATATCCAGCGAACGCGGCCCTTCTGGACAGGGTTTCTCTATGGTCAGTCAACGCGACGTTCGTACATGCATGTATAAGACGACTCGTTTCCTAGGCAGGGAGACATCACGGACCTCGAGGTTGATTCCATAGTGAACGCCGCCAACAAGAGCCTCCTCGGCGGAGGCGGAGGTTCGTAACATACGTCCCGGGGTCAGATTACCACCGTGCTGATGTCCCTCTGCGCCGTGATCCAGTGGATGGCGCTATCCACGCTGCTGCTGGCCGAGAGCTCCTTGCAGAATGTATGTGCCTACTTCGCGGTCTCGCTCACCCGTGTTCATCACCAATCCCCAGGCCGCACTCTGAACGGTTGTGAGACCGGAGACGCAAAGATTACGAAGGGTATTCTTGCCCTAGCATCGCTGCATATATTGCATTGACCCCGTATCCTCTCAGGTTACAAGCTGCCAAGGTATGCAGCATAATCCAGACGGTGGCACCCTCTATAGCTCATCCGATATGTTGCAGCAAGCACGTCATCCATACTGTCGGGCCGGTGTACTCGTCCTCGAACGTGGAAACAAAGGCATCGCAACTAGCCTCCTGCTACCGCCGCAGTCTCGAGTTGGCCACGGAAAACTCCCTTCGACACATTGTGAGCGTTTCGCGGTATTTCGCGACGCTGGTCTTTCAACATTGCCCAGGCATTTCCCTCCATCTCCACGGGCATATACGGATATCCAATCAAAGACGCCACCCATATCGCCTTGACCGAAGTTAGAAAGTTCTTGGACAACGAGCAAGCGGCGAATATAGTCAGCGTGCTTTCTTCCCATCTGGGTACGAACCTACTAAACCTCCCACTCATTAGCTCGAGCGTGTGATCTTCGTCGTCTGGAGCGACAAGGACAAAGAGGTCTACGAGTCAGTACTCATACCGACACGCTATGAACACTAGAGGTTACTGACAAGGTCGCAGGCATCTTCTTCCAGATTATTTCCCGGACAACGATGCCTCCAAATCCATATAGGGCATGCCGGTTCTGCCGTAGCAGCGAAAATAGCAGCATTGAATGTATATCAGTACGCGTCGAGTAACGGGTTAGAACACACGCTCCAAACGGAGAACAATGCGGAAGTTCACCACAATTACCCTTTTGACAACGCCTTCGCGAAAGAACCAGAATTCTGTCACTCGAGCCACTGTATCGAGGCTTCGATGAAAGGGATGGCTCGTTGATCCACGATAAATAGTCGTGCAATACATGAGGGAAGTGCGGCTAGTACTACAAATTACACCAAACGCGAAAAAAAGATGGGTGATAGCGGCGTGTCCGGCAGGCTCTCAAGGGGGAGGGACAAAAATGGTGGCGATATTGCTCATAATGGGGAGAGAGGGAGTTTGTGGGGTTTCGAGAAGACGGCGATTGTGCGTTAAAGTATAGATGATGGACATGAGAGTGCAGAGGGATGTCATGACGGATTTGCAAATATGTGATAGATAGTGAAGAAAGTGTGAAGAAGGCAGGGATGCGTGGCGGGGAACGAAGGGACCGGGCAATTATAAGTGAACGTAGTATTCCGGTAGGTGCTGGTGTATGACGATGATTAGACGAGCAAGAAGGTAAAGGGGACGGATCCAGTATGATAGCGATATGCATCAAGACGGCTAGAGAGATGTAAGAAGGGGTGTCACGAACTAGGCGTGAATGCGCATCTCTGCAGGTAAGGGGGGAGGATGTCGCTGCAAGCCTTGGTTCAACGGCATCGGTACCGGCGTGCCAGCCAATGACCGGTCGATGATGGTGGCCGTGGGTACCAACGTCTCCGACGCGGTGGCGGTCATGTCCCGCGCTGTCGTCGAATCCTGAGAATTGTGACGGGAATGGCCAGAGGAAGAGTGTCCTGCAGAGGGTGATCGGGAAGGTCGAGACTTCGCCGCGGTGATGGGCTCATTGTGCGGGTAGTATGACATCCGCTGCGTCGAGGTGAAGTCATAAACGGTGAACCTATCGACGGGATCAGCACTACCACCCAATGGCATGTGGGAGGGAGAGCGACTGACTGCTCCTCCATCTGACGGAGCTCCGGCTTCATCTTCTCAAGGTCTGGATTTGCCTTGCGTTTCGTGTGCGTCAAGGGCTTTTCAACCATCAGGAACTCGTCGAGCTCGTGTGTCACGTCAAAGTTCGGTTTCTTTTGCTGCAGAGGCGTGCGTGTGAGCGCGTTAATATAGGAACACAACCATCGACATATGGGGAAAACGCGTACATCAGGTGTGAAGGGAGGCGTCAGCGCCTTGTTGTTCACCTGATCCCAATCAATCGACCTGAACCATGGGTGTTGCTCGATGTCCGAAATGCCTTGGCCATGAGGCCTGCAACCTAGCCGTTTCTTCGGGTCGCGCTCGAGAAACTGGCGCCAGTCGAGGCCGAATTAGTACGGAAAACGTTACAAATGGCGGTGCATGCAGCCCACCTGCCGTAGCGCACTAGCGCCCTCTTGGCTGACCACGTTTGGCGGCGCATCCCGCCGCGAAACGCCGACCATACCCCCGTCCAAGATGGGAAATCGGATCGGATCACGGAGAATGGACGACTTCATTTTCTCCGCGGTGCGCCCGTCGAACGGGCGGCGTTGGAAGAGGAGCTCGTACGCCGTCACCCCGAGGCTCCACCAATCGACACACCACGTGTAGCCCTTGCGCCCGCCGGCGAGCGCCCCGGTGGAGTCGACCACCTCGGGCGCCATATACGCCATGCTGCCCGCGACAGAGGTGTGCATGCGCTTCTCCGAGTAATGGATGGCGATGTTGAAGTCGGTAAAGTGCGCGTGGCCGGCGGCATCGAGCAGGATGTTGTCCGGCTTGATGTCTCTAGGAGCATGAAACGATCGACAAGGAAAGCGGACGGGCCGTGAGTGCGAGGCGAGGGGCTGTACAAGGCGGGAACGTACCGGTGCATGATCCGTTGGCGGTGGAGGTATTCTAGGGCCTGTGACAGCTCCGCTACCCAGAATCGCACGACTTCCTCAGGAAACGGGCCTTTGCGCTCCAAGTGGACTAAAGTGTCGAACAATGAGAGATCAAGCCGTGAGTGCGGCGACGTGATGGGTGCGGACGTACAACGCAAATCACCACCGAGCATCAGATCAAGAACGAAGAAGCAATTCTCGTCGTCCTGAAATGCGTAGCGCATGTTCACGACGAACGGGTGGTCTATCTGGGGGAGGGCAGAGATACTCAGCGACGGGCACGACGGGTCACTGCACGGGGCCAACGCACCTCCTCGAGCAAGCGCCGCTCCTGGATGATGTTCGCGACGGCTTTTTGCCGTATACAGCGCGCTTTGTCGATGTACTTCAGTGCATATAGTTTCTTGGTCCGTTTGTGTTCGACGACACGGACCTAGATGAAGTCGTGAGCATCGCGAGGTAAGCACGATGTCATGGAGTAGGGCATGCAACACCGTGCAACACCACCTCAACCGTCTAGCGAGACACACACCTTGCCGAACGCCCCCCGTCCTACTGCCTTATGAAGGTCGAAATGGTAGAGGTTGACCTCGCCGTCGAAGTCGACTTGCCCAGACATACAAGAGCCCATGATGAGCAAGAGCCAGAGGGAGGGGGGGCGGAACAAAAAGATAACCCCAGAGGGGGGAAGATAGGATGGCAGGGGAGGAGAACGGGGACTGATATGAAGAGGCGAATGTGAGACAAGACCGGACGGAGGGTATAGAGGCAGTGTGGCCCATCCCGTCACGACCGCTCTTGTGCCGTTCCTGGCTCCTTCCATTTTCGGACAACACAATAATCGCCCTCCACGGAACCCCCGCCGCCAGCTTCTAGCATCCCGCTGGAGTTCCAGCAGGTGTAGGATACAATAAACGTCCGTTTCGACTGAGAAAGGGGGCTGGAGGACGCGCCGGACAACGTCGCGCGAGTCGCGGTAGTCGACGACAAACGCATGGCCCGATCCGGAAGCCGATCGGTCTGTCCCTACTGCCCACAACAATACAACAACAACGCGTCGATGCGGGCGCACACTCGTCTTCGCGGAGTCGCCACGTTCCGCCACGAGGCCTCGAGAGGCGAGATCGATGCAGATGGCCAGATGGGCAAGGTTGCGGGCGAAAGCTTAAATTTCCGTTCGGGAACAAGGCAGGCTGCCGCATGGGAGGAAACATGCGTTGCGAGAATCACATAATCGGCACGGAAGTCGAAGGCATGCAATGTTTGCGAAGCTATCGACAGCTGGACATACTACGGCGTTTCCCGGTCCCTCGGCCGGGCACCAACATGTGATGGCCAACCATGAAAGAATAGAAGGCGCCAAAGCTCGTCAAGCCCTGCGGTTCCGCAGTGAAAGTGAAAGTCTATCAAGGCATGAACAAAAGGTAAGAAGGTGCACAATCCTGTCTGTGTGTTCTCTCGCCGCTGGACAATAACAACGAGCGAGTTGGATGGCCCACGACGGTCGTGCTCGATAGGATCGATTTAGACTCGGCGGCGGCCTTGTCCTAAAACGGCGCCCGCGTGGATGAGAGAGAAGGTCTAAAAGCTATTTCACTGCATACATTCACATTGGCGCACAATATAATGTCGCTATGACCTGATCTGGAAAACGAAATCAACATAGGTCTACTTAGCAGCATTGGATCGGATCATGCGTTACCTGGCAGCATTCCATCGTCTGCATTGCGGACCGAGTGGAACCGAGTGTCAATTATTGGCGCCATGCGCGGCGCTAGTCAACTGGAATGCATCGTAAGTACCGAACGACGCCCCAGAACGTGCTCCTCCCAGCTTCCGAATGGAGTACAAGCCCCAGCGTACGAGGGAGCGAGAAGCCGCAAGGACAAGGACATCCGGATATTAGACTGAGACTAGCCGGCCGCGGCGCCTCCACTGCGGACAACGGGCGTCACACGGAGTGTATCTCCGCATGACGCACGAAGATGCGAATTGGCTCGGGATGACGAAGGTTCACCCTGGCTGTCAATTGGGAAGGCGAGTCTTGTTGGCCGTGCGCAGCGCTGACGGGGTTTGGACGCGGTTCATGTCTTGGCGCAGAATCGAAGGTGGCTTCCTATCTCCAGTACAGAAGACTGAGACACTTGCCAGCTTCCGCGGTCTTGAGCGCATCGGGATGGTCTCATGAGGGTACAACAAGGATAGCCCTGGTTTTAACAGAGAAACGGGACCTTCAGAGAGACGAAACCCAGGGAACAGCATATTCACGGAGGCGGCTATGTCGGTTATCCGACCCTTGAAGGATGCTTTTTGAGCCAACAGGCGTTTGCGCAGGATTCGAAATGTACAGTGAAGCTTCCAAATCCGGTCGCCAGCAAAAGCGTTGTGGAGCGCGATGTCGAAGGGCATAAGTCAGCCGCAACGCAAGCAATAATCATCATGGCCGACGAGACCGGCCTTGAATGGGTATCTCGGATGCGCCCCATTTGCCGTTGCGCAGTCAGCCAAATATCACATTTTCGTCCCGTACGCAGTTCCGAGCACGGTTCTTCCGTCTTCATGCGATATGTTGCGTCCATGCTGAGATCGCAGTGATCAGCCATCAGAGTATTTCTGGGATGGGAGATCAGTTCCAGCATTACTTCGACCATCGGAGCGTTGTCCTCACAGGTTTGTCAAACTCTGTGTTGTGAAGTTCTTGAAGTTTTCGAAGAGATTTGATGGCGATACCGATGTTCGTAGGAGACCTATCCCTCGTAGGCCCTTGAGTGGTGTTAGAGGTAGCGCGTCGTGCCCTCTTGGTCCAGGATAGGTCAAATTCGTGCGCCAGCCGGAAAGGCGATGAATCTAGCAGAGCTTCTTTCATATGAGTGTATTTCTGGCATGCTCGCCACTGCTAACAGAAACTTCTATGATGGACGGGAGTCCATAATCCAGACAGTGAGGTTTTCTCATCAACGGGTAGACATCTGAAGAGGCAATATCCAAGGCGGAACTGGATCCGCTGTATTTGCCAGCGCATCCTCCTGCAAGGCTGCAAGGGATCATAATGCCGCATATAGTGAGGCGCCATAGAGTGTCTGCGATCAAAGCACCAGTGTAAGCACTTGTGTTCCATCACCGCTGGACTTGATGGCGAGTCAACAAGTATTCCGGGGGGTTTCGCCTGCGAGTGGGTCACCGGGACTACCAGTGTCCAAAGGCGATACACAAATTGTCGGAGTGGACTTGAATAGGTGCAATCGGTTCATGTGTACCGAGTCAGGGAAATGCAAATAGTGCAAAAGACGCGAACTCGAAGATGTCCAAGCCTGGGGAGACAAGGCGACGCCGCGACGGCAAAAAAGTGACGCCACGTGCTCAATGCTCACGCGCTCACGTTTCGTAACGCTGTAAACGCGTTTTGTCACGATCGCAAAAGTCGCGTTAACGCTCCGTACCACATACTTACATGATTTGAAGCTATTGCTTCCAATACACGACGTCAACAGGCGGTATGACTTCAACAACGAACCAATACGGCGAACTCGCCACACAGCTGGTCACGGAATCCCGCCGATCGACTCTCACAGACAACTTGCTCAAGTACAACGACCCGCTCGTTCGATCCATCGTTCGCGAACAGCGTCAGCTCGAGCAAAGCATCGCGAACGCTCTGGCTGAATCCTCACAGCTCGACGAAGAGAACGCGAAGCTCGATGGGGAAGATCCTCACACTCCCGCCCTCCTCATCTTCCAGACCGCGATTGAGCGCAACAAGCGCTGCCTGCTCGCGTACCACCAACATCGTTTAGACCGTTTGCGCGACATGTACTGGTCCGCGGGAGGATCCCTGCCACATCTTCTGTCCTCTGCAGATACACGTGCCAAACTCTCGCCACACGAGGTCGACTTCCTCAAGGCGTACAACGCGTCCGTCATGGACTTCCGTGGCGCGTTCAGCGACGAGTTGGACATCACGGCCAACATCATGAGCGTTCCAAAGGATCTACACGTGCTCGTGCGGGTTGTGAAGGATTGCGGGGTGATTCAGACCGAGCTTGGGGCTATCGACTTCAAGAGGGGGCAGCGGTTCATGGTGCGGAGGGCGGACATCGAACACTTGATAGTGCAAGGATATCTCGAAGAAGTGTGACGAGGGCCTCGGCCTATTTTGATGTTGCTCAGGACCCTGGGTTATTGCAGCACATTGCAGGGGCTGTGCTACGCCGTCGCAGTTGTCCATGGGAGCGTTTCGCCGTGACGTTATGAAGTTCGGGAGGTAACCATGGTTCTCTCCCCTGCATCGCGAGCGATCCTCTGATGAGCGCCCTCTACAGATATATTTCCCGGTCATATCTACCTTATCGAGCCCTGCTGTGGTTGGCCTATCGAAGGCAGTGTGAACTGGCAATGTGTACTTTTATATTTAGTGTGGGATAGCATCGCCGCCGATACTCTCTACTGGAGATATATGCTCGGTATTACGATGCAAGTGACCCCTTGGTCTTTCAAGCACACGCACCACCTCGCAGGCTCGAGTCTTTTCGTTCGACATGGCTGGGACATATGGCTACGTAGATTATTTGAACGACACTCGTTGTTTCATAGATCAATCGGTTCTCGCCTACCCTTCGATTGATTACTCGCCATGCACATGGACCCAGGGCATGGTCAACTTTCTGAACTTGACGGGAAGCGGTGGAGGCAACTCTAACTATATTGGCGCATACTGCTTGAACCCGCCGTGAGTACTCATTCTTCCTATGCCGCAAAGCCACTTTTGTCAATCCCTTGAAGCTGACCTTGTCACGTAGTTCAGACGACGACTGCCCTTACGGGTACTGTTCCCAGTCTGATATCGCAGGTAAGTCTGAGCGCCTACGCGTCATGCAATTTGTACTCAACGATCTCCCGCGCATGCAACAGGACCATTAGTGCGCATTGGCGGTAAGTCATCGGGTGCATTCGTCTTTTTCAGGCTGGTTTATTGAAGTTTTCAATAGCGTACCTCAGTAACTTGTTTCTATGTATGTTGCACCTCATACGGTGCTAGACAAAACCATTGAGGACCTTCATAGCTCTCCTGATATTCTACTCTCCGGATTTCGACGATATCCGCGAGTCATTCCAGGCCCAGGTACGAGGAATCGTTCTCCACGCCAATTTATCCTCGCTGAGGTCGAGATATATCAGATCCTTACAATCTACTCGTTGGTAAAGTTGTGTTCAATGGAACACCTTGATTGATCTCTGAGGGCTTCTTCTGTTCTTCTCCAGCTGTTCGCCACCAGCATAGCGATATTCAAGGAGCAGCTTACAAAATTCCATGCAGTCCTGTCAAGGTACGCGCAGGTTGTCGTTAACTCGGTGTCCATTCGCTGACTTCCCTGCCGACGAAGCATCATTGTGGGCTCGCCTGTGACGCTCTACCTCTGGGTCTATGCCACCCTCTCGCTTTTTGGAAAGCGTCATCGCTTGTCCGGGACACTTGGTCCCGCTCCGCGGGAGGAGAAACGACGTGGTCGTCACTTACTCTCGAAGATCCTCGTCCTCGGCGCCTTCGTCATGTGGCTGGCGCTCGTCATCTTCATCTTCACAGCTCCGTCCCATCGATTCTCGCAGCCGAACTGCGACGTCTATCGCAGTGACATCCTCATCGAGAAGTTCTACGCCGCCGGTGGCGTGATCTTGGTCCAATTGGCGAAGATATCCAAGGCCATGGGTTCGGTGTTCTCTCTCCCGCTGTTGCTCACCATCGTCGCTTGGATAGTGGTGATAGTAGCGCGCAGGAAGGAAATATGGAAAGATGGCTACTCCTGGCACTTTTGGCAGGTCTGGTATGTGCGCCGTGCTCTTTTGGCAGTAGGCGGCGAACTGACTCATCCTGCTTCCAGGCATTTCGTCAGAGATCGGTACCCGTTCATTCATTTCACTTCCGTCATCGCGCTCCCCTTTGTTTACTGGGTGCTTACGGTACGGGCGCGTGTTCTCTCTTTCGTAGCATCCTTTGTGAATGACGGCACTGTATTCAGGTGGAACTCGGCCTCCTCGGTACTCAAGACAACGCAGGATGGAATGTCTCCTTCGGTCAGGTTCGTACTTTCCTGTCCTAGCCCGACATCTTCTCGCTGAACTGAAGTGCATCCAGCTTCTGGCACTATTCATCGTAGTGCAACCGGCGCTCTCTGTCCTCCCCTTGTTCAAGAAGCTCGGTCCTTGGTTCATGGACCTCACCTGGGTGCGAAAGTGCTTCTGCTGCGGCAGCCGCCGACAATCTCGACGGGCACGCGCGCAGATCGGCCGGGTTCCCGATCTCGGAGAGCTGGTCCAAAGCGAGAAGATCGATGTCCCGCTGGATTTCGGAGGGAGAAACGGCAGCGATCTGACGTTGCACATTGCTTATGGCGACGGATTTTCCAAGGTCTAGCTTATGTATATATAAGTACGGTGTTCGGTTTTTCAATGCTTGCTCCGAAACCAATTCCTCCGCGTTTTCACGAACGCAAGGGCGACGCCAACAAGTGCGTCGGGACTAGCCTCTGTCACACGGGGGGGGGGGGGTTGCTTCGGGGGTTGGGCGACGAGGGGACAGTTCAACTCATAATGCAACTACCACGCCTGACCGGACCATATTGGGTGGGTTAGGTGTATATGAATGCTCTGGTCGTGTGCCATGCGCGTGTCGGTTTACATATATTTTGGGATTTATACCGGTTGCAACGGGCCGATCTCAATGAGATCCAGGGGCATTCATACTGAATGGGGAACCGTTGCTGACCATCGCCTCACACGTCTGCGTCGAATCTGCGCCGCCTTCCGCTGAGCGTCCTTGGACAATAGATATGAATCGGATGAGTAGGATTCGTTGCAAGGGATTTCGAACCGACATATCCGTAAAGCTCTGCATTGTACCAAGGTTTCGAAGAAAGCAGGAAGATGCCATTCTCAGATAGTCCACACGGTCCGGAAGAAGGCATTGGTTCTGCTGTGCCGTCTCTGTGTCAGAAGATTTGCCCAATCCGGGCCACGATATGCCGGCTGCTGGACGGCACCAGGTTTGGCGTCGAACTAGGGTGCCACCTCAGAGTGAGTGGATCGCTGGCGGAGTAGCGAACGAACACCAGGCTAAGATTGCCGGAGTTTAACTAAGCCCGAGGGCATGTACTGACAAGGAACAGAGATCGCACAATGACGATCAAGATCGGGTACAGCGACCATCTCAGGCGCCTCAGTAAGGCAAGTCTCGGAACACATGCCTGAAGCTAATCGTGAACTGCACCAATGAATGTGCCGCGTTCACAGGTATTAAAGTGGGTTATCTGGATGGCTCTTAACTTGTAGAGGCCCGAAATAGGCCGGAAACGAGTAATCAGACCAGATCTATCAGAGAAAGGGAAACATAGCTTGATGCAATGGCAGCCAACGCGAACGTGCATGAACAATCAGGTTCAAGCTGTCGAAGAGTCGGCAATCCAGGCTCATCGAGGGCTCCTACGGAGTTCGGCATGTGCAGCATCTCCGTCAGCTTGTACGGATGTCATCTCCAGGCACCGCCGGAGGACTTCTCTAGCTGCGCCAGAACTCGGAGAGGACGGAGAGGTGAGACGTAAATGCGCCAAGCTCGGTTCTTTGGCTGGATCTTCCGGAGAAGCTATATCGAGCGGATATTCGTAGAGCGGGAACTGCTGTGAGCCCTGTGCTATATCTTGAGTTATGAAGAAGCTTTGGCCAACGGAATGGTTCGCTTCTCTGCGCGAACCCTGTGGCCGCACTGAGTCGACGACCCTCCGAGTCGTCCAGCGGCGTCCACAAGGGCAAAATTTCGGGCCCGATGGCACCCCTGACAGCCTTGGCTGTGGCTCTCGCTGTGCGATCGGACGCGGAAGAGTTGTCAAGCGGAGCACTGGAGCGCGGGCAGGCGCGGGTTCAGCATGGTTCACTTCGCACGTTCTACGAATATCGCGAAGCGGTCGTCCTGAGGAGTCGTGGGAACTGTGGCTGTGTAGCGTTTCCACCACTCGCCGCACGAACGTGCGCGCTCTGGCGCACTCGTCCACTAGCTCCTTTGATGCGACGGAGTGCCTGGGTCCGAAAGGGCTCCTTTATAAAGATGCAAACGCTGAGTTTACAGTTATCGGTCGCCACTTCGCACCGCTCCCTCGCAGGACTTTCGCTCTCGTCCCCTCTATAATATTGCGATGGCCGAACACGACAAGACATCCACTTCTTCTATCGAGAAGCAGCCTGCTGTGTATACCCTCGATGAGCGGAGGCGTGCGGCCCTCGCAGAAGTTGACAATGCGAGCTTCTCGTGAGTAATCTGACCCCGTTGTCAGTGGGCGCGCCAATGTTCTGACACTTCTTTAAGATGGTTCCATGTTAAAGTCTGCATGGTCGCTGGTGTCGGTTTCTTCACCGATGCGTAGGTCGTATCTCGGTACGCTGTTCAAAGCAAGCGCTGATAATGTTTGTTGGCAGGTACGACATTTTCGCGATCAATATCGCGTCGACAATGTTGGGATACGTTTACGGTCCCGGCCACGCTGGTGCCTTGATTGCAAACCAAGACCTTGGTATCAAGGTCGCTACGCCTTGTGGCACTCTTGTCGGTCAACTGCTGTTTGGATGGCTCGCCGACATCGGTATGTAGACGTTAGCTAATATTCAATCCCTTTTACTCACTGTTCCTTCAGTCGGTCGCAAGCGAATGTACGGTATCGAGCTCATGATCATCATCATCGCGACTTTTGGTCAGGCGGTTGCTGGCCATGGACATGCAGTCTCTCTCATCGGCGTCCTCGTCGTATGGCGGTTTATCCAAGGCGTCGGTATTGGAGGAGATTATCCTTTGTCCGCAGTAATCTCGTCCGAGTTCGCTGCGACGCGAACGCGCGGCAGGATGATGACGGCAGTTTTTGCTGCGCAGGGCTGGGGAAACTTTACCGCCGCCCTCGTTGGCTTGATAGTCGTCGCCGCCTTCAAGAACAAGATTATCCACGATGATCCGAACGAGTTCTTCCACATCGATTTCACCTGGCGCCTGCTCATCGGTCTCGGATGCGTGCCCGCCGTGATCGCACTTTACTTTCGTCTTACCATCCCCGAAACTCCCCGTTTCACCATGGACATCGAGCGCAACATCAAGCAAGCTGTGTCTGACGTCGAGCATGTTCTCAGCGACGGCACTTACGTGGTCGACCCTGACGCAGTCGTGCAGCGCGTCGACGCGCCAAAGGCTTCGCGCCGCGATTTCGTCGCGCATTTCTCCAAGTGGGAGAATCTGAAAGTCCTCATCGGCACCTCCTACTCTTGGTTCGCTCTCGACGTAAGAAATACTCCGTCATTTCACACAAATTTTTATCTGACCCGCTCTTCCAGATCGCGTTTTACGGTCTTGGTCTTAACTCATCCATCGTGCTCACCGCTATTGGCTTCAGCGGCGCAGGAAAGGCGACCGGCGCTACCAAGGCCTACCTCACCCTCAAGAACGTCTGCGTGGGCAATCTCATCCTTTCTGCCGCCGGCCTTATCCCCGGATACTACGCCTCTTTCCTCCTTATCGATACCTGGGGCCGCAAGCCCATCCAGCTCATGGGATTCACGGTGCTCACCGTCCTCTTCGTCATCATGGGTTTCGGCTACGACAAATTGACGGCATCGTCCGGCGCTACAGACGCCTTCGTTTTCCTCTACTGCTTGGCCAACTTCTTCCAGAACTTTGGCCCCAACACTACGACCTTTGTGGTACCTGGTGAGGCGTTCCCGACGCGCTACCGTTCGACCGCGCACGGAATTTCGGCTGCCTCTGGCAAGCTCGGCGCCATCGTGGCGCAGGTCGGCTTTGCGCGCCTGAAGGATATTGGCGGCAAGAACGCCTTCGTCAAGCACATGTGAGTCTCTTCTCCCGCCTTCCTATTTCCTCGGAGCTCCTTGCTGACGCGCTCATATCCTGCAGTTTGGAAATCTTTGCGTTCTTCATGCTGACCGGCATCTTCTCGACCCTCCTTATACCCGAGACCAAGCAACGGTCTCTCGAAGAGCTTTCGAACGAGACCCAGGAAGGCTTTGTCCGTGGTATTTCCAAGCCGAAGGACGGTCGTACAGTTCCCGCTGCCGCTCTCTAATTCCCCATCTTGCGGTCTGTCGAGACTCTGATGTAACCTTTAAAACTCCTGCCTGCTACTCGTATCAATCACGAAATGCTATGCACTCTCGTTTTCTCCTTGTGGGGTGGATGTCGATGTAATGTTAGGTAGACTAGAATCTGGATGTTGTAATGCCGACATGAGAGCTACGCTTGAGTGTGACATAGCGCGACTAATCGTGACCGATGTGACAGCGATCTTACAACTGCATGAAGACAAGCATTGTTCACTCGAAGGCCGATCATCCTGGACTTCCGATGGGATGCCTGGCGCGGACAATCAGCCCACTCTGGTATCTGCATGCGACAACAACTTAGTCGTGTTCTTCCTGGGTTTCCACGAGCGTGCCGTCCGGCACAATACGACGCCACTCATGCAATGTGTGATCCGCCGAACGACTACGTTTGACAGCGAAGGAATGTGGAAGGAGCACGTTCGTGCCGTTCGTGCCGTTCGTGCCACTTACTGGGAAAGTCCAAAGATCTCTGACGAGCTCGGATCGACTCGTTTCTGCGCTCGTCTACACTTTCGGAAACGCAGCTTCGCAATTGCCGGATTGGCAAGATGAACCATCTTTCCTGGAAGCGAGGGGACCCCACGCGATAGCAACATTAGGGGGGCTCAAACCGGTGATTAAGGGACGGATTACGGAATAGATTCGAAAGTTGAGCCGCTACATTCTCTTCGACCCATAATCCGATTCTGCTATGCCTCCCTGCTACATCGGAGTTTGGAATCCTTCCCGCGTCACCGGGCAGCGGGATGTCCGTTCGACTCTTCATCCTGGCCATCCTGAAGAAACATCTAATGCACTCCATGCAGAGCATAGATGACTCATCACGCTCCAAAAATCATCACATTTTCAATGCAACATCGCGAACAGATCAGCTCTAAAAGCAGCTCCTCAGATCTCTCTAGCGTCGAGGCGCATGGCCGGCCGAGATACTTTAAGTACTAGTAGCCTGGTACTTCATGAGACATCTGCATCATCCACAGTGTCCAAGTACTCTCGCTGCTTTCTCCGTAGCCACGTGTTTCATCAGAGTGACTTCATCGCCTCGATCTGCTGCTTCCATCGTGAACTCACTCCTGACGCTGCTCGCGTATTTATCTTAATGCTCAGGAAGATGTTCTACAGTGCTTCTGGACCCGATGCCCACCCAACCGACACTGTCATTCATCGTAAAGCGACCCCGCACGGAATCCGATCATGAAGATACCGACGCTGTTTCCCAGGTTTCGAGTCTGAAAAAGCCAAGGCTGGGAGGATTGACCGCGGCAGGTGTTGGATGCGCTGGCGGACCATGTACAGCGAACCCAATAGCGATCAAGGCGCCCAACTTTGACCTTTCGAGCAGCGTCACTGAAACATCCGGAACGGTCATAGCGAAAGACCCTGACCTCGATTTGCTTCACTTCGAACCTTTCCTGAAGTCGCCTGTGAGGAAGATTCTGTTCGATTATCTGCTCCACGAGTTTCCATGGTATAGGGTGCGCCCACTCATACTTGCTTCAACGTATCACTTCGTTTGCTGAAACAGAGAAGGTCACCTACAAGATCCGGGGAACGACAATCAACACACCGCGATGGACCTGCGTTTGGGGATGCGATGATTCAGGCGTACCGGATACCAAATACAAGATACAACCGCGTCCGATTCCTGCTGCATTGAGGGAGCTGAAGAGACAAGTTGAAGTGAAGACCGGGGACTACTTCAACTTCGTGCTGTGAGCAGCCCCGGCAGCGATTTCCGCCGAGGATTAATCTGAATGATATTTAGGTGTAATTACTATGCCGATGGTAAAGACTCGATATCGTGGCACAGCGACGACGAATCGTTCCTCGGTCCTCTACCCACAATAGCGTCGCTCTCCCTTGGTTCTTCGCGAGATTTCTACATGAAGCACAAGACGGACAAGACCGCGAAGCAAGAGAAGTGGACATTACACAATGGAGACATGATTGTGATGCGTGGGCGCACACAAAGCCAATGGCTTCACAGCGTACCCAAGAGGGCCAATGCTGGAGGTTGGGGTTCATGACGCGAGCGATTAGAGGTGCGCTGACATGCTTCTATTTTAGGGAGGATGAATTTGACTTTCCGGCGAGCCGTGAATGCAGCCGGAACCAATAATTACTATCGGTGAATTGTATCTGTTCCAGGTTTCTGTGCGCCCTGCTAACGCGATCCTCAGGTACAATGTGGGAGAGGTGAGCTGCATACCAGTGCCAGCGACTGCTTTCTGACTGCACGCTATACAGGGACCCGTGTACCGGTGGAGGAACGGGCAAATGGTTCAAACATGACAGTAGATTGTAATCCAAGTACGATCTAGGCAACTTGCGCGTGATTATCAGAGTTATTTACGATCAGAGTTCGCCGAGCCTGTGTTTCTTGCATATATGTACCGTGCACAACGCATCTAGGAGTCAGATCGCCATTCTGGGATCTTGCGATGGGCAGCCGGTCGATGACGCATGTTCAACCTCTCCCGCTCGATCGCTCTAGGAAGTTCTTTAGAATTATATTCGCCGCCCTCCCCCTTTCCGCGTTTCTCAACCATCCCAGAACATTGCTGTGGTTATCCTCAGTACGTTCAGCGGCCATTAGGAAGTGTATCAGAGGATGGGGTCATACTTATTACTCTTACGTCTTCATCAGGTATGCCTTCACATAGCAAGAATCCTCCGCCGTCGGCGTTCTCTGAACCGTCTGAGCCGTCCGACCTGAAGCCGGAGGACAAGCCCAAAGATCAAATCACGGGGCCCCAGGAAGAGAACCCTCAGGTGGTCGTCAAACTTAAGCCAGAGCAGAAACAGCAAACCCAAACGTCGAATGGACCGAAGCCGAAGCTGTAGATAAGGGCTCTCCACTGCGATGTTGAACGCTCGGGGTGTATCATCGCAGGTCCGAGGTCATAGGGGTACGAACGGAGGAGCGAGAGGTATGCACGTAGGCAGTGCCAAACAGTACCCTGAACGGGCAGTATACAACCACTACACCCAAACATGTAGCGATATACGTACGAGCGAAGACATCAGGTTTCAACAGCCTTGGTCCTTTTTTTCTGTCGAAATCACCGTCACACTCGTTACAAGGAATGGTTCCGGAGTATAACTTACATACGCCACCGGCGAAAAGTCGTAATCGATTCCAACCTCTTGCAACTTCCGTTTTATGGTTTCCTGCCTCTTGATCAGGCGGTTCTCGGCCTTTTCTTGCTCTTCCTCTGTCCGAGGCTAGAAGAGGAGGGGATTACATCAGACCCTCGAGCTGTCGCATGTCCACAACACGCGTGCCTTATTATGCTTCACTCTCGCGACCGGGTCTCTCGGCACCCTCCTCCATTTCCTGTTCGCACCGATCCATAGATGGGGGTCGACTTCATCCTTGGGGATGACTTTGCAGCGGAGGATGTGACCCATTAACAGGTAGTTATCCATCGTCTCCGCCACTATCTGTGCGACCGAAGATGAATCGAACTCGATAAATGCGTAGTGCTTGGAACGACCAGTCTGTTATGGACGACGTTAATGACCAATGTCAGGGGTCGCCTGTGTTATGCTGCGATAGTACTCGCCTTCTTGTTCCGTGATAGCCTAAGCCTGGTAATCTCGCCAAATTGAGAAAAGTATGCGCGCATTTGATCCTCATAGAAACCGTGCGGTATGCGACCAAGGTATATCACGCCGCGATCCTGGTTCTGGGAGAATGAGAATGAGTCATTGTTGCGTCCTATCGCTCATGAAGGCTCAAAGGTGCGCATACTTACAGCTTCACGCTTGGCTTTTTCTAGCTTAAGCTTGACGGCTTCATCATCTTTCGCTATAGTAGGCAACTTGGAGACGTCCAACCCAATACCGTCTTCAAGCTCTTCGTCAGAGGAGTTGTCGTCGGACGAGAAGCCATGGAGATGGACATCGTCTGAGTCGTCTTCATCATCCCCCTCGTCGCTTGACTGACCGTCGGCTTCTTCGTGTTCATCGCCTTCATCTTCTTCGTCGTCCGCTAGAGATAACTCGTCGTCCGACTCGCTGGGTGCAGGAGACGGGGATTTCGCCTTCTTGGCCTTCTTGGTCGTCGCGACTGCCTTGACTGCGGCTTTGATCAAAGATTTCGGCTTCGCACCCTCGTGGCTGATGAGAGCAGGCTTGGGCTTAGCCTGTGCATTGGATGTCGATTGTTTGGTCTTCGGCGACGTCGTGACTGACGAGGACTTTCCCCCCTTTGCACTCCCTGCCAGTGAGGGCGTCACCTTCTCCCCGCCTTTCGACTTCTTCATCGGCTCCTGCGCCTTTCCCTTAGCCGCCTCCGTCTCAGGAGGCTCAGTCACTGAGTTCTCGACCGCCTTTTCCTTGCCTTTCTTCACTGTTCTCTGCAGTTTGCTCTGCTCCTTCTCCACCTTGGCTTTCTTAAGTTTCTTTGGCTCCTCCGGGGCGTCCTCTACGTGCTCGGCATTCTTCCTTTTCTGGCTCTCCTGTCGACCCGCAGATGAAGCGGGAGCAAGCGCAGGCTTCTTGCTGGTCTTTTCTGTAGAGCCGCTCTTATATGGTGCGGTCTTCGGGCCCGTTGACATTTGGGTGGGTTTCGGAGCCATGAGAGGTATATATGTGTGCACAAGAATCAGCCAGACGGCAAGTACAGAAAAATATGAGTAACGTGATCGTAGGCGGCTTAGAGGCTCTAGCCTAACACGGACAAACAGCGCCTCCAGCGATGCAGACTCCGCGATTCAGCAATCCTCATTTACTTGCTCAATCACTCGAACATACCACCCGTGCAGCGTTGTCAGAGGACATAGAAACTGACGAACTCGATGCTGAAGATGTCTCTGATCGAGTTTCCACGCTCGATGCCCTGATAGGCGCCTCACTTGAGGTTGAAGGTCTATCTCGAAAGCGACGCAAACTCAGCGAGAATGAAGAATCTCAGCAGCCTGCTGACATTCGTGAGTAGTTATCTCTTGCTGAATGTATGTTTTACTCATTGAGAACAGCCTTTCGCTTGTTATCCGGAGTACAATCTCCGAAGATCGTGCGTTTGGACCCGCAACCTCCACCTGCTGCTCCGAAGTATGTTCAACTTCATGAAGACCGGTGGCCTCTCACTCATGAATTTTTAGAGCACTTGAAAGGTCTTATCAGGACTCAGTCTCGGAGGCGAAAGAGCGCAAACGACGCGCCCGCGCATCCGCGATAGAGATACAGAATGTCACGCGCGAGCCAACGGTTCCGGTCAGCCCTCCATTGTCGCTCAGCTCTGTGTATACAATGAGAGCCAGACTGACACCCGCTTGCTTGCCTAGTCTGCGGCGTCTGCGAATGCTATATATCAGCCAGATATTCCTACTGGGATCGCTCGATGGCCAGAGCTTCTCCTCGTTGAGGTCGATCACGTTCCTTCACGGTCTCGCAAGCGAAAGCCGCTCAAGAACCCGGACAATTACGTGCAACCTGCCCCTCACACTCCTCGCCATAAAGCATCGGTTGCTCCTCTTATTCCCCTTCGACAGTTAGCAAATTCCACCACCGCTTACACGACCTCAGCCAAACGCAGGTATCGCCGCCGCCTTCTCTGCACCGGCAGTCAGTCACGAACAGAGCGCCAGCCGACCTTCTGGAGGCCGGAATCGGTTTGGAGAGGCAAAAGTGCCGGTTACGCTTGGGGCTATCCAGGAAGTCAACCTTTGGCATTAGATGATCCTTTGCGAGCACGATATGAACGCGATAATATGCGAAGAGGGGTTTGGGCCACCTAGTTTTGCACGTAATTGCCGTCTTGGGCCCTTGTGTATTACGTAATACAACAAATTCATCGAATTCATGCCAGCGCAACGGCTTGAACGCGCCGGAAGATTCTTGTTCGCTAAACGTCATGGCTGATACGCAGACCTCGCCATATGTCGCAGCAACAATGTACGTTCGGCCTGAGTTGATACCAAGCCAAGTGCCTGACACTATCATGGGGACGTCTCCGCCTGTAGAGCTATCGTCGTCCTTTCCATTCCATCACTATATATCTATATCTCTCGCAAGCTAGCGAAACGCAAGCTCGAGAAAACGGGCATAGGGAAAGGCGCCCCTGGCTTCTTGACGGGCGTGAAGCGCGTAGCAGTGACGCCGGAAATCGCAGCGCGATTGCGGCGAGGGGAGCACGTCAGCCCGGAGGAGATAGCGGCGTGCCAGGAGAGTAGCAGTGGTCCGCGCACGGATAAACCTACGGGACAGGATGCTCCTCAGGACGACAGCAAGGAATCCGAGCCTGACAACGAGTGGCTTCCTGACGAGCTGAAGGCGAAGAGCAAGCGGAAACCGGGTGCGAAGAGGGGCAAGAGGCGATAGCGCAGTGTAGTTCGTCCCAAGGGTGGCGACGATCAGCCTATCAGGCATTCCTTGGGCCTGGGTCAGGTGAATCGAATTTTCCATCGCTTTCGGGATACATCCGCTTCAGGTGTCGATATTTGCGAAGAGAATACAGCGCTAGTGTTTCTGGACGTTCTGAATAAATAACCATTCCCGGAACGAGGGATATAAATATTGCATACCATTTCTGATGTATTCCCCAAAGTTGATGGCCCTCTCGATGTCCTCTGCCTTCGTTAGATCCTTATTCTCTACGATGATTATAAGCGTTCTCCATGAAGCACCGGGTGATTTACAAGACTCACTCTCGAACATCCGTCGTATCTTGTGGTTGAAGTGATAACTGTACGTAGTTGAGCTCGCCATCCATCCATCGAGACCATGTAGCAGCTCACGATGGGTCTGGATAGTCTCGCCCTAGCCTGTGAAGTTCTTTGTACAGAGCGATAACACGGTGTCGCGTGCTGGGAGAGGGCATGGCGAACGTTTGCCTTGATTGTCGGCGACGGCACCGAGGGCGTGCAATAGGTGATGCAGTGGCTGATCTCCAGATTCAGGATTTACTGAGCGACGACAGAAGACCAAAGTGGGGATCAAAACCGAAATCAGGTCCCGAGCGATGAAGTGACCCGCGGAATCAGGTTATTCAAATTCACGCCCGAATTTGATGTAGAGTTCGGATACACGGATCTGTCCTACTTGACGACTCAGGGCTATTACTCATTTTTGCAAAATTACTGCGCAGGCAACTACCGCTGTGCATACAAGCACCGCTCAATACCCGGCTTGCGGAGCAGCATGGAGCACCTGATGCGCGCATTATCGGCATCTCATGTATGCCGCAGGTTGCTTCCGATGGCAGATCTCGACCTATCATATACTGTTATACTCAACAACGGAGAATGCCAGTCCGCCGAGGTGATAACTAAGCAAGCCTCAGGCCTGCAAGCTGGTTACTGGCTGCGCGTCTCTCTTGGTCGGTGCCTAGGAAGCGCTCGAGGCGGCACCGCCGTACGCGCCAGCCGTTCAGGGGAAGAGTTGTCTTCCAATGCTAGCTCGAGCAGCTCCTGAACGTATTTGTTGGTGCGCACGCTCAGGGACTAAACCCCGCGAAGGAACCGTGATTGAGCGACATTTTGTTCGTCGAAATGAGACTGTACCGTACCTCATGATACTTGAGAATCGCGCCATCTACGTCTCCCTGTAAGTGGCTCACGATGCCGAGGAATGCTAGCGCTTCGTCATTGTGGGGCGAGACCTGTATGACGCGCATATATGCAGCTTTGGCTTCGTCCAGACGGCTATCGTCGTGATGAGCGGGATCGGAGATGGTTGAGCGGGATGAACTAACCCGAGCTTCCTATAGCAGGTCCCGAGGTTGACGAACGTCGCCGCCCACGCTTGCATCGATCCCTGCACTACTTCGGCGACGCGAATAGCCTCATTGAAGAGCTCAGCGGCTTGAGCATACCTTGAAGGTCGGTCGGGTCAGAATACGGCGAAATGGCACAGTAACTGCAGGAAAAACCTACTCTCCGCGGGTATACGCCATGACCCCTCGCTCGTTGTACAACAACGGGTCCTCGTCGCATATCATCCTGGCAGCCTCGAAGGCCTCCTCTGCCTGAGCGTGGTTGGCAAGGATGATATGTTCCATGCCCATAAAGAGCATCGGCAGATGAGACCTACGGCACGACACGTTAATTTGCGAAATGCAAGAACGCGCGCGCTCAGGTCGGCGTACCCAGGGAACATGCGCACACATGTCGAATAGGCCGTGACGCAATGGTCGTGTTCGCCTTCATACGAGAAAGTATGGGCAAATGCAATCCATGCAGGGCCGAACCGTGGATCCATCAGAGAGGTCTTGCTACGTGATCTTCATGTCAAATTCGTTGTCGACATGATGGGTCAAAATCTACACACCTGAAGTACTTCCTCGCTTCACTCCACTTCTTCTGGCTCATGTACCAAACCCCAACAGCGTACCAACTGATCGCCGACTCGGGTTCCTTGTCGACAAGCTCGTGCGCAAGCACGAATAGCCTCGAGTGTAGGTGTCCAAGATGGTGCATACATGCCAGATGGAGAGGCATAGTCGGCACGTGCACTGATACCAAACCCAGTATCCTATTGCAACATCACGGTCAGCGATAGTCCAGTCCGGCGATCAGAATGAACAGAGGTTACCGGGACGTGATGGCGAAACAGTCTGCCCATCTGAACTGCGCATATAACGCGTCCGCAAACGCGTACAGCAAGTCTGGGTTATCCGCGAGCCCATATTCTTCCACCAGCCGTCGTCGAACAAGTGTATGCTCTTCGGTGTGTTTATACTTCCGAAGACGAGATGTGTAGATGAGACGAACAAAGTCAGCATCTTCCGGTGTTTGCTGATTGAAGGCGAGTCCCTCCACGAAATTCCACTCTGTCGGAGAGAAAGGTATTATTCCTGCGGTTATATCGCAGGGGTATAAGCGCACCTTCCTCCGGGGTCATCATTTCCCCGCTGACCAGTTGATCGAACGAGTCATAGCACTTCACGTCCAGAGCGAGTGCCTCCATGAAGCAGTTTTTCGCCGTCTCTCCTCTGCCGAGCTTCATCATTAGGATCCCCCGAAGATGGCACATAGACGCCTCAATCTACCAAGGTTATTCAGCGAGACAGAAAGACGGAATGAGGGGCACCCTGACCTTAATGCCACCGTCCGTGTTGGGCAATTGGATGGTATTGTCGTCTAAATTCAGAACTTCATGAGCGTCCCTCCTGAGACGCGGTTATTACCCACCTAGATCTCTGAATGGGTTCGCCTCTCCCAGCATCTCCGTCGCCTCCGCCCACTTCCCTTGTCTCACCTGGCACTGCGCCGCCAGATACCGACATGCCACGCTCATATCTACCAACCTGCTCACTTCGTCCTCACTGTCTCCCAGACCCTGGACGCCGTCGACGTTAACATTCCTCTCCGCAGCGACGTCGATCATCGCACTGGGCCCAACGGGGAGTCGCCCGTTCCCTATGCTCAGGCCTGTGCCGAGGTTTATGGGAAGGGACGCTGTGGGATTTAGACCCAGGTTGTTTCCTAGTCCGATTTCGATGGCAACGCCCAATCCAGGAGGAGCTGGATTCGGAGCCGGAGCTACAGCAGGCGCCTTGCCCTTTCCTCCACCCGCTTGCGCCGCGGCGTGAAATGCGGATGGATGATTGACTTGCGCACCAAAGACGAAGGGTGCTGCCGATGGTCCATTGGCGCTTTGGTGTTGGTACTGGTTGGAAGGCCCTGCGACCTTCTCGTCCGGGAGACGTTGGGGAGATTGGCCAAAGACGGATGGGTGCGGTTTGGGCGGGAGGTTAGGTGGGCCGGCTGGGAACGGGCGGGTGAGGAGCTTTTCGGCGCGGGAGTATTGATTAGTGAAGAAGTATGTTTGAGCGAGCCAAAAGGCGTCATTCGGGTCGTCTACGGTAGGAAATTGGCGTTAGTCGGAGAAGTTGGATGTATGATGAGAAGACATACTAGTCCAACTGAGCACCTTGTCGCCCCAGAATGCGGCGGTTTCGTATAGATGTTGCATCAGGGCATCGTGCCGCCACAACCGCATCCTATCTACGGCGGTCCACTCGAAGTCGTCCTCGTCCTCGTCCTCTTCCTGTTCGTCCGCGTCCATTGCACTTTCGCGCGTCTCGTTGTGTCCGTAGTCTTGGAACACATCCGTCGTATCCACAGCGAGCGGATGCCTCGCCTGGCTCTTGGACTTTTTGTGCCTGGGGCCCCGAGGCGATGACCGCGCGGGCGAGACGTATAAAGTTGACCGGCTCGGGTCGAGAGCATAGGAGGAGTACGAGCTGTTACGCGAGTGCGCATGGGATCGGGTGGGGTTGCGCGCGTTGGCGATGGTGCTGACGAGCGCTTGCGGACCGAAGGAGAATGAGCTGTCGATGGATCCTCGTGGACGGTGGCGTGAAGACGCTGGTGGCGAGGAAAGGCGAGGCATTGCAGGAACAGGAAATGGGACGTTTGCAGGCGTGACAGGATCCATGGTGCTTGATATCAGACGACGCGGAGTATAACAGAATACGATCGCGGCGCGCCTGTGGCTCTCTCTTGTTCACCTACCACGTGCGACGCGTTTAACTGACCTGCACCGTGCAGGCACGACAACAGCTCGAATCTTGTGAGCCTGTGCCTCGAGAGAAGAGTTTGCATCGCGGTAGAAAACCTTGTCCGGGCTCTCCCCGTCTGCAAGATCTTCAATCATGGCTGCGGTTGGTCGACAAATCGGATTCCCAAATTGCAACCTTCCAATCAATGCCAACGCCTACCTCCAGAGGTCCTGACGGATTTGCTTTCGGCTGACAGGTCATGGTATCGACCGTTCACATGCCCTGGTCGATGTTTCTCTCTCGACATCAGAACGTCCTCGTTGTGGATGAGCAACATGTACAGGGCCTCCAGTTCCTGCGCTTACACTACCCCATACGACTTTTTGTTGATTTTCGAATCAGAGATGATTTCCCCAACCACCATTGCCATAATCACGAACACCGTCCCCGCGACTGGGATAGACACGTTCTATATTTGAACTTCCAGCGCAGACCTGGCGAGCGTTGTTGGGGCACATTCCTGACGTATTCTACTTGACGATGATCGCAGGCGGTCGTACGATGGCTACTGTGCGCAATGTTTTAGGAGGGCCCTCCGATCGCAACGCCTGCGAAGTTATCTGCCCCGATTTACGGGCATCTGGTCTGGGAATATAGCCACACGTCCGCAATTGGCATTCATGTCAGTGGGACGGAGGATTTGGAGTGATGGAGAGAACAGCCCAATTGTTGATCGTAACGCCCGCAAGAAGACCGGGGCTCGCCCGGGGAATATCATCCTCACATTGGCGAAAACACGGGCAAATATAGGTCGACCCTTGACGTCCGTGTCCATAATCGGCTCATACCTATACCTGTCCAATTTCCGAGAGGCGGACCAGATACGGGATCTTCGAAGCTTCGTTCCTACCAGATTGATATGCGCCGGCCCCCCTTCCTAGTGAATGCCAATGTCGTCCAGCCGGGCCTGAGGATTCGTGCAGCAGCGCTGATGATGATGCCCGAGCCAATACTTAAGTCTCCCGATGGTGTCTGCCCTGCCTTCCTGTATGTTATAGTACTTTCTCTTCACGGCTCGGAGCACTCGCTTTACGTTCATCAGAGCGTTGTCGCAATATTGTACGTGTCCCGCAACTCGGCGAGTTTAACATGAATGCGCGCAGATCTATACGGCTGTAGACTGGTATGTAGTAGTGATTGCACGACCGCACTGTGCCTGCGTATGATACTTGACTGCATCGCAGATGGTGAGTTGTTCGATGTTTCAACCGACGTTACCCAGCCATGTCGCACTAGCGAGCACGACCTACATACTCACCTATTCTATTCTAGGATGTTTAGATCGACCCCGATACGTTTGGCAAGCACCACATACGATCAGAGCGCCCGTCTTCTCCATGAGGTTGTCTCTCAGTATTCCTGAGATGACGGTATATTAGAAGTAAAAACTCGGTGTCGTATGGACAAGTCCCCTTGCCACCAGATGAAGATGTCCATTCAAACAACCCACCGACGAAAACATCAGCATGGAACTACCCCAACCTTAATAGATACGCCGTCATCGTGGGACTACGTACAGAGCATGCAACCCCACGCGATATGCATGTTGCTACTCAAGCATTCGACCGCTGCATCGTACCTGCTGCGTCGAAGATCCGAGTAGCCGGATATGGTACCGTCAAGAGTAGCTTGGGGGCGATCTGAGACGCTGCACGTAAGTATGCGTAACTCGGGGGACAGTCGATATGATCAGGGCACAGGTACGAACAGCTCGGCTGAGGGCCTGAGGCCGCTGACGGACGGTTTATCGCCGTTCATTTGGCGATACGGTTATGGCAACTCTGATTTGACTCTGATCCGCAGACTCCGCACGCTGTCGCTGCGTAGAAAGTTTATGCCGTGTCGGTAACGATGCCGCCACAGAAACAGTCCGTCCACAGTACTGCTTTGCTTGAATATGCCTGCATGTGGGACATTTACAGAGGCTTAGTAGGGCCATCCATAATGATGTTCCACAATTGTGTCAATTTGGTGTCAGTAGTAACTTGCGGACGAAGATCGAGATCATCGGAGAGGCGAGCACGAGGATCACCGCCACTGTTCGTCGAAGGGAGTCAGCTTTCGTTTCCTATGGCGACCGGGGGTCACCACATTGCTAAGGTGCAATCTGACCGATCACCCCTCTCCGTTTCGCCTGCATCGCATCTACGTAACTCTCCTGAGGCTTCCTCCACGCGCGGGCGCAGCGCATGATCCAATTGCCCTCCTCTTGGCGCCGCTGCCGTTTGCTCCGAGAGCCGTAGCGAAAAGGCCGGGCCGACGTTCGTTTTGCCTTATCGCGAGTAAGGCTGCGTGCAGACGTAGGTACTAGGGACGGATCGCGCTGATCAGTACTGGAGAATACGTCGTTTCGAGGTCATCAAATTCATCGATGAGACGGACAAAGGTCTGACAACGAGGGCTTTTGGTAGCAAAGGCATCTTTCACCGCAACCTCGATCACGACCCCGCGCGATGCATCAATTAGAACAGCCTGGATGCTTCTTCTCGGAGAGCGCGCCAGGGTCCCATGCTTGTATAAAAGCTCAGGAGGATGGCCGTCGTCCCCCAGGTTGAACCTCATTTTCCTTCTTCACGTCTAACACTTTTCGAGCCCGGTGCTCTTCACTTATTTTCTACACAACCGATCACACTTTTTTCACGACAAACCTATCATCACCAATGGCCCGTTTCTCCTTCCTCCAGGTCTTCCTCTTCGCCAACGGTACGTGCGCTCCCGACGCCCTTCCTCTCGCCTCTGACACGATCCCCCACCTAGTGGCGCTCATGGCTGCCGCGCAAGGCACCAAGTTCATCACCGAAGCGTGTGCGGCCGACAGCGAGTGCGCGTCCGGCTGCTGCGGTTTCAACTCTGGATTGTGTGCCGGCGCTGTGATCGCCCAGGAGCGTGACGGTGGCTGCGGCCACGGTGACGCCTTCCCCAACAACAACGCGGCGGTTGCGCTCCTCGGGCCCAACGCCGAGGCCGCGCCAGGCGTCCCGAAGGCGGGTGTCACCACCGCGGCGGCGGCGGATAACGCAGCTGCAGGTACGTCCCTATCTCCTTATTCCATAGCCGCATTTGTTGACGATTTGCTCTCCAGCCACCACTTCGGTTGCCGCTGCTGCGGCTACGAGCGCCGCCGCTACCTCGGCTGCTCCGGGCACCAAGTTCATCACCGAGGCGTGCGCAAGCGACAGCGAGTGCGCGTCCAGCTGCTGTGGCTTCAACTCGGGCAAGTGCGCTGCCGGCGTCGTCGCCCAGGAGCGCGACGGTGGCTGCGGCCACGGCGATGCCGTGCCCAACAACATCGCGGCGCAGAAGATCCAGGGCCCGAACGCGGAGAAGGCGCCGGGCGTTCCCCGGGCCCGCATGCTCCGCAACGTGATGCGCGTCTGAACATCCAATTGTGTAGTTTATTGTGAATAGAACGGCTTGTGTTAGACGTATACCTGGCTCTTGTGTGACGCCTCCGCTCCCATGAGTGTGATCAGAGACAAGGTATTTGGAGGATGTGATCTACGGAGCCGCCTCATACGTCTACCCCTCCATCGCCGCTGATCACTACGTCGACGTCCCAGTCCACGGCAGGCACCCTTTTCGTGCTGGTGCCGGTGTCGAATGTGGATAGATCGTGCCGCAGTACGTGCATTCAGAGAAAGCAGTGTATGTTTAACTGCTGCCCGATAGAACGGCGGTTTCGTGTAGTTATATTGCAATGAGCCTCCTCCGGTTTTCTTGCTTCCCGCGGTAACACGATTGTGATTGACAGCAGTATGTAAAGTCGATGTTGAGATGAACCGCTCAATATACAGACATGCCAGGTGAAGCTGGAAGTCGCTGTATGGGGCTGTGTCCTCGGTGTTCACTGACACTACAGTGTAAAGGCACTGGTTGATGCACTCAAAACCGGCAGGCTCCTGCATTTCGCACATGCCACATTCTCTTTCTTTTGACCACCTACAACTATGTAAGCTACTACTTCCATACTGCACAAATTTTTTTGGATGAAATCTGGGCGGAAGTGAGCAATGAGGGTTGATCCGCCCAGGGGAGGCCTGGCGCGCATAAAACGTTCGTTGATGCAGTGGCAGTGCCCACGGCAACTGATGCAGCCATCACATCGGGTCACACCGTCGCTTTATGCCGGTAAGCTCTCACACGCTCCCAAGGCGCGTCGTGCGTTGGTGCATCACCCTCCGGTCTTCAGGATAGGCTCTGAGTTGCTACCCGCCACAGATGATCCTATGTCACTAATGAAAACTGCACCCGAGATATAAAACAATGCATTGGTGCTTTTTTGGAGGTTATCTGATTGTAATTGGAAGCGAAACAGGATGCACATCTTGTGGTACATACTCAAAACAGCCTGTTTGCGAAAGTGAACGATTTTTAGAAAATCAGAGAGTGCTTCGATTCGTTGGAAAACTCGGATCTAGTATATTCAAGCATGCATCTACCCCCTGATTTAATCTCAGAACTCTCAGACGCTTCCTTCGTGTGGAATTGTCGTTTGCATCAAGGAGTGCGGCTGCATCAAGCAGTGCCTTTACACTGTACGGGCTGTTGCGCGGACCTGAGTGCGCCAACCTTGGCAGGTTTATCTGTCTCTGATGCGTCCGACGCGGTCTACTGCCGTTCCACATGGTCCATTCGTGTGAGCCATCTATGCTTTGCATTCAACTCGTGTTCATCGGTGCCATCGTCCGAGCCAGCATCTGCTCTGAATCTGAACACGGCCCTAGTCCATGAGGTTGCAACAGGCATAGCTTGGCCTTTTACATATATGCTCGGGCTTGTTCTGATGCCCGCACATATTGTACCCTCTCGTTGACTTCAATTGGGGTCTGACTACTACTACTACCACCACCACCCCCACTATGGACGGACCGCCGGACGACCTGCCCCCGCCGCACCCGGAGGCCCACCTCGCCGCCGCAGATCACGAAGAGCTACCCGCCTATGGCGAGCCTCCTCGCGCGCCCGAGCCGCGCATCCCGACAGGCAGCAGGCGCGAGCGCATCGAACACACGTACACGCTCACGAACAGGAACGATCGGCCGTGGTTGACGCTCAAGCTACGGAGCCGCGCGCAGCAGCCGACCTACCTTCCGTACTACTTCGAGGGGGATGAAATCGCCGGGAATGTGGAGCTCAACTTGGAGAACGAGGACAGCATTCGTGAGGTTGCTGTCATTGTGCGTTACTGCTTGATTTGCGGTATCATCCTTTCTGAGCCTTTGTTCCTGTGCAGTTGAAGGGTCAAATCGGGAGCACGGCCTTGGACGCGATCACCTTCGTCAATATGCAGGAAGTCGTCTGGTCGACTGGAATGGGCGCCCCTCGTGCATTCCCGGTCTCAGAAGAGTCAGAGGCGGAACAAGCCAACAGCGCCCGTACCACACCCTCGCCTACACACGGTTCGACCACCTCCGCTTCCTCACGCGGGTCGTCACGTTCATCTTCGCGAGGCCCGAGCGCTTCCACCTCACCTGCAAACCCGTCATTTTTCACCTCGCCAAGGTTCCTCCGGCGCTCGTCCTCTTCGAGTGCCCCTGTGCACAGCGGCAAGCTCTTGGGCAAGTACGCATGGCCATTTTCGATGACGCTGCCCAAGTCAGTCACACTGCGCCAGAAGAACGATGTGGAAGGGAAAGCGTACGTCCTTCCGCCGTCGTTCAGCGAGCGCTCGGGCGTGCGCGTCACGATCCAGTACGAGCTGTACGTCAAAATTCGGCGCGGCAAACTGCGCGTGGATAGCAAGTGAGTTTGAGGCTCGCGAGCCTGTTTATATCTTTGCTGCTTCATATTATTGATCTCCCGTAATGTAGGGTGGGAACTGTGTTTGGATATACACCGATCAGCCAGCCACCGCCACCCTCGATGTTGCGCCAGTTGGCGTATCAGGAGCATCTCCCGGCTCTTGTGGGTCCAGATGGAGATCCCGACGGCTTCGACGTCTCGGACCCTGCCACGATACACGCCAGGGTGTTCGACAGTCGCGATATCCAAGTAACTTGCAAGGTCAGTCAGAGCCGACCCGACGCATATGATCGCTTTTTCATGCTGAATTTTCCTTTCACGCAGTTATGCCTCGCAAAACCTGTGGGTGCTCATTGGTCTCGCATCATGCTCGATAATTAAACGCGCGCGAACAGCTTACATACACCCGGGGCACGCCAATCCCGCTCGTGCTCTACGTAACCTGCCCCGACGCGCTCTCGCTCGACTTGCTCAACCCGGCCGTGCTGAGCAAAGCCGTACAGCTTCTCCGGCACGTCGCGCACAACCCGACGCCGGACGCGAACGCTAAGGCGAAGACGGCTCCGGCGATGGGGCGCCCCAACAGAGGTCCGAGCCGGCCTGGTGCGGCCGATGTCGGATTTACCGTAAGCTCCCGCTTATCTCTTCTGCTCCCAGAACTTATCTCTGCATCGTGCAATGTAGCTCGCAACCCACTTTGTTAAGTCGGCGGTGCTGTGGCCGCATATGGAGGGGACGGGCAGTCCAGAAGACTCGCATACACGCCGGTTTGATGGTGAGATTGTGCTCCCGAACGACCTAAAGCCGACGAGCTCGCTCCTCCACTTTGACCTCCACGTTAGTCCCTGCCGTTCTCCCTCTCTACTTTCCCGCTTCTGATAGTCGTGTTACGTGTTCAGTACTCGGTGACCCTCTTCCCACCCGTGGCGCCGTTCCTCGCGTGCGCAGACGAAGCGCCGCTCGTCTCGCGTAATGTTGAGATCGTCACGGCTTACGCGCGAGGGCCAAAGCCCCGTGCGATGTCTCCGCCCGGCTACGACCTCGGAACATGGACCCCGGCGTACGCGCCCAGTTTTCCTGTTGGGACGGCTTTTGTGGCGTAGTCGTGTGCGTATTTGTATGTAGCTAGTTCCTCTTCTTTGGGTGGATATGGTTTTCGTTGTAACGTAGAGTACTGTATGCGCGTCTCTGTAGTTCACTGTGGGCCGGCTTCATTCACGCCGAAGCCGGCCTTCTGTACGTACGATGATCTACCCCTGTTGATCCCTTCTGTCATGATGGCAGCCGCAAGAAGGCCGAACAGCCATTCGCTATACATGCTAGGCATGGCTTCCCTGATCTAGCGCCCGACCAAGGTGTTTGACCGCAGCACTGACGGATACACCGCGCGACGTTTTGTACGATGTCGGACCTTCGTTGGCCGTTTACGTTCGTTATCTTCACCGCCAGTGCTTTCAATAGCAGAGTTGTGTCATGAACCGCCCCTCTTTGGACAAGACGGTTCAATTCGCTATGTAGCACTGATCATCCCCGGTGGAGTTCGCGAATATATATACAAACCACTGTTCATGCATTGATGGGGTGTCGTATCATTACACCTCGTCTGAGGTCTCTCCGACAGCGCATCTTCATGGCGAATTATCTGGCCGACGTACGTTCGTCGAGCTCGTCGACTAGGGGTACTACTGCTGGGCCATCCCCGACCTACCCGTTGCTCAGACGGCTCCCGAGACTGCCCGCATCTCTTGCGGTTATCCCTAATCGTGGACTCGAGAAGACCGAGCACACATATACACTCGCGAACGGGGAGGAGAAGCCATGGTTGAGACTGAAGTTGCGTAGTCGTGCCCAGAGATCGACCTCCTTACCCTCCTACTTCGAGGGTGAGGAAATTGCAGGGAGCGTGGAACTGGACGCGGAGAGCCCGAACAAAATCAGAGAGGTCGTTGTGGTCGTACGTGACATGGACAGCCGAGGTTCCTTGTTCTTCTATCTGATCCAAGGATCTCATGCAGGTGAAAGGAAAGGTGGGTAGCGCGTCACTGCCTGCAAGTACGTTTGTAGAGATGAAGGAGGTCGTCTGGTCCACAACGTCGATAAGCCCACGGAACACTCCTCCCGCCGACAGCGAGTGCGCTCGACGACACTGTATCAACCTCACCGGAACCTGCTCCTGGCCGTTTTCGTTTCTGTTGCCCAAGCATGTGTTGCTGAAAGGCAAACAGTATCTGCTCCCGCCATCCTTCAGCGAACCGTCCGGAGTGCGCGTGAGCGTCCGGTATGGGATCTATGTTATGGTCCGGCGAGGCAGCTGGCAGGCGAGCACAAAGTAGGTAGACGTGCGGGGCGCTGAGAAGCGACAGTCCTGAATATTGTTTGACGCAGGATGGGGACGATGTTCGGATATACGCCCGCCACCAGTGTGGCTCCGCCGTCCCTGCTTTGGACGCTCGCCGATAGGAAGCAGCACCTCAGCACTGACAGAGCCGGATTCCTGGGACCGACGGTTATGCGCGCTAGGGTGTTTCACGATCGCGTCGTGAAGCTAACATGTGAGGTGGGTGGCAGCTACGGCCCTTGGCGCGAGGATCAAATTTCTGACAAGATCCGTTGCATGCAGTTGTATCTCGCAAAGCCCGTGAGCGCCCGCTGCATCATGCTCCCGTTCGGGGGTGCGTGGCTGATCGAAAATGTCCAGCTCGCATACGCTCGTGGTACGGCTGTCCCCATCGTCATGTGGATAAGCTGCGCGGACTCCGCCGCGCTAGCGCTTCTCGCACCGGACGCGCTGAGTAAGGCGGTCCGGCTCCGCCGCCACGTCTGGTTTGACCCATTACTGGCCGGCCCTGAGGTGACGGTAAGCCTAACTGATCCCGCTAGCAGGCCTGATCCTATAACGAAACCCGTCCCCTACAATAGTGCGTGCAATCGGCGGAGTTCCGGTTGGTCGATGAAAGCGTCGACGAAACGGGTTTGAGTACTCGGCGGTTCGACGGCAGGATCGCCCTTCCCGAGGATCTCAGCCCGACCAGCGCACTTCCGCACTTCTTTCTCCAGGTTCGTCTCGCGCATCCTTTCCGTAATAAAGGGCCAACTAATGCTCGGATGCGGTGCGGCACTCTACACTGTAGTACTCCGTGGCACTCTTCGCCCCCGTCGTGCCTTGCTTCGTGTGCGTGAACGGTGGAGGTATGCCCCTCATAAGCCGTCATGTCGCCATAGTCGGCATGGGCGCACAGGTCGTGACCCAGGGTGATCAGCGCGCCCGAATGCACTATCGGGAGGTGATTGGGAGCCAATATGCAGCGTAATCGGAGGAGGAGACCGCCGCATTGCGCGTGAGCATCCTTTCCACCGAGACGATACCGAACGGTCGAATTGGAGGAGAAATGATGTCATACGGACTTCGAGGTCGAAGACATGCCTGATTTCCGTCTGGAGTGCAGAGCCGAGCGGAGTACTAGTAGCCAAACCTATGCTGAACACAGTTTCATGGAGGGAAGAGAGCTGCGAGGTAACTCGCGGTAAGACCTGCTGTGACATGGCATCCCAGTCCCAACCGCGCACAGAATGGAGAAAACCGCGAGGCTTCCATGGCAGGCGGTGGTGTAGGGTTCAATGCGCGCTGGGCGATCATCGGTTCGAAAGCCAAGAATGAACCATGTATGTAAGATCATCCAACTTTAGGGCACCGCTCTCCAAACCTTCGCTCGGCATCCCTGTCCCTCATCGTGGCTGCGCTGGCAGTGCAGATCTCGCATTTGGCTGATGGACAGCGCACGTATTGCCACAGGTGCTTCGAGCTTGATGCTGTCATCACGATCGTGAATGGGACTGGCGGATATAGATTGTGCTATCCATGCTGTGAAGGAATCGTGCAGCCCCAGCGAGGTCTCTCCTCAGCACCACATGGACGGTCTCCGGTACGACGCGCCTGCGCCGGCTACTCTCGCTATTGACGCTGCGGCTGGGCACCCGCCGGCCTATCGCGTGGCGAGACGGCTACCGAAGCTGCCTGTAGCCATCGACACAACCGGTCGCGTGAGCGAGAAGACGGAGCACACGTACACCCTCGCAAACAGGAAGGGAAAACCGTGGTTGACGCTGAAGCTGCGCAGCCGCGCACAACAGCCAAGTTTTCTGCCTTCGTATATCGAGGGCGACGAGATTGCGGGACGGGTGGAGCTGGACGCGGAGGGCACGAACGGTATCCGAGAAATCGCGGTGGTTGTACGTAATCAGTGTCCGAGCACCGTGGCCCCTTGTGTCCTCATGAAGCATCATTTGCCCTGTACAGGTAAAAGGACAAGTAGGGAGCTCATCGATGGACGCAACCACGTTTGTCGAAACGAGAGAGGTCATCTGGCCGATGGCGTCGCCACGATCGCCGTTGAGCACCAACAGCCCACTATCTTCCCCGGAAAGCGAAAGCGCATTGCTCGATGGTGGCAGGCTCACGGGAGCGTGCTCCTGGACGTTTTCGCTGACGTTGCCGGGGAAAGTACTGCTTGGGAGTGACGGGGACAACAAGGTCTACCAGCTCCCACCATCGTTCGGGGAGCGATTGGGCGTGCGCGTGAGCGTCCAGTACGACGTCTATGTTAAGGTCCGGCGGGCTAGGTTCCGCGCGAATGCAAAGTGGGTGATCGTAGAAATCCACTCGACTGTAGCGATTTTCCTGAAGCTTTGTGGTGGCGCAGGATCGGGACGATGTTCTGCTACATGCCCCTCGTCCGACCGCCACCGCTCCCACCGCTCCGCGCTTTGGCGTATAGGGCGCAGCTCCCGGCTCTCATAGGCTGGCTTGGCGATCCGGAGGGTTTCGAGGTCTTGAAGCCGGCAAGTATCAAAACCCGGGTGTTCCACGACCGCGACGTAGAGGTTATGTGCGAGGTGGGGTCGGTGCGATCCTCCATGGTGGTCTTGGGTTCCTGACGAGTTTTCATCCGAATAGATATACCTCGCAAAGCCTGTGAGCGCCCCCCTCCACCCCGTTTGTGATCCGCACGCTAACCAACTTCCAGCTCGCTTACACCCGTGGGACGGCCATCCCTCTGGTCGTGTCCATAAGCTGCTCTGACCGCGCCGCGCTCGATCTCTTGAACGCTGACGTGCTCGGCAGAGCAGTCCGGCTTATCCGCCACGTATGGTACGATTCACGACCGGGAGGGAGCGCACGAGCGCATGGTTCGCCAGCCATCGCCGAGTTCACGCTCGGAGAACAGTTGTCGGAAATCCCGGTGACGGTGAGCGAAGATCAGGGCACCGATCCCGGGGTAAATTTGAATCATGCTTGCCTCCTAGCTTGCGCACCACTTCGTCGCGTCGGCCGCGCTCCGGGTCGCCGACGACGAACGCGACGACGGCGTTGCCTTGTACACCCGCCGTTTCAATGGTGAGATTGCCCTGGCCAGGGACCTCAAGCCGACTTGCGCGCTCCCGATATTCTTCCTCCAGGTCAGTCCCGCGCGTCCGTCCGAGCGGGCCCAATCAAGGCTGATGCTGACCCTTTCGCCGCCCTAGTACTCGGTCGCGATCTTCGCGCCCGCCGCACCAGGTTTCGTTTGCGTGGACGAAGCTGACACTCCACTCTTTTCCCGTAATGTGGAGGTCGTCACGGCATATGCGCCCGGGCCGCAGCCGAGGCCGAGGCCGTTCAACGCTCCTGGATGCGATGCTGGAACGCGGGCACGAGCGTACGGGCAAGATACAGGGGGAAGACTGGTGAATTGCGTGTAGGGCGTTTCCTTCGTGCTGTGACTGCCCATGGGGGCAAAACAAATGCGGTGTTGTTTGCTGTACTCCATCGCTTCTGTTACTGTTGACAAAGCATGTGTGATCTCTGTGTGATCTGATAGCATCCGGAGCTGGTTGGCGTACCCATTATGGGCCAGTGGGCACGAAGCTTTGCAAGCAAGCGGATGAAATGCGTGTACCGTGGTCACGAGAGAGAACGTAGACCGAACGTGAACGCGGATCATTCGACATCCCCAGTCCCGGCGTTGCGAGTGCCTGAGACAAGTCCTCCGAACAACGAATGCGTTTGGTCGTACATGCGTATGCATATGCTGTAACACCAAGACTGAAAGTCGAATACTTTTGCGACCCTACCCAACTTTGAGCCCATCAAAGACGACAGCAAGTGGACGGCCGTCAGGCGTTTTACGCTATGGTAGCAGCAGCGAGCTCTGCGGCCGGGCCCGAGATCCGTCGCAGCGCGTTGACCCCGTGGGGTAGTCCTGAGAAGAAACACTGGGTTTCTTGAGAGATGATGGCCGGTTATATGCAGTCCTAGGGTCTCCTGGTAAAGATGGCGCTCTGTCGAGTACAACGGTTCGTCGAGTCGGGAGATGGACCAGTTCTATTGGATGATGACGTCGGTGCATCGTTGCTGATAAGCTGGAGCGAGCCCGAAGCGTCGAAGGCGCGGCAGAACGCGTGGTGAGGAGGATGGGGACGGAAATGTCGCAAGCCCGCCCCAGCCGGGTCGTGCGTCGCGGGCAACGTGTGGCCCGAGCGACCTTCCGGATGTCGGCACGGCGCAGGGTGAGCGCGGCTGGGAAGGGAGCGTGCGTCGGCGTGTCTATAAATGCGCGGGACGTCCGACGTCCAAGGGGCCGTCTAAAGTGCGGCCCCCGCCTGCTCCGGTCGTGCGTTCGTGAATTTTCGAGGGTCGTTGCTGGGCTGAACCAAGCTTGCGCGACGACGGAGACGGCTTGCTCGGCTTACGCTGCATCGATCGACGTCATACTCGTGTCTTGCCCGATATCCTCGCCCGCTACTACCTTGCACCAATTTTCTTTTCCATTTGATCTGCGCTCTCGATATACCCGCGACCGCCAGGAACTCGTCCCCCGTCGACGAACACGAACACGACAACCCCAACGAATCACCGCTGCATCTGTCACACAACACATCCCCGCGAGACTCGATTGCCGATCACATAAAGCCCGCCTCCCGCCCTCGCCGTCCCTCTTTCCCCTCCGTCCCTCTCCAACTCTGAACCATGCCGCAAGCTCAGTCTGCCGCAGACCCCCTCGGCCGCTCTGTCCAACATCCCGATGGCGAAGGCGAGCCCACCGCCGCGCCTGCGCCCCCCGCGACCCCCGCGGAAACCGCCGCCGCCTCGCGCACCCGTGCGTTCAGTCACGTACGTGTCTCACTGCATACCGCAGCCCTGCCTCACTGCTTCTCTACCGTTCGCTGACCGGAACGATGCACAGTCCCACATCGGCTCGGACCACCCGAAGCGCCCGCCGCTGTTCCAGGCGGACACGCATGTCCGCTCGCGCCGCATGTCGCACGACGAGAAGGGGTCGGCCCCGCGCCGTTTCCTGATCGACGTCGAGGAGACGATCCGCGTCGTGCTCGAGCAGGAAGATACCGACGGCGACTTCCAGATCTCCATCACCGATGCCGGGCCCAAGCTCATGGCGCTCGGCACGGCGACCAGCAATGGCTACAAGAGTTTCGACATCCGGGTGCGTTTCTGCTACACCGTGTCCAGGTCCAGCGATTCCTGACGCAGCCCGCGCTCGCTCAGGGCACGTACATGCTCTCCAACCTTCTTCAAGAACTCGCCCTCGCCCGCGATCACGGCCGAAAACGGATCGTGCTCGACGAGTCCCGCCTGACCGAGAACCCGGTCGACCGCCTCTCGCGCATGATCCGGCACTCCTTCTGGCACTCGCTCACCCGCCGCATCGACGGCGACGGCCTCGAGATCATCTGCGCCGACCCCAAGAACCGGACGGGGCGCGTCAACCCCCGCATCTACGTCCCCGCCGGCGAACCCGCCATGGCCGACTACTACCGCCGCGTCGCCCGCGAACGCCCGCACCTCAACCTCGACGTCCAGGTCCTCCCGCCCAAGTGCGATGACCCGGTGTTCGTGAAGAGCCTGAACGGCAAGCCCGGCTTGCTCGCGCTTGCGATGAACGAGGTCGACGACGGCAAGGGCGGCAAGACGCTCAAGGGTATCCCCTTCGTCGTCCCAGGCGCACGTTTCAACGAGGTGCGGGATCAGTCTCGCCTTCCCCCTCCCCGCGCATGTAACACTCACGCCACCGAGCGCAGCTGTACAACTGGGACTCGTACTTCATCTCCCTCGGCCTGCTCGTCGATGGCCAGGTCAACATGGCCAAAGGCATGGTCGAACACTTTATCTTCGAGATCAAGCACTACGGCAAGATCCTCAACGGCTCGCGCTCCTACTACCTCTGTCGATCCCAGCCGCCCTTCCTGACCGACATGGCCCTCCAAATCTACAACCAGCTCGACCGCTCCGACCTCGAGGCGAACCGGCAATGGCTCAAGCGCGCGATCCAGGCAGCGATCAAGGAGTACCATACCGTGTGGATGGCGGAGCCCCGGCTCGACCCCAAGACGGGGCTCTCGCGCTACCGCCCGGGCGGGCTCGGCATCCCGCCCGAGACGGAAGCGACGCACTTTACGCACGTCCTCGAGCCGTTCGCGGCCAAGCGCGGGCTGAGCGTGAACGAGTTCAGCGAGAAATATAACGAGGGCGCCATCTCCGAGCCGGAGCTGGACGAGTACTTTTTGCACGACCGCGCCGTGCGCGAGTCCGGGCACGACACCACGTACAGGTTCGAGAAGCGGTGCGCGAACCTGGGCACGATCGACCTCCAGGCGCTGCTCTACAAGTACGAGGTCGATATCGGGACCGCGATCAGGGAGGTGTTCGACGACGAGTTCGAGGTCGAGGAGGAGTTTGACCTCGCGCCGTGGCCCGTGACGGAGGAGAGGTATAAGAGCCCGCGGAGGGAGAAGAGCACGAGCCGGACGCAGCGCAGCGCGGAGTGGTTCGAGCGCGCGGCGTGGCGGCAGGAAGTGATCGACAAGTATCTGTGGAACGAGAGCAAGGGGCTGTACTTTGATTACGACACGGTTCAGGAGAAGCAGAGCTTGTACGAGTCGGTGACGGCGTTTTGGGCGCTGTGGGCCGGGTGCGCGAGCGAGGAGCAGGCGCTCAAGCTGGTGTAAGTGCTCCTATATTTCGTCGCGTGATAAAGTGCGGTGCTGACAATCGCGCGACGAACAGGAACCAGTCTCTGAAGAAGTTTGAGGTGCTCGGCGGGTTGGTCTCAGGTACGGAAGAGTCGCGCGGGAAGATTTCGCTCGACCGACCGAATCGGCAGTGGGACTATCCGTGAGTGGTCGGACGTCCAAGCTTCCCGCGATCTCCGATCCTAACCTTCTTTCGTCCTCTTCTTGCAGGTATGCATGGTGAGCCACGCGCTTCTTACGCTCTTCGCACGGCGGCTTGCCTTTCTATTGGGCGGCACATACGAAACGAGGCGGGACGCTGACGTATGCATGTTCGCAGGCCTCCGCATCAGATCATGGCGTGGGTTGGTCTTGAGCGGTACGGATATCTTGAAGATGCGCAACGTTTGGCGTACCGCTTCTTGTACATGTGAATGTGCCCTCGTCTACCCCACCGTTATCGTGCTCACCTGATTATGCTAGGATGACCACCGCCTTCGTCGACTTCAACGGTGTCGTGCCGGAGAAGGTCAGTCCTTTCATTCCTGGCATTGAAGAGTCCATATCCCTTATCTGAGCCTTGACAGTTCGATGCGGTAAAGCTCTCCCACTTGGTGGACGCCGAGTACGGGAACCAGGGCATCGACTTCAAGATGGTGCCCCGAGAAGGCTTCGGCTGGATGAACGCTGCATATCAAGTCGGATTGTCATTCTTGACCACGAACATGCGCCGCGCCGTGGCTGCATGCACAAGCCCCGAAGGTGAATAAGCGCCTCCCTTGATGTCGCCGTTATGTGCAAGCCCATTTTGCTCATCGGTTTCTTTGCAGTCGTGTTCGGTCTGGGAGGCCCGAACCAGAACGATAGCAACGTGCAGACGCGCGCGGCAGCCGTCACGACCGACCCGCTGGACCTTGCTATGGACAACCTCGCGATATCGCCTTCGAACTGAACCGCGCTCGAGCCAATTGCCCTGTGGCTATGACATACCTTATTACGGCGTTCTTCGGACTCATAATCAATTCAAAAGGGCTGGAAGTCACCTCTAGAAGCGCAAGCCGTTTGCTTGCATGATACGCCTCCTTCTGTCTCTCCCTGTAGATGATCAACTTGGCGGACATTCCTTTCTTCACTTGCACCCCCGCTTCTACACTTTGCACTCTTCGCGCAGTTCGTCGGTCCGCTGGAAGGTTGAGAAGACGCATTACGTAGACTAGTAGAACGCAAGTGTCTGTATATTATTCGTTACAATGTAAAAAGTAAGGAGCTTTATTACAGTGGATCGATCTATATACGTAAAGTGCACTATTCAAATCCCCATATGCACATAGGTTGCCCATCTCTCTGGAGGCATGCCCTGCTTGCGCAGCTCCGCGACTGCTCGGTGCAATGCACGAGGTACAACATCCGGCTCCACAACATCTTCGGAGAAGATAGCCTCGTAGACGCCTTCCGATGCGTGCGGCCCGTCAGCGTCGTACATTTCTCCATATGAAGCGACATCATCGAGATGCATACGGATGACCACCATCCTAGCACTCACCACATCGTGCCGATGACGGACCGGAAACCGGTGAAAAGCATTGCTGAGGAAAGGTGCACCATCTCGTCCGGCAACTCTTCATCACCGGCGGCGGACTCGCACGCGGAGAGGAACGCAAACAACGCGTTCTTTGGCTTGATGCGCATGATATTCTCCACCGTCAGAACGCCGTCGTGCAGGTAGAAGCCACTTCCAAGCGGATCGGTCTTCTTCTACGTCGCGTGGCACGCGAAGTGCACGATCGCCGCATCGGGGAGTTTTGCGGCGACGTTCCTAATGGTAACGTGGTCGCCAAGGTTGGCCTCGACGACACTTCCTTGGTCGGCGAGCTGCATCATCCGCTGAGAGGGGAGTATCGCCCAGAGCTGGGTTATCTCCTCGACGGTCATTGGTAGTGGCGCCATTCCAGGGGCCGGCGCCGGGCTGACCCAGAAGCAGAACATCCAAGCTCTTGGTAGGAGTCGGTTGCAACTCACGGCGACCATCGATCAACGCACTCAAAGTCGGGGTGTACGACGACACAGCGAAGTCCGAAGTGCAGGACAGTCATTCTTCTGGTAGCTTCAAATCGTGGGCCTCCATGGACCTGTAGATCCCCGCGGCATGAACGGGAAGGAAGAAGGGTCCCGTAGGGCACCACCAAAGTCGAGGTCTCTCTTTTTCGTCTTCATGAGTCTACGCACTTCCGCAAGCACGGCATAGCATGCGCTCTTCATAGCATTTCTTCGGGGAACCTTGATCATTGCGCGACCCGGCAAGCAGTAAAAACACGGGGCCTTTTACGGCCGAGAGCCGAATTTCCTCGAATGGCCGTGATGAGAGGAGACGTTCGAACCCCGGTGAACGGCGTGCTTCTGAGAGCAGCGCTTCAAACTCGTCAACTGCTTGACGTCGTCTCGAGACTTCTTGCTCTGTGACGCCGGCAGCGTCCTGGTAACTGCCTTCCTCCAGCTGCCTCGATATCTTGAGAAGGGGTTCCGAAAACTAGGATGGAAGGCCGTCGAAGGGCGTCCTCATCTGCAGGATGCCGTTCCAGAATATGGCGCGACCCTGCTCAAGGTGCTCCAGGGCACCGCGGGAATCACCAACGGAAATAGCATGTTCGGCTGCTCTGAGCGCGAATCCCGGAGCTTGTTTTAAGGCACGAAGGCGCGATCTCGTGTCCATCCCCCAGTAGGCGAGACGTGGAATAAGCAATAGGCCCTCCGCGTAGGCATGGGAGAGGTCTGTATTCGAATTGCCTGTTGAGGCTGCTTCTATCCTGATCTGGGGATTCAGGAGGGCATAACTCCAGCTGTTCTCTGTTCGCTGCGAGGCCTTCATCCAAAATCGATAAATCGTATGTTCGAGCATGGCGACGTCTACAGTACCCGACCAGTCCTTTGTACACCAAAAATGTGATTTGACCATTACTCCATGTCCTCCCATTCATACCCTGTAAAAACTATCTTATATGATGCACATTGTGCTTCTGCACAACCTCAGCATATTTTTATGGTTTGCAATGCGTTGAGGAGCTGTGTGGACACCGATTACTGGTTGTCACGCGCTTAAGACGAAAACTATTCATTTGCACACCGGCTATGTCACGCCGGCCTCTGCCAAAACGGCTGTCACGGATACCATATTTGGGAGCCAGGATGGCTGTGCGACTCAAATCTGTCACACTTTCCCCGTCGTTTCGGCTGTTTTGCACATGGTTTGCACCCTGGTGGACGTAGTTCCGCATTGGTGCCCACATAAGAGTACGGAAAATATGCCTTGGGTACACTTGGTTGATACGAGGAGCTGCGGTTGTCAGTAGACTCCGCAATCGTAGCTCTACATACAACGTGCAAGGAGTAGAAATTTGGTCAGAATGGGACTTCACACATTCTAGACAGTCTTACAATTAATCGAGTCGATTAATCGCACCCCATGCAGTATCAAATATTGTAGCCAGCATATATATCAACTATATGGTACTGTAGTTCAAAGAGGAAGTAGCTAATTCTGAGCGAGGGGAGCCAGATCAAGGCAGGTGTACAAGTGACTGGTACTGTACAAGTGACTGATCGGGCACTGTATCTTCCAGTTGGAGGCTGAGGGCTTGAACGAGTGCGACCGAACTAACTGCCAGGAGGTCGAGCCTCGTCCGATCTGTGATTTGATTACATCGGCGACTGATTTGGAGGGCCTCCTGCAAGTCGTTCGAATCGCCCATGCGTTCATATTGATGCGAGAGGGCTGTTACCAGGCGTCCCTGGGCGAAAAGTCTCGTAGGATCGACCTCAGCAAGATCGCTGATCATGTCTCTGAGTACTGCAATGGACTCGTCGAGATCAGCCATCCGCCCGCGTTGTTCGAATCGTGTGGTGAGCGTGAGTGCAAACATAGAACGGGTAGAGGAGGGTGGCCTGATCTCCTGCGAGATCGTGACGGAGCGTCGGTAACATGCGATTCCCTCGTTCAGGTCATCGAGAGAGGTGTGAAACTCCTGGAAGCGACGATGTAGGACGTATCCCAGCATGTTGAAATTCCGATGGGTGGCGACGGGACGGTCGTATGCAAACTGCATGGCTTGACGAGCGAATGAAACGGCTTCGTCCATCATGATGGGGTCGCATGGCACATGGACGAAGCACCGAGTGATGAGGCAATTGGAGAGTACCAGCATACACTCTCCTATTCTGTCATCCGGTCGGGATTTGCTCGCGAAGATGATATCACGGAGCAAACAGATGCACGCATCCATCTCTCCAACCGGGGTACTTTCCGTGATGGGCTGGAAGCAACGCCTGGTGAAGATGAGTGCGAGAGTCATTATTGCTGCTGGCGTCCGACTTGCACCTATTTCATTACTGAGCTCCAGCGCAGAGTAGCACAACGCCATGACCTCCACCATATCGACGCTCCGACCACAGTCTCTTCCCGCGGCCAACGCTCGAGCAAGGCTCTCCTGGGCCGCTGCTCGTACTTCTGGCGTGATCCTGGAGTTTGCCAGCACTTCACGGTGCAGTGTTATTGACTCCTCAAGGCCGTCCTCGCCGCCTGGTTCCTGATACCGAGCCAGCAATCGCTCCGCGAGTTCGTACTGCACTAGAAAAAACCCGGAATTCGGTTCGTCATCGATATGTGAGATGAGCTAAAGTCGACAGCGGGCAATCTCCGTATCCGTGTCCAGCAGCCATGCACGTCGCGCCTCTTCGTCGTCCGCGTCAACGTCATGCAGGATTATGACTGCTGTCGTCCAGAGAGGTGGATCAGAGTGGCAGTCTTTATATGCAGGTTCAAGGCGTCTCTTGTCGCCTTAGCGGCCAAGATTTTTCTCCCCGTCCGAAGATGGATGGGCTCTTCTGACAACAATACTTGAGAAATCCTTTGCGCTAATGAGCTCAAAGCAAAGCATGCCAAGATGCGTTCCTTATTCGTCTTTCCACATAAATCTGTGAGCCCGCTCTGAGAGTTCCACTCGCTGTGAAAGACATTGCCAAGGTTGGATCCTGCCTTGTCGAAGGTCGGGTGATAGTGGGTGTATGACAGACAGTAGTACCGGGTGCGTGAAATTTCTCTTCTCCAGGCTTCTCCCGAACGGTTGCCGGATGGCGCGGGACGAGCTGTCACGCTCGTCTGTGAACGAAACGTAAGCACTTACAGATACGGCCTACTGGGTTTTCACGTACAGTCGTGATGGAGACTATCCTACATTTTAAAACATCCTCTGAAGCAGTTCGCTGTGCGCGAGAAGTAAAACTAAGCGGGCAGTACATACTGTATTTAGGCGAGTCAACGAGCACCATTATGAACAATCAGACGGACCACTTCGCGTTTCGCGACTGGGTCTGTGCTTGGCATGTCTTTGTTGACCCGCAACGTAACCCGGCAATTTCACCTGCCTGGCACGGATCCAAGCGTATCGATCCCAACATCATCCCGCCCGAAGCCATCGGCGAAGGGATCTCGCATACTGCCTGTCCTCGCGCGCCAGAGTTGTGTATATGCCTGCTTCAATCGCTGTAGTTCGGCGTCAAGGATGGCCGTTTTGTTCGCGAGTGCAATGAAAGTAGCATGCTGAGTTTGAAGTGTTGTCGATATGGCTGGAGGAGCGGTGAACAACAGCTCGCTTGGAGAATAGATACTGGAAGAAGGTACCTTGCGGCGTATACTGTGACTCATTCGTCGCGGCTGCGGAGATTTTGCGCTCAATTTGCTGCGATGAATCCGAAATTAGTCGCGGAGGGTCATGGAGACTTTCGCTGCGCACCTCTATCGTGGCTTTGTACCACCTTAATCGTTCTCGCATTTGCTCTGTGACCCTCGTAAACAGCCTGAAACGGGAAAACGGTCATTGTTCGGCCTGATGATACGCCAGTCGCACATACTCGAGTGGGAAGCCAGCGTGCACCTTGAGGTACCCGGCGCTCTGTGGTTGGCTCACGGAGCGGAAGGCATCGACGATGTGCGTTGCGACGATGGTATCTTGTACGGCTTGTTCAACCTTAGCTTTCAGGTCACGAGTGAAGTGAGTATCTTGATGCAAAGTCGCAGTCGCCTGAAGGAGCTCCTAAGGACCGATGGCGTATTAGCAAGCAAATGACTGAACGCTGATGGGTCATCACCTGGTGGGTATTCCACATCAGCTCCTGGCCTTTCGTCGCCTCATCTCCCACTTTACGCTCTTTGAGCTCCTTACTGATTTGGACGCGACCCTGTATATGCGACCTACATTGCGAAAGCTGGTCAGAACGACAAGAGGAAACAAACAGTTCGGACATAATCTCACTCGACACCCTCAAAGATTTTCTTAACGTTATCTGGCAGGTCGTTAAATTTGGTGTTTTTGAGGAATGGTGGTGCACCGGCTTGTTGCGACGCCTGAGGTTGACCAAGAGCAGAGACCCTGCGAGGCATGACGTGAAACGATATCTGGACGACGAACGTGCGACCTCACCCCAATCTATTCGAGCGTCAGTCGTGAATCGTCGAGGGGTACGAAAAGCGTGATTAACAACTCACGTTTGTTGAGTTTGCGGTTTCTGACCAAATAAGCTCAATCCAGAAGTGTTATTGGTCGAACTGAATCCACCGAAAGCGGCCTGCCCAGGCTGGTTCGCTTGGCTATTCGTGTTTCCGAACAGCCCGCCCGTCTGCTGTTGCGGCTGACCAAAGAGGCTAGTAGATGGCTGAGTTGTATTAGGCTTTGATCCAAACAATGAGCCAGATCCGAAAGCATTTTGCTGCTGAGGCTGTTGCTGCTGTTGCTGACCAAAGAGGCCACCGGCGTTGGTCGACGATTGCTGGTTGTTCTGACCAAATAATCCGCCTGAGGGAGCACCCGACTGCTGAGCCGTGCTTTGACCGAAGAGACCTCCTGTAGGAGCATTTGACTGCTGAGTTGTGCTTTGACCGAATAGTCCGCTACTAGGGGCGTTCGCCGGTTGCGTGGATTGACCGAACAGCCCACCGCTAGGGGCGTTTGATTGTTGCGTAGGCTGACCAAACAATCCGCCACTGGGGGTGCTCGATTGCTGAGTAGTTTGACCGAAGAGGCCCGTGCCTGACTGCTGTCCTCCAAACAACCCCCCGCCTGTTCCCTGGCTCGTGTTCTGTGTCCCAAATAGAGAAGGGGCAGCCGCTTGCCCTTGCTGTGGGGCTCCAAATGAACCGAATGCTGGTTGTTGCGGTTGCTGTTGTGTTGTACTGCCGAAAATGTTCGTGGCAGGTGCTGGTTTGGCACCAAACCCAGAGAAAGCTGAGCTAAATAAGCAGAGTCAGAGAGGTAGGCTGGCACGACATGGGGTGTGCTCACTTGGAAGCGAAAGCCATGCCTCCACAACCAGAAGGTTCAAATCAACGGAGCCGTCACCGTCTCATCTGCGGCGCGCTAAGGACGCGCCCTGTGAGACGATCACGTGAAGTTTCAGTGATCCGTGGGCTGGTGGATCTCTGCTATCACTCTTAGTCGATGCTTTCCGCATCTTTGAAATTTGAACTCGATGGTAGGTAGGTAGGTAGGTATATTGCCGACGAGGTCCCGGTAGCGGAACAGCCGGTTGCTGCGCTGCACGTACGCCACTCGTGCAGTCGACAGCGTGCCAAGCAGCTCGGTGTGCAGTCACTCGGCTCTCGCGGCGATAACAACTTGTCGTGTCCGCCTTTCTTGTTGAAATATGGAACAGGAGCCTGAGCACGAAGCCGCAACTTGGGTAAGAACAGATACAGTGCGTATATGCGCGTGCGCATAACTGACATATATATGTTATTTCGGTTCCTGTAGCTCGAAAGCCCAGATCGAAGCGATATATATCCGCAACGTCTATTTCACGCTTTCAACCCGGATATGTTTGCTGTCGATCTCAAGGTTTGGTCGCAGCCAAGTCGCAGACGTGGACCCTGCATGCAGTGATTCGTGCTATCGCCAAAGCAGGTCTAGTCACCCGACCGCGCGAGAACCAGCTTGCAGTAGAAGCTGATGCCGAGAAACGCCATTGAGTGCGCCGCGATGTTGCATCTGATCCGTGCTCGGACGATGGCGGCGAAGATCCGTCAAGCTTTATCACCGCTCTCTGGATGGGACCACTTTCCCTGCATAACAGGGATCAATCATGCTCGGACGGAACAAAACAAACATAGATTCTAGGTACATACTTCGCCTCAAATCGGAAACAAAGGCTCGACGGCTGGAGCTCCCGGGGAGCAGGATGTTCGCCGATCAATGGAACCTCTTTGCTATAGACAAGTACTGCGGCGGCTTATTGGTCCACTTCAAACCATACCAGACGGCGTTTCACCGAACTGCAGGATCGCTATCGCCACCTACAGTTATGTGGCGCTCTCGGTGAAACATGCCATGTTCATGATGGGCGCACGAGCCTTGGACGGCAATTCATCTACAAGTTTCCCATCAGCTTCCTCGGGCACGGAAATGGATCTATGTGCAATCTTGCTACTGCCACTTGTTCGTGCATCCCTCGCCGTCGTGTACCCACCCATGCTACTTCGGCACGCAGGGCGTTCGGATGTCGTAAAGGAACTCCAGTCTCCTGATTTCGGCGTTTCGGTGCATCTAGATGGACGTTCGCCCATGAACAATCCGTCGTACGCGCGCTGAGCAGGGATACCTGCTTTATTGGCGTTGCTGCGCACCTCGACTTATCGACCCACGTATATCCTCTATGACTTCGTATGTGTGCATCGTCGCTCCCTTCGGAGCGAACCATGCACGACCCCTGGTTTCATTGTGCAATTGTACCCATCGGGGGCGATTGCATTTGCCTTGGATCTCCGCAGGTCACCGTGCAATCAGCTGGGACGGATCTTTGATGGAGACCGATCGAGCAGTTCTGGTATCTGAATCCTCGAATTATGTACAGAGGTGAGCATAATCAGATATGTTTTCACGCGGTTGTCATCGCAGCGAATACTACCGACGACAAACACAGGTTCAAGGGTCCAACGCACCCGTGTCGAACGATAGCGGGTACGTACTCTTTCGACGCCCATATTTTGCTGTCATGATTCGATCTGACGCGGGGCGATATTGGTAACTGTGCATAATCTCGGGCCATCTCTCAGCTTCTAGGACGAAATCTCAAGGTGTCTGACGTCAAAGCACATCGGGTCGGGGTGACTCTTACCCTTGCCTCGGTTACTGCTGACGTTGGCCTTACCAGACAACAGATGAGATAAAACTTTCGCTATCTACATGCTCCGCAGTTGGCCAGAGTAGTCCGTCCCGATATGCATCCTTTTCTTGTCCTTTGTTATCCTCAAATCCGACTGACTAGCGACCTTGCATCAACCATTCCTGATGGGAATGTCACAAGTTCTTGCCGTCGCTTGCCTGCGAGAAGGATCTAACCGCATTTCATCAGATTCCATCCTCCGACTCCGTCGGTGGCTGGATGGGCCATGCACGGTCTTGCACGGTGTCATCACTGATTATTCGCGTCTGCGGAACCGGGAGGGAAATGTCGACGACCTGACTCCAGACCCTCCGCCATTGCCCCACCCTTCCAGAAATTCTTCGGAGTCAAAGACAATTATCCGAAGCCGCCCTGTCCCTTTCCAGCGCTTGATGGCCATTCAACTGTTCTCGATCACGTCAGTTTGCCGCCAGGAATCCCGCGCAACTGTGAGCCTGAGAGCCAAACATATCTCGAAAAGCGGAAATATCCCGAGGGAGTGATATCTACTGGAGCATCGCGTCGTACGTACGTGGTACATAACGTCGCACAGCCGACTCGCAGGGTCGAACTGATCGTTCAAGAATATACCACAACATCAGAGATGTTTCGTTTTCCATTACTTATTGAGATCCGGTTTTGAGATCCTGGTCAGAGGTAGGGAAGTTTGCGGTGGGAAATTATTGGAATAAAACGTCTCTATTGCAACAGGCACGAGTTGCGATTCCAAGTACTGAAAACAGGCCTAGGACGGGTTCCCCGCCGATATAAACAGAAGCCAAATTTATCTTGATGGCGAGCGTTTCCACTTTCAGATTGTGTGTTTGTTTACTTGAGTAGGACAGAAGTAGGCATTCAACGGCTCCACGTCCAACTTCACATCGAGACGGCTGTTGTTATGGCAAAAAGTACGTCATCCTGTCAAAACCTGAGACCATGAGGAGACGGTGGTAAGAACTCAAAGCATGACCCTTACAATCCTTCATCGGCCGAAATCTAGTACGCTACCAGGTGAGAGCGTAAGACCCTGAGCGTGGATGGGCGGAGTTGCTGACAGCAGACGTGAACCTCCGTGCGTGCTCGCGTTATCCTACTGGCCCTATCATTGCCACTTGGCAGGTGACAATTCCATCTTCCTGGTATAGAGGGCCTCGGATTCAGTGATCATGTCAGCTTCATCCACAGACACCGAGCGCCTCTCTGAATCACAGCGAAGGTCGAAGTGCTTTTCCACAGCAGTCCGGCAATCTAGGCGACCCGGGACCTGTGTTACCTGAATTTTTGGCTCTAATAATCTCGTGGCGCCGGCATGTGGGTCGCCAAGATAACTCAGCAATTGGAGCGCTCGCGATGCTGCAGCTTTGGCACCGGCTGAAGAATGCGGCGATTTACAGACCTTCTCGTGCGGATGATGAACTATCGACAAGCCGTGCATATAGTTCCTCCCATGGCTCGCTCTTCCGTGATCAGGACTGTGAGGAAAGAGAGATCTCACTACGCGTGAATAACTAGGTAGCAATCACGTTGGCATTACCAGAAACCCAGAGTACGCCTCGTAGCTCAGTCTCTGTGCGACCACTCATGCTGCTCATCCTGGATAGCGGCGATGAGGATGATCGCAGCCGAAGAATGCCATTCACGGGCGGAGTCTTCTCCGATAAGGACGATGCAGTAGTGGCCGCGATGTGCTGCTCAACCGTATAGCTCGACTCACTTGCCCATCAAGAAGTTCATCATCAGGAAAAACCGGATTTGCTAAAAGTCTCCTAAAACGCACTAAAACGTGCTCATTTAGTAGTTTTAGAGGGTTTCGGTACCCAATAAGCGACTCTTTCGATAGTCCGATTTTTCCTGATGATCAGCAGCCACATAGTGCATGATGTTCTGCAATCCACGATATCTGCGACTGACTTCAATTTCGGGTGTTTATCAGATTTCGAGCACCTGCGCGGACTCGGAGGAAGATACGGTACGGCTGTTACTGTCGGGAGTATGTAAATTCATCTCTCAACATGAGTCCCATCGTTTACAGCTGTACGGGCCAGTACTTGAAGGACAGTGCTCTCGCCTCCGATGGATGGATAAGCGCCAAGCTCGAGCCATCGCAGCACAGTGATCAGCACACCTCCCATGCGGAGATGCATTGGCCAGTGACAACTTGGGCACCTGATCGGAGTCGGACGGCCCCCTTCCTAATCGGCGTTCTCCCGTCACAAAGAGTACAGTTCCAGCACATCTCGCCTCTGTTATGCAATTCGCTGAAAAGTCCCTGGGGTATTTGCAGGTGCACGACGATGTGCTCAAGCTGGGCAATAGAAACTAAATTCCTCATATATCACCCGCAGCACACGTGAGCATGCACGGAGTACCCGGCGTGTAGCAATGCATAGAGAGCTGACGCAATGCAACAGGACGTTCCATAAACGTGCGCTCCGAGTTGCCACTGCACTCTACGGGTACCAAAACCGCCAAAACCCCTGGGGCGCAATGATCTACGCATCAGCATGTTGAATCTCTGAAACCGGTCAAATACTTCCACCGGCGCGTACTGCTCTGTATCCCCGGTGCAGCATCTACGCCGCGTTACGCCATGTCCTCGTGCGCTCGTATGCCGGGACGCCGCGTCCTCAGATGGAGGCATTCACATGCCTGATCAACGCTACTCGAATTCACTGCCTTCTACAATTGTTACGGTATCACATGAACGTCAGCAGTACATCAGGAAAAATCGGACTATCGAAAGAGTCGCTTATTGGGTACCGAAACCCTCTAAAGCTACTAAATTAGCACGTTTTAGTACGTTTTAGAAGGTTTTGAGCAAATCCGGTTTTTCCTGATGTACAAGGTTGCAGGTGACTCGCATACATCAGGAAAAATCGGACTATCGAAAGAGTCGCTTATTGGTTACCGAAACCCTCTAAAACTACTAAATGAGCAGGTTTTAGTACGTTTTAGGAGGCTTTTAGCAAATCCGGTTTTTCCTGATGTAGCAAACACGCGAGTTTTTGCTTTCTTTACCTACCGCATTGTCCAATTTTGACTACCTGGTACAGCATGCCCAGTGAAGCCTATCCGTGTTGCCAAGGCAGTTACGCAGCATCACGACAGCCAATTTGCAGAAGGAGCATCGGCCTGCCGCGTGGAGCATACGGACGGGCACAGTGACTGCCCCGAGTCGAGACTCCGAGACGGGTTTCTCTCACTTCAGCACCGCGCTTGCGATCCGGGCGCGTTACCAAGAATTCGGAAGCAAACGCGGGTCTTCCGCGACCGCAGTGTGCTCTTCGCGCAAAGGCCGGAAGCTACCTTGTTGAGATGCGATGCGTATTTTGTAACGTGTACGGCAATCGCTCACATGCTTCCCTGCAGCGTTGCGCAGGAGATATGAAATACGGACGTATCATTCATGGGCGCCATATATTGGACATTTATACGCGACGCCGTCGTTACGGTGCTACCGGGCGCATCCGACGCGGGCATATACCGCATCAGGTTAGGCGATTTCAGGGTGGGATCGAGTACGCCTGCCCTGCCATTCGAAGGGCGCGTCGAAGGGTGCAATTCAAAGATGCGGTTCTCATGACCGGATGATGCTGATTTCTGCTATGTTACAAAGCAGTGCCGTGCCGTGGCAGCCCAACGTCTTCCTGCGTCTCAATCGAAGATGCAGAGTTGCCTCCAAGGACTTGCAAAATGACGAAGCGCGTTGTTGACGTCGATTTGGAATGGATGTGTGCGACGTCGCGAGATGCGTCCTCTTGCCGAAGCGTTTCAGGTTTTCAAACTCGTCCCGCGTTGTTGGCCTGGGTACGAAAGCCAAGTTGACGTTAATCTCCGGGAAACCGGGGAATTGCCAGTAATGCCAAATTGGCGCTTTCCGCGCTCGAAGAGGCGCCCCCGCCGTCCACCAGTCATCCTGGAATCTGGATTACCATCATTTGCGCCGCCGCCGCACTGGTTGTCAGCGACCTAGGTCGAGGAAGCAGGTGCGCGCCACGCACACGGTGCCGCATGCGTGAGATCGATCTGCCTTGCCTGATTGACGACGCCGCAGACCATGGCATGGGGAGCACGCCACCGATGTCTCGATACGAACGCCCCATCTCATGTATTCCCATGGTCCCGCTATCCACTCACTTCGGCGGCGCGCGACGGGCATCAATCCACGAAGCACTCGATGATTTGGGCGGTTTGACTGCCCTGCGAGACACTGGCGCCCGATGGGTCTCCTGCGCATTGCCATTTGAAGTTAAGCTCTGAGAAGCGCGGGGTTAGGTGCGGGCCTTGTGAACTGGGTATCATTTATATTCTCTTCTTTTTTTGTCGTTTGTTTCGGGGATAGGAATCGCTCCCGTCCGGCGATCGCGTTGGCTGTCGCGCACCCGTGTCACGACGTCCGACATCGTCGCATCGGCGTATGATTGTCAGTCGAGTGCGCTGCTGCGGCGAGAGCGGCGGGACCGGAAGAATCTGGGTCGCGCGCGCGCCGAATCTTGGCGGTATCGCAGGCGTCGGGATGACGTGGTCGAGATCTCGTGGGGGCACACCCTAATCACGATCCAGGCACCATCCGTCCCGCGCGCTTTGGCCCGTTCGCCGGTTCCCACGCTAAGGATTCCCAACAGTCACACCCTGCGCGCTGGGGGGCAGCGGCAGAAGAGAAGAGTAGGGTGGAGGGAGCACGAGGGCAATTGCAAGGGAAGGTAGGGTCCGTGGCAGGTCCGTGGCCGCGATAGGACTCGGCCAATGCGGTGCGAGGGATAGCCGGGCCCTGTACGGAAAGCGCTGTGCCCATCGTGATCTGGTCGTTTACGTCCCCCGTCCTGAGATCTCCCGCGAGTGGATCTTCGTAAGATTAGCGGGGAGATTGGTCAGATTGGACCCCCATTGGCGTTCCGCCTGTCGTAGGCGTGGTGGAAAAATACGTAAAAACTCTGGCAGGGTCTGTGAAGAGCGGCGGGCATGAGCGCGTCGAGTGCCTGGCGGAAAAAAGGGGAGGGCATGAGCGGGAGGGGGGGAAGATGGAGAGCGAAAGCGACGGGGTTGGTGCGTTAGTGCGGGTCCGGTGGGCCGGTTCGCGCGATCGGGGCTTGGGCCGTGCGAACGCGGCGGCTTGCTCGCATCGTTCTGGGCAGCTTCGCCCGGGCCTCGCATCCACGTCGCTCTTCCAATCCATCCACTCTCCACCCCGACGCCATCCAGCGCCCCCGCCGTCGCCACCGAGCCCGACGACAGAGCCACGACCGTGCTCCCCGCAGCCTGCGCCGGCCATCCGGAGACACCGCCGGGCACTGATCGCACTCCATACCCATCAGTGTCGCGCACTGACCCGGCCACCCGGACTGTGCGCGCCCTCCACAGCAAGCACTGTCACCGTAGCCGCGACCCGACGGAGACGGCAAGCGACTCGTCCGCCTCAGCCACAAAAACCCGCGGCACCCCTTGCCCATGAGCTCCCACCACCAGAACCACCCGCCGCCGCCCTCCGCCGGTGCCCACCCCCCTGCGTCCATCATGCACGGCGGCGGCGAGTTCCGCCTGCCGTCGCTCAAGGACCTCAACTTCCAGTACCAGCCGCCGCCGCCCCCGCTCGACGCGCCCCCGCCGGGCCCCATCGGCGACTGGTCGCGGGGACCACCTCCCCCGCCCCACTCGAGCTCGAACGCGCCTGCCGCCGGATACGCTGAGTCGCGGCAGGGCCAGGCACCGGGCCATCAGGGCGAGCATCTGCCACCCCCGCCGCCGCGGAACGTGAACCCGTACTATGCCCAGCCGCAACCTCCACCGCACCCGCACGCGCCGCCAACGCCAGCGTCATCGAGCAGTTCCATCGGGCCCCCGCCGCCTCCCGCCAGCTCGCGGGAGGAGAGCGTGCCGGGGCCGCTATCCCGACGGGCTTCGTCGGGTAGCACCGCGTCGGAGCGCCCGCCTCAACATGCAGTACGTTCGCTCTCCTGATCCCGATCGCGCGCGCAGTACCTCAAAACTGTCTACAGCAGCAGTACGCGATGTACCCTCCCCCCGGGGCAAGCGTGAACAATCCCTTCCACCAGGGTCCCCCACCGGCGGGGTATCACTCCCACCCGCCGCCATATCACGCGTCGGCCTACCCCGCCCCGGCCCCGGCGCCTCAGACGCCGACCCAGAGCCAGCAGCAGCAGTCGCCTCCGAGCGGTCCGCCGGCGGCAGCGCCCTACCCGCGCCAGCCACCGCACCCGCCTCACATGCGCCCGCGCGAGGCGCCACCGCTTCCGCTGCCGCCGCCGACGCAGATGATCGCCTTCCCGCCTCCGCCCCCGCCCTCTGATCACGCGTCCTGGCAGCACGCGCACCTGCGCGGCTTGCCTCCGCCACCACCGCCTCCAACGCTGCAGCTCCCACGCCAGAGCAGCATTGGTGCTAGCGGTAGTGCCCCGAGTTCGGCTTTGGGTGCTGCTGCGACGGGTGAAACATCAGGGTCAGGACCCGCACACGATCTGGATAAGGTTTCCGCGCGGCAGCGGACCGTGTCTGAGGTACGAGACCTGCTGTTCTTTTCGCGTCCTTATCGTGTTACTTCTGTTTCTGTTTTCTCTCTGTGCTGTCTCTAGCCTTCTGGCTTTCTTCCGCTGTTCGACGCACCTTTCCTTTCTCGGTTTTACCGGCTATCAGAAACGGGAATGGGTGGCTGATGTCTCGCTCTCGGCACGTCTATAGATCATCAAACTTTGTACGGCGTTGTACGGTTTCGCTGACAAGTGGGGTAGGTTTTTGTCTTTGCTGCTTTTCTTCTTTTCTATTTATTCGGTTTTGCGTAATTAACGCGTGCAACTGCCGTTTGCGCTGACACGCTATCAATCGGTTATTCTAGCGCACTATCAGAACTCGGTGCAGTCGAATCGTCCGCAGCCGAGCGCGCACGAGTTGGCGGAGATGAGCCGGAAAGCGGCCGAGGTCGTACGCCTCCTCGAGACGCTCAAGCGCATGGTCGACGCTGAGACGGAGGCGGCCAAGGAGAACACGCGGGCGCCGGCTGTAGGTGGTAGTGGCGGCGCGGGAGAGGATCCGTATCGTCCGCCCAAGAGGCCATGGGAGGAGGTTGACAGTCCGGGGGAGACTGTGGGTCAAAGGGAGGGCATGGGACCCGGGCAGAGGGAGGGGGCGGGCAGCAGGCCAGGAACGGGGCAGGGGGCGACGACGGCCGAGCAGGATATGGAGATCATCCGGTCCAAGCGCGCCTCGACGGCGGCGAGTTCGGGGCAGCCGAAGAGCAAGTACCGGAAGCGGAGCGTGAGTGGTCTCCGGTCGCCTCTTTACTACCGAACGAATGCTAAACGGTTTGTGGTTTGTTCCGGTATTCTTACTGCAGAGGGCGAGTCCGCCGGGCAAGTGCCATTCGTGCAACTCGCGCGAGACCCCCGAATGGAGGCGCGGGCCGGACGGCGCGCGGACGCTGTGCAACGCCTGTGGACTGCGTGAGTCATCAACTTTCTCTCCATTTCGCTTGTCGCGTCTAACGAGCCGAATGCTGTAGATTACGCCAAATTGGTGAGGAAGCGCGACAAGCTGATCGCAGAAGGGCAGACGCCGCCGGTCGACCTTGCGATGTTGCGCGCGTCGACGGCGGCGCGTGCGGCAGAGAACGGGGGCGCGAGTGGCTCGGGGAACAGGGATGAGGACCTCGACACGGACGCGTCGCCGAGGCGATCGTCATCGCCCGCGTACGCTGGCCAAGATCATCAGGGCCTGAGCCACGGTCAAGGTCAGGGTCAGGTACCGAGCCATCAACAACAGCATCCGTCTACGGCGTACTCTAGCTCAGGGCCGTCATCATCGAAGATGTCGCCTCCGTCATCCGCCTCCGCTTCCGCGGCCGGCTACTACGCCGGGCCGATGTCCGGGACGTATCATTCGCTCCAGCAACCGCCCCCTGCGCAGTATCAGTCGATGCCGCCGCCTCCACCTCCGTCTTCTTCGAATTCGCACCGGGGACCTAGCCACGTCCCCGGACATCATCAGCATCAGCATCAGGGGCATGGACAACATGGACAAGCGAGCGGTGGGGCGCCTCCGCCGCAGATGCCACTGCAGCCGGGCAACCCGCCGCCCCCGCCGTGGGCGAGTCACTCGGCTGGCGGCGGGCCGCCGCATGGCCGGGGAAGCTACGGATCTTTGGGCGACTCGCGCGAGGGCGAGTCGGGCTACGGCGGTGGTGGTGATGGGTGGCGCGCTCGGCTTCTGGACGCCGGCGGGTCTGGGGGGCGCTCGCCGCCGCGCTGAAGGAGACGAAAAGAGGAAAGCAAAACGGTTGTTTATGGTATGGGGTATATCATTATGCGTGTTTCCATGATATTCCATCTTTATCTCGTCCTCCTTTTCTGTGCTTGTATCCTGGACTTTCTTTTCTCGCCTTTCGCTTCGCTTCGTTTTCGTTAATAGTAACTTAATCTGTATACGATCCGGGTTAGATTAGGTGCCTCTAATGATCATCGACGCGTTTGTGCTCGAGAGCCGGATCTGGGGCTGTACCGGATCTTGGAACTAATTAACGAGTTAACGAGGGGGTCATGGCACGCTTCAGTGCCTCAATCGTCCGTATGCAGGCCTAATTTGCGATTCCGATCTCTTCGGAAGATGCTTGGGAGATGGGATCGGTACGTGGCGGATCCGGAACCTTGGGTAGATGGAGGGGGCGGATGCGCTTCTTTGAGCCGCATTGCTGAGATCTCGCGCCGTAATCAGAAGCTAAATCGGGACGCGATCCTCCTGAAGATTGGGCGTGCGGGGGTCATTGGGACGCCGTATGGGATCGCGATTGCTTGTTTGGAAGAGGTGAGCTTGAGTGCTCGTGTATGTACCTGCTTCTGTTCATTGTCCACCACACGGCGAACAGAGTACAATGAGACATCGGACGCCACGCGGAGAGGGTCGGTCCGAAGATGTACAGCGTCCTTTCTTCCTATATTCCCTACATACATACAGAGTTTGAAAGCGTTTTGAACTGCGAAGCAGCTGGCTGACGTGATACAGACAGGGTGACAGCGCGCGGGATCTCATCGGATCTGAGCGTCTCAGTCGTTGTACCCGCGCGGACGGCCGTTGGCGGTCGCTGGCAGGCCCGGCACCTCGATCCCCTGCTGCTTCCAGATCTCAATCTGGCGATCCTTCGCCACCTTGCCGTCCCGCTCGTACTCGGCGACGGACGTCGGTTTCTCGCCGTGAGGTGTGGCGCGGAGGGCATGGCGCGTCGCGGGCCAGAAGTCTGCGAGCGACGCGATAGGACGTTAGCAATGTTTAGCACCGCGGGAAGAAGGAAGGGAGAGAGGACGGATAGAGGCAATAGAAGGCGGTGAAAGAGTGGCACAAGGAGGAAAGGCACCTACCGAACGTAGCGCTGTGGGTCACGACGCGGTTGTCCCAGATCTGAATGTGCGTGTATCGGGTCAGATTGCGTTCGGCGGCGGAGGTAATCTGGGGCGCAGAAGCTGCGCGCCGCGCCGTACTCACCGCGATCGAGTTGGGTTCCCAGTGGAAGCGGACTTGGAAGTCGGGGTTCTCGGCCAGCTGGTGGAAGAGGAATTGGAGGACGGCGTCCGACTCCGCCTTGGGAAGGCCGACGATTCGACGCGTGAAGCCTGTCGTGACGTTGAGAAGGGCGGAGGTGGTATGGAAGCGGGAAAAGGAAGCATTCCACACCTGGGTTGACGTAGACGCTCTTCCAGCCCGTGGCGGGGTGGACGCGGACGACCGGGTGCACTGACTCGATGGGTTCGCGACGGACGGGGAGGCCGGCTGCGCGTGCGCCGTCTGCCTGGGCGACGGCACTGTGCACCGCGGTCAAGCCTTCGAGGTACTTCTGGAAGCCGGGACTCAGGGAAGAGTAAAGAGCGTATCTGCGGATCCCGCGTCAAGACGCTAGACGATCAAACCGAGGAAGACCAAGGACAAACCCTGAGGACCACAACGTATCTCCGCCGTACTCAGGACCGGTGATGACCTTCAGCGACGTCTGAGCAGGGGGTTGAAGTTCGTAGGACACGTCGGAGTGCCAGAGTTCGATCTTCGAGAAGGCGGATGGGTCGGGCCGACGGGAAGCGTCGTTGTAGACGACTGATAACGCAAGTGAGCAAACGATGTGCAAAAGTCCGTCTTAACTCTTACCGTGAACCTCCTCAAGGCCTGGCTCCTTGGGGATGGGCGTCGTCGCGTGCTTGTGTAACGGGCCGAAATGCCGCGCCAAGTCAAGCTGCTCGCGGATGCTGATTTCTTGGTCGCGCAGGACTGAATGGATATCAGCTTAGGACAAGGTGGATTATGTCGCTGTACTCACAAACGACGCCGCGCTCAGCAACGAGCAATGCGCTAAAAGAGGCGTCAGTGTCTTTCGCCTTCACTGCGAGATATCACGTACAGCTCATCCTTTTGCGTAGGAGTAAGTTGGCGGAGGTCGATCCCTTCGATCTCCGTGCCGATGACCGGCGTCAATGTCTTGACCTTAGTCGCCGCAGAAAGCAAAGCCTTCTTCTCAGGATCTGCCCTCTTGGCCGGGTCATCAACCACTATGTCGCCCAACGGTTCCCACTTGACATCGGGGAACGTTGGCTGGAGGGATGTGTTAGTGTACCCTGAAGACTCATCTCCCATGAAGGCAGGACGCACCTTGTACTGTGCGTACTTGTATCCGGTATCGCCGTCGTCCGCGATTGCTGGGGAGTAGAATGGATTGAAGATCTTCTGCTCGGCCACCTTTTGCGCGGGGGAAGTCTCGTTGATAGCTACCGGTGCCATGACGCTTCAGTTACAGGTGTTGTCCAGCTGCGACTAGAAAAGCATCTGCCGCGCGATAGTCAGTTCTTATATGCGATTTCGGACAAAGCATGACGACTCCGCAGGGATGCGCACAAGCTCGCGCAAAGAGAAGGTGGGATGGCGAATCGTCACGTGAGGGCGTAGCAGAATGGCAAAATGTTCACTTGAGCGCAGGAGAGTGTGAAGTCGTTATCGCCACCAGAGCGGGATTGCGGCATTACGAGTCGATGGCATAATCGCGTGGTCGCCTTGTCTGCAGTAAAAGCGCGATTATGAGTAAGAACCAAGGGCCTCGATGGCCCGGTACGAAGAAACTATAGCCCCTCGACCTGTAAATGTTTCCGTCTGGAGCGAAAACCTTGGTTCTATAGGCAAAGGTACTGAGCCAAGGTGCTCCAATGGTGGGGACATGACATCCGTTGATCTCCAGAGTTGGGGTAGGCTGCAGACCAAATAACATGTGCACGACAAGTTGTCACGACCAGGAACGGCGCCATTCGTTAATCACCATAGCAAAACTATCCTCGGGTCATTGAAGATGCAGAACTGACTAGGACTGGCTGGACGCGGGTTTCGATGGCGAGGGACCCCCTTGCAAGAAGAACAAAGCGGCCGACGTCGAAAAAGCAGCGACAGCGCAGTATAGAATGCAACCATCATGCATCATGGTTCATAACGAGTCTCGAACCTGAGGCATACTGTGATAGGACCTCCATTCGCCCAATAGAAGGTTGATATCGCCCTTGACCGCATGGGTGTTTGACGATGCCTCGTTCGTTGTCTGAATCCCGCATCAGCGCCGAATCGTGCCTAAATCGTGCCCCGATATTCCGCAGGTGTTCGAGGCATATTCGACTAATGACTGTAGCTTTCGCAAGTGAGGACGCACGCATCTGAAAGACAAATTCAAGCCAAGTATGCAGATGAAGGTCGTCGTCAGCAGCCTGAGCAAACATGTGAGCCGCGCGTGCGTCAAAGTCGAAACACCCGACCCCTTTGTTACCTACCACATCCACTACCAGCCCGAGGTTATACGTTATGGGTACGTGGTCGGCTTATATATCCGGATGTTGACGTTCATGGCGCGGCGTTCATCGAACAGGCATTCCGAAGGTACGGCGCTCCCATATGCACCACATTGACGCTCGCTCATTGGACCTTGTACCCAGTTTTTCCGATATATATCGTGCGTGCTATCGCTCCCAAGAGATTGAAGGCTTACATTGCGACAGAGAGCGTTACCCGTTGACGTCCCAGCTCATCCAGGAGAATAAGATCCCGGAGTTTGGTGCGCCACCACCTCTGGTATATGTTCTGTGGATAGCTCATGTTTGTCTGTCAGACAACTTCTATCTCGACTTCAACGGCATCATCCACAACTGTAGGTCCTGAAATGTGGGTATTACCATGCTTCTCACCGATCCACCAGGTTCGCACCCGAACGACGAGGATGCCCACTTCCGGTTGACCGAGGAGCAGATATTCACCGCCATATTCAGCTATGTCGACCAACTGTTCGGGAAGATCAAGCCAAAGAAGGTGTTCTTCATGGCGGTCGACGGCGTGGCTCCGCGAGCGAAGATGAACCAGCAACGGAGTCGACGATTCAGGACAGCGAAGGAGGCGAAGGATGTACGAGAGAAGGCAGAAAGTCGAGGAGAGAAGCTTCCGGACGAGAAGGCGTTCGACAGTAATTGTATCACACCTGGTACGTACGCGTCCGCGTGCCATGCATGATGTAAAGCTCACTGACAGGGCACAGGGACGGTGTTCATGGCGAAACTCACAAAGCAACTGCAATATTTCGTGAACAAGAAGATTACAGAAGATGCCGACTGGCGAGAGGTGCAAGTCATTCTCTCGGGTCACGACGTTCCTGGCGAGGGAGAGCACAAAGTCATGGAATACATCCGACACTGCAAGGCGCAGCCGGACTACAACCCCAATACCCGACACTGTTTATACGGGTTGGATGCCGATCTGATCATGCTTTCGCTGCTCAGTCACGATCCCCATTTCTGCCTTCTCCGTGAGGAGGTCAAGTTTGGTCCTTCCCGAAAGTCGAAGAGCGCGAAGTACGTTCCTATGTTTTGGTTCTGGGGATATCTCGACTGAGAAGCCGTGGCATCATAGAACCCCGGAATCCATCAACTTCTACCTATTGCATCTGACTCTCATGAGGGAATACCTTGATCTTGAGTTCCGGGACATCGAGCACGTATTACCTTTTGACTACAGTCTGGAGCGGGTGATAGACGACTTCGTTCTTCTGGCGGTATTCGTCGGAAACGATTTCTTGCCTAATTTGCCCGATTTGCACATTCACGAGAATGGCCTTGAACGTCTGTTCGAGGTGTATAAGAAGATCCTTCCTTCGCAAGGTAAGTGAACGCACCCCTTTCACCGGCATTCGTCTAACCGATCGACCAAGATGGCTACATCAACGAGAGTGGGACCATCAACCTCAAGCGGCTACAGGTCGTCCTTGACGAGATGGCGCAATGGGAGCAGGAGATCTTCGAGAAGGAGTATGCCGACCTGAACTGGTACAAGGGAAAGCAGGTGAAACACTTGAAGGAGATGGAACATGCACGGAAGAAAGCTCAACTAGGTACGTCGTACCAGTTGCTATTCACCGCATATTGCGCTGACCTACCGAAGTCCTGACGAAACCGCAACGGGTCATCTTCGACCAGGTGAAGGCGTTCGTCTTACAATACCGAAGCGCCTCGCCTGCCGTCATTTCCGATGCCCGTCTCACCATGCCCAATAACTTCCCCGCGAAGGACCGAAAATTCATCAACGACCTTGCTGCGGACCTTAGGCTCGTCGTCACTTGGGACGAGTACGACGAGGATGACCAGAACCTCCTCACATGGAGGCTTCCCGGCGCATCCGATGAGCCGATACCGGACGAGGTTGACAAGGTGGACGGTGAGGAGGAACAGTGGGAAGACGTAGACGAGGATGATGAGGATGAGGATAGTGGCGAGGACGCAGAAGCCTCTGAGGCGGTAGATCGAGTCTTGAAGAAGTATGAGAAGGCTAAGGTGGTGAAACCCGACGCCGAGGGAGACTTCGATGCGAGATACGAGTTATCCATCAGGGATAAGATGGACGAATGGAAGAGAGTATATTACGGAGTACGTGCACTCCTCATGCGCATTCCAAGGTATGAGATGCTGATGCTCGTGCTTGACAGGGCAAATTGGAAATATCCTATGATGACCCGGTTGCCATGCATGACCTGATCTACTGCTACGTGGAGGGTCTGCAATGGATCATGCACTATTACTACAGCGGAGTCGCTTCCTGGGGCTGGTTCTACCGCTATCACTATGCTCCTCGGATATCTGGTAAGATTATCCGCACCATAGATTTGGCGCTTGTGACCGATAACTTTCAGACTTACGGAACGTTGACAAGTTCACCTTCAACTTCGAACTCGGCAAACCCTTCAGGCCATTCGAGCAGTTGATGGGCGTTCTGCCGGAGGCTAGCAAGGACCTTATACCGAACGCGTACAAGGTACATTCCATCTTTTTTCTTTGGCTGATTCGCAGAACGCAACTCACGGGCAAACGCTCAGGACCTTATGTATGATCCGAACTCCCCTATTTTGGACTTCTATCCCCAAGAGTTCGAACAAGACCTCAACGGCAAGAAGCAGGATTGGGAGGCCGTCGTCAAGATTCCTTTCATCGACGAGAAGAGGCTTCTTGCAGCTATGTCCTGTAAGTCCATATAGTCGCCGCCCTTCCCCCATTCTGAACAATTGTGATCAGCGCGTGAACATCGCCTGAGCGACGAGGAGCGCCGGCGGAATGACTACGGCACCAGCCTCAAATTCATCTACAGCCCTGAACATCCCTTCGAGTATCCGTCATCCTTGCCAGGATTCTTCCCTCCCCTATACCGTTGCATGTGCCGTATGGAACCGTTCGATTTGCCACTCATCGACGGCCTGCATCTCGTGGAGGGCCTGTGCGATGGCGTCCTTCTCGGTGCACATGCTCTTGCGGGTTTCCCTTCATTGAAGACGCTCCCTCACACCGCGTCGCTCGGTTTCCACGGCGTCAACGTGCATGGCTCGGAGAGTCGCAACAAGTCAATGATAGTTCATATATCAAACCCGCACGAGGGCAAGAGGCTCGAGGACATCGCGGAGGAGATGATTGGCAAGAAGGCATATATCCAATGGCCTTTTCTCCAGGAGGGATTGGTGGTTGCCATCTCGGACCCGTTATTCAAGTACGAGAAGGCTGCGATCATCGCTGGAACGCCGACGAAAGTCATCAAGAATCCACACTCGCACCAGGCCCTTGGTTTCTGGAAGATGAAGTCGGATTCCATCGAGAACCATTATTCAAAGCGTTGTGGAGTCATCACAGGGGAAATCGAGGTCTTAGTACATGTCAGGCCGTTGCGAGGTGGGTTCTTATAACCGTTCCACGATTCATGCTAACATGCCTCGTCCGGACGTAGGTCTCAAACGTATGGAAGATGGCGCATTCGTTAAGGACTATGAGGGTCAAGACAAGGAAAAGGAGCAAGCGCTGCAGATGGCCCTATCCGAGATCAGCTCCGAAGATCCCCGCTTCCTAGAGAGGGCGGCACCGCCGCTTTCCGAGGAGTTCCCAGAAGGGAGCAAGGTTTTTTTCCTAGGAGAACATGCTTATGGTGTAGCTGCTCAAGTCTCTTCCACGTCTGAGAAGACCCTTTCAGTCATTCTAGCTGTTAGTGAAGGTCGCCTCGTCTCTAATACATCTGCTCACGCCTTCATGATTACTAGTTCTTCCCATCGGACAAATCCGAGAACGAGAAGTTCAAGGAAGTAGTGAAAAACAGGGTCTCCAATCGGTTCATCCCTTCATTTCGCGTTGGCGACATGGTCGGGCTTTCAGGACGTGCCCTCTCCAAGATCACCTCAAGCTTCATGGTTCTCACATCCGACAACCAGAAGGTCAACCTTGGTCTCAGCCTTAAGTTCGAGGCCAAGGCATTGAAAGTCATCGGGTATTCGCGGAAGGAGAACCGGTACTGGGAGTTCACTGAGCAGGCAATCGACCTTATCAAGGAGTACAAAGTAAGCTAAGGATGGTTTGCGCCATCAGATTGATTTAACTGATATTCGCTCGCCAGGCCGCATTCCCAGAAGTATTCCGACAATTGGATCATGGCGGAAATGGTATGTACAGGCGGACATCAACAGATCTAGTGGTTGACTTGGGCATCAGATATGGCGCGTGCCACGGACGTGTTCCCCGGATCGAACGCAGAAGCCGATGCGAAGGTTAAAGAGGTGAAAGCATGGCTCTCGAAGAGAGGTGTTCGAGATTTCGAACCAGTCTCTCTCTTTTGCGATCAGCTCGACAAGGTACTTTCTTTTCCTAATTGGTTTCATTGTTTACCAACGTGGCCTCCGTAGGCGGCTGTCGCCGAAATACAGAAGCTTGCCGACTCCTTCACCGAGAACAGGACCCCAGCTACCATCAAGAAGGCGATTGTGAAGGGTATCCCGCGTCAGGCGGTCATCAAGCCATCACACGCAGTCTACCGTCTCCAAAATCAACGTTTCGGTCTTGGAGACCGCGTGACGATGGTGAGAGATTCAGGTGGAGTGCCGTTGTCGGTCAAAGGCGTCGTGATTGGCCTCAACCCCAAGAGCATGGACGTTGTTTGGGATGTGCCTTTCATGGCAGGGACAACTCTAGGTGATCGGTACGTGTATTGTTCTTTCAGCGTTATATATATCTCGCTTACACGATGTCACAGTTGCGCACCCTACCGTGGAGCAACCGTCGAGTTCAACTCGTGCCTCAACTTGACGGAGCCGCAGTATATCGCGTCCACCAACCCGCAAGTGCCGACGGCGCCCAACACGAACTCCGCATTCAAGCCGCGCTTTGGTCCCCATCCTACCATACAACCTGCGAACGGGCAACAAGCAGCGTCAGGTTTCCGAGCCGCACCAACCGTCGTACGGTATGTCATTTTGCACCTTCATGTGCCGACAATACCTGATCTCACCTATGTCCAGCCATCAAGGCGCACCAGTGCACATTATGTCCAACCCTAACCGCGGACGGGGTGGTTGGACTAACGGTAGAGGCGCGGCGCCTGCCCGGGCACCCGCCAACGGTGCGAACGGAGCAAGCGCAGCCCTATCTCAGCAACAACCTCCGGGGGCGTCAAACGGATTGCCGGCTCAAGCGAGTGGCCAGCAGCCGTCGGGACCAGCGACCAACGGTGCACGGCCATCTCCCCCTCACCCTTCCGGGCGGGGCGGCCCTGCAGCGCAACAGCAGGTCAACGGAAGGGGTAGCTTCCCTCCCCGCGGTGGGTTCAACCCCAACTTCCGCGGTAGAGGAGGATTCAATCCTAACTTCGAACGCGGCCGCGGGGGCGGACCCCCTCGCGGTGCGTTCAGGGGTCGTGGGCGCGGTGTCCCGTCCCATGTTTAAAAAGAAGCTACATCGTAATCTGATTTATGTCGATGCTTATTGCTGTCGATGCTAACCTCACATTAACGGCAGTATTTGATCTCCTTTCGGACCAGCACTGATTGTATGATTGTACCATGCGCCTGTAGTGTATCTATAATGTGTAGCATATGCAGCATCTGCCATGACGAGGCTTGTTCTAGTGACCTTGATGTTCATCCTATCGCTGCGATCCGCCTTTATATTTCACGCACGGTAACATAGCTTGAAAGCGTTGATGATTTACATTGCTGGCATCACAATCGCAGGCACAACAAGAGATAGCTTCACTGTGATTCCGCATCACGACTAGGCCCCCACCACTGTTATTCCAGGCGGTGACGGGCTTTGTATCTCCAAACTAGGATGCGGTGCCCTCGCACTCGGCGCCCCGGCTGGCAAACTGGTCCTTGTCCAGTCCGGGATCACGCTCTTGCCCACCACCGCGACGGTCCCGTCCTCCTCCATCGACATTAGACCCCGGTCCAGCGACGGGTCGGACTCATCCCACCGCTCACGCGGGACCTCCATCCCGCCCGTCTTGAGCGAACCGGCCAGCGAGCCGCCGACCCAGGCCATGGTTGCCGGCGCAAACGCGGGCGCCTTCCCCGCGTTCACGGTCGCGCTGCCTTCGGACGGCGCGGGGGGGCTGGGGTTGTTAAGGATGGCAAAGTAGGGCAGGAGCGGGCGAAGGGGCGCGTATCGGTCGTATGTAGGCAGAGCGGGCCGACCGCGACGATTCTGATGCGTCGGCGGTTCAGAAGCGTGATCGGAGACGGCTCGGACGAGTTCTGCGTGGAGCCGAGGTATGAATCCGGGAAGCATGGGAGTACCCCCCACGACGAGGATGGAAGAGGCCATCGTTTTGCGGAGGTCGACAGGAACCTGTGGGCGGCTCGTTAAGTTGGACGGGTTGTATGTGAGCACATACAAAACATGCCTTGAGCAAAGAATCTAATATGATTTCCGCCACGCTGCCCTCGTCCACGTCCCCGCCGTCGAAAAGTACCTCCGCAGCCCGCTCCCTGATCCACCCTGGTACCACGAGCGTCCCGCGGCCTGTGCCAGTACTCTGAGACGAAGGCGGGTTTACGGGTATGCGAAGATCAGTGGCGGTGGAGTAGCGGGTATAGAGGGAGGACAGTGCTTGAAGGTGGTTTTCGGCCGGCCGTGGACGGGTGGTCACACCGGTGGGATGTGCAACAACGGACGAATAGGCGTCTTGGGAGTACATGCCCATCGATGTCGAGGCTCGTGATTGCGCCCGGGACTGCGATTGCGACAGCGAGTAGCCAGACTCGGACGGCGTAATGTCGCTGCTGGGCGGAGCGTCCAGATCCATCGACTCGCTCCCGGGAGAGGTAACTCTCGTGTCTCCACCCGGCGTGTCTCTTTCTTTGGGAATTGGAGACGCTACCAAGCAGGCTCGGGTTTTGATCTCCTCGATGACATGGCCAGACAGTACTTCTTCGGGCACTCGAGTGGAGCGACTGGCGGCGGGTATATTGGCGGCAGCGGATAATGAGGTTGGAGGAGGAAGGTAGGTCCCAAACAAGAGGAGAAGCGCACGGAGGTGGGAGGACAGTCGAGAGCCAGCAAGAGGCGTGGTACGAAGGTGAGGGAAAAGGGGACGTGCGGCGAATATCTTGATCGGACGTGGGTGAGCAAGAAACGTGCTCAATAGATTAACAAAACTCACGGGTAGAACGGTCGACTCGAGGTGACCGGAGTCAAGAACGAGTCCTGTAATACGGCCTGCGGCTAAGAGCGCTAATAGCGAACTTGGGGCGAACGATATCGAAGGAACCTGTAAGTTTCATGAGAGGAGTCGCCTACCAAAGCTACCATGCACGTACCTGAAGGTTCTTGAACAAGACGCGCGCAAGCATCTCCTTAATGTAGAGCGGAAGCAAGGGGTGCTCGACTACGATGATCTTGCGCGATTTCGGTTCTGTCATGAGCGAACTGTCCTGTTCCATTCAGCTTTCAATCCTTTGGCCTCTTTGTCTGGTCTGCTCACTCGTGGAAGACGCTCCTGAGTCGCTCCTGCAGCTTCGCTTCTAGCGTCCTCTCCTCTTCCTCCCTCTCCTCCATGTCTGCAGCCCTATCTAGCGTCCACAGCGTCCCAGTGCTCCTCGTATCCCTCTCCGCTTCATCGCAAGCGTAGAATACATCCCTTGGGCGCCCTTCCCCGCTGAATCCAATCTTCCATATCCTCGAACCAGGGTCAATCACGACACGGTCCTCGGTGCCGTACAAAGAATGTCGACGTGTAGTGGTATAATGCGGTGAGGACTGGTGTATCGTAGATGCATTTAAACGCGCGGTTGGTGTTGCTGGTGTTGCCGTGGTCCGCGAACGCGGCGTTGCAGGGACGGTCGACATGGTACGCGAGGGAGGGGGAGAATGGAAATTGCCGTGCTTCGGTAGACGGGCCGTGAGAGCTCTTGCTGAAGCGTCGATTTCATCGAGTAAGCATGCAATCCTGGCTCGTCCTCCTTCACCTTAGTGATCCCTCCTCCGAGTATGAAAACCTGTCCCGAAGAGCAAATTCGTATATGGCGTAGAAACAGGTGTATTATGATACTTAGCGGTGCGCACGCCAGCACGATGATCGACGCGGCCTTTCCGCTCGTCCCGATTTGATTCTATACGGGTAGCTTACAGCTCATTTAATAGCTGCACCCATATACGGCCGATACAGACAACAATCCTGTTACACGAAGCAAACGACAACACGAAACATAGGAGATATTACACTTCTTGTTCGTATGCATCTTCCCACACCCCCTCCGCGAGTCCTTCAGTTTCGTCGCCCTCTGCATCGTAATCGCCAGCAGCACCACCGTCAGTGCCGAGAGTCGTTGACGGATTACCCTCTTCTAGCCGTCCCGGAGCACGCTTACTCTTCCCAACCTGAGCCATACCCACTCCACCGCCTTCCTCCTCCACGACCTCCATCCCCTCCGCGTCTTCCTCGCCCGGCATGGTATAAAGGTTATCGTTCTCTCTGCCTTCTGCGAAGGCTATGTCGAGTTTGTTATCCTCGTCTATGAACAAGTCTTTGAGAGCATCGTAATTGATACGCTTGCTGAATTTGGGATTTTTCTTCACGAGGTTCCTGGCGGACTCCGCCGCGGTACTTCCGTGAGGTGTGGACGCATCTCGAGGCTTGTTGTTTGCCTTGCGGCGCTGTTGGGCGATACGTGATAAGTCGGAATGCAGCAATGCAATGAAAGGACGAAACACGAAAACGACGGAAAAAGGCGAAAAAGATGCTTCGAGCGTGGTACGAACCTTGCGACTCTTGGCTGCATCCCGTCCAGAATCATTTAGGAGGCCTTTTGCTACACCGACATGCCACTCAGCCACTGCAAATTTGGGCGCGGCGGGCGAAACTATCGAATACGTACCTGCGATGGCCTCGAGATAATCCTTGTTCAACTCCACCCACACCCGCTCTCTGATCTTCACCTCTTCCTCTGTCATGATGAATTGATCGAGTTCCTCCTCGTCTAAACCTTGAAGCTCATCTACGACGGTGAGCTGAGCTCGTCGTCTTTGCTCGGCTTCGCTCAAGGCTTCAGCCAAAGACGTGCTTTGGGCGTTCCCAAGGAAAGAGTTGAGCTCTTCTGCGAGGGCTTCGTCCAGCTGTTCCTCTAGAGGGTCTTTCTCGGTACTGGCAATCGCGATATCGACCGGCAAGGTCGGAGTCGGCGACTCCGCTGTACTGGTAGGAATGGGATTCGGTACCAAGGTCGCATCGGGGTCGAGAAGTGCAGGATCGATGCTGTTGCCTGTGACATCGTCCGCATCGATGGAATCCTGTGCAGTTGCCTCTGTTTCATCTGGTATGAACAATGGTTGCTCACGCGGGGGTTCATGAGTCCCGGCAAGGATGCCCTCGTTCAATAACGAGGGATCAATCACTGGCTGTGCGGGTTCGGAACTGAGTTCTTGCTCGCCTTCCCGCCCGTCGTTCCCCGCAGGCTGGCCCTGCTCCTCGTCTTCTCCGCGCTTCCGCTTCTTCTTCCGCTTCGTTGCCTTTGCCGTTTTTTCCTGCCCTTCCGCGAGCTCTCCGCATTCTTCTCGTTCCCTTTCGTCCCGTTCTTTCTTCTCCTTCTCGCGTCCCTTTGTGTAGGCCGGCGGATCAACCTCCTCCTCTAGCCATACGGTCCGGAAATCCGCCAACGTCAATTCGCCACTTGGCGTCTTCCTAAATTCCTCCATCCGCTTCCTCAGGGTGACGTCCGCAATCTTGACGACCTGGACAATCTCTTCGATGCTTCTCCGGAAATTGTTCATGCGCGCGGCGAGCAGCAGCGCTGCGCCACAGATCCCGGCAGGCCGTCGTCCCCGCGTCATCCAATCGCGGTCAAATCGTTGCACGAGGCGGACGGCGTCTGTCGCAACTTGATGCGTCTCCTCACCGAACTCCAACAACGCCGCGAAACGCGAGATGTAGTGAGAAGGGTCGACCAGCGGGAGGCGCAAGTTGAGGGTCTGGACAAGCTGAAGGTACGTGTGTCCGAGTTCGAAGACATTGACCTGCGAGAGTAACGATGTAAGGAAAGGATGTGCAAACAAGGGGCACGCTTGCCTGAAGTAGGTCCGAAAAGTCGATAAGCATGTAGTTCCGAGTCTCCTTCTGTCTGCACGCGACATATAGACAGACAGCCACCACGTTCATGCTTTTTCGGCCCTTTGTGAACTTGTGTTCCACCGCAAGGGTGTAGAGACGCGTCGCCGCATGGCAGATGGACTCGGACAAACGTAAGATACCAGCAACGCTTTGAATTTTCCTGCTGGCTGCGCCCCACAATGAGATACAAGAGCCCATTTGGAGTGCGGTCTACTCACCATTTGCTATGGTTTGTTCCCTAGACTCCCCATCTCCGCCTCGGTTCCCGAAAAACCCGCCCATCCTAGCGCGCGCTATTAGAGAATAAGTTAGTGATGCACCATGGCGGAACAAATCTTTCCTCACTTGCTCCTTGAGCGACATATGAGCCCTGGACCATCGCTGCACCCGATGAAGTCTCCCCAAACGTAACTTCGGAGACTATCGTGTTCTCCTCAACGACCGTTCCACACGCGACGCAGAACCCGTTGCCTGCTGCTGCGTCATACTCGATGACCGAGCCTCCACACTCGGCACAGACAGTTGTTCCCTTCGGATGTTCAGGCTGACGGTACTCGATCATTGCACGAAACACTCACCATGTTTCCAGGTTTGGCGGTGTTACTGACTGAGGCGTAGGTATGTACAAAGCTCGATTCGGAACGGTTGCAGCGACCGCTATATACAAGGCGTCACGCTGCCAAAGAGTCGAGGAGTCATGCGCGGGATAAAGGTGAGTCAAGAGGACCGAGATTAGATGCGGACTCGAAGCCCTCACAGTCGAAAACATGACATTCTCACGCCCCGACTTGTGGTCACTCAATAGGCCTGGTAAGCTGGATATATGAGTAGTACTGTAGTACAGTACGCGGAAAGCGCCGTCCGCAGACATAACGGTGAAAACAGGAGTGATAATCCTGGGTCGCTGCTACCCTCCTCGTCGCTAAGTACTACTATCCTCCGGTGTTCCCGGCACATCGAGCAGGGATCCCGGCGAAGCCATTGACGGAAGCACAGTCTCGTTCACCGCAGCAAGTGGCTCTACCAGCGGCTCCTCCGCTGGCGGAAGTTGGTGTAAGGCCGTGGCTTTCCAGCCGCTACGGAATGATGCCACGGCAGCGATGAGACCGAACACAGCCGACCACGTCTATGGTAACGCAGCTTGTCAGCACGAATTGGCGAGCGACTGGGCTCCAGCAGCGTACCTCATTCTGATATAGGCCTCCCTCGAGAGACCTAGACACAATTACGGTGGTAAGCTATGCCATCCAGGAGGAAGAGAGAGCATAACGCACCAATGAATCGTCAGAGGAAGGTACCCAAGGTTCACCACTAGCTCATTCCAGTACGCATCCCACCGTTGTCGTACCTCGGTGCGTTCGGCTGCCCCCATTCCCGCCTTTCCCTTCGCCTTGCCCAGAGTACGCTCCTTCGCCAACAAAAGTTGCCTGTCCTCCCTCAAATGGGCGAATTGGAGCATCACGTACAACGCCCAGAAACGACACGACCATAGGCTCAACCTGTTCACGTCCAGCTTCATTGTGCGTCTGGCGGACTTCGACCTCAGCAGCCAGAGCGGGAGAATAGAAGACAGCGCAGGTATAGTGGTAGGAATGATGGAGTGAGAGGCGAGATAGGATATGTGCTCCAGAGGATAATAAGCGAGCATACTCCACCCTTGTAAGCGCTCGATGGTGAGGAGCTTGCGAGTCGGGGGTGGGTTTCGTTCGAGAGATATCAGCCATTGGAAGATAGGAAGGAGGCCTGGAAACCGACTTCAATTCGGATCCAAGAGAATAAGTGCGAAGCTTTCATACCCCAGATTCTCCACAGCGTCCTTGCATCTCCGATGATGCTTGCAAGCTTGTTCAAGCCAGGCGCGTGAGCGCTCTGCGGCGCCTTCCGCAATCCGACGCGATGTTGGAATCTGGCACGTATCTCAAGCAGGGGCACCAAAAGCTTGACCGCGTATTGGATGACCTGGAGTTGACCCTCGCCTCAGCTCTGACGTTCGCGGGACTGGCAGAGGGCGCACCATGAATAGTTTACTTTACTGCCGGTCAGATGAAGCAAGCAGGGATTGTTTCGGAGAAGCACTCACTCGCTACCGCTCCATGTACTCAAATACCGAACCAGATGATCCAGTGTCTCTGAAGGCGGCACTATCGCAAAGCAGCCTAGTACCGAGTCGCTCAGATTCGATGGATTGATCGCCTTTGACGTGCGAGGCATGACGTGAAGTTGGTACAGCACGATGATCCCGAAATCGGGTGTTTCTTTTTGAGAGAACAAGTCAGAGGGTGGGGACGAGACCGTATGAAGGTTGTTACCGCGCTACAGGGTCGTAAGTAGCAAGCGCCGAAGCGCGTGATTTCCGGCGACCCCGGCTGCACTGAATCAGGCTCTGGTATTCTGGCCATGCTAGGACCTCTGTCAAGTTTGAAAAAGACAGAGAGTAGTTTCAGAAATGATAGATCCCCTGATTGTTCAGTGAACGGAGTTGTGAAACCTGTCCGTCCATTAGCCGTGCGAACTACGAGTAAGATATGGCGTTATGTATTGGCATTAGTGTTAACTTACACTCACCTGCCCCAGCGCTTGTTTCTTGACTGCGTTTACCTGGTCTCTCGAGCTTTCATCCTACCTTAGGCCTGTGCACCGCGTCGCTCAGAAAATGGCCAGACTCGGGGACCCTTCGTACAGCAATCTGCAGGACGTCAGATTGTGACAACGTCTGTCATCATCCACTCCCTTGCGGGCGTACAAAGCTTGCAAATCGCAGCTTCGCCGCTGGTCCCCCGATAAACTCAGTTGCTACGGTCCTGTCCCTGTTCTTCTAGATGGATGCTCTTATCGGGGATGTTGGTCGGGTGCTGCATCCGGAAGCAAACACAATCTCTAGTTGAATCGGCCCGTGCACGCAGCACGCATGCATCCTGCAGGAACACCGGAACAGACCCACGTCCTCTTTTTTTTCTTTTGTCATTACATATTGGCTCAACAATCACCGAGCCGCTCGGCGTATCAGAGACCGAAAAGGATCGGCATCAGTACCGCTTGAAGCCAACGACGCTGCGATCATTGCGACTTTGACGGCCCAAGGAGCCCTTGCGCGTCCGTCGGGGAAGGTTCACATGGACTTGTCCTAAGTATATATATAATGCCATTTGCGCTCCTGTCATCTACACCGTTTGCAACCCGCCGACATCCTCAACACCATGCGCTTCACTACCATCTTCGTCGCCGTCGCCGCTCTCGTCGCTGCTGCCTACGCAGCACCCGAGCCGGTTGCAAAACCAATATGCGCTATCTTCCCGTGCACTTGCATTGGTGAGCCCAGCTGCTGCTGCGCCTGAGGTATGTGTATACTGCACTGCCTTTTTCATGCATTTGACCGACACGACGCTCGTTGTTAACGTGGCCATTTGCTCGTGCGGCGAAGAAAAGGGTGTCTTGGGAGGACTGTCTTGGTGCCTGGGGGGAATGCGGATGGATGTACCAGACGGTCACGATTACTATACAGCTCCCAAAACTTCCGGTGACCAGCCCACGAAGCACTGCATGCAATGGAACTATATGAACCGACTATGTCAAGATTTTCTGAGTTCGCGAATGTGCCGGTGGAATGCGACCCGGCGATGCAGTGGGCTGACGCAATTCCGTGCAGAATTTGCTCACCACCGTATGAATCTTCGTATAAGATGCCAGCCCGCGCCTTGACGAGGGCGTCTCCCCAGCAGCATTCCTCGATGACAACGTCCCCTCTGCTCGCTTCTTACGTTCAAGTTGCGGCCAGCGACGTGGTTAGAAATACCATGTCTTCCTCTTGACACGCCGTCTCATGTTTGACCAGTACTGGCTGTCGTTTACAGAACATCCGACGATGACTCGCTCGTTGGTACTCCTTCGGCCTGATCCTGGATGCTGTAACTGCGACCTGCTGTTAAGTTGAGCTCTATCTGAGGCCCTCAATTTTGCCGCCGACAGTAACGGCTTTCGGGACACCGATCCAATTCCGCTCTATAATCGGCCAGCCCACCATACACCGGCGACAAGCGAGGCATCGGCGCTCCTGAATGGAAACCGGATCATGTGGAGTCTTCGGCAATCTGTGCTCTCGTGTACACCTGATAACGACTACCGCAGGGCTTATTGTGGTGTCGCTTGCAGGTGATCGCAGCAAGCTCAATCCAGGCATATTCACGCATGATTTGATTATGATGGTATCTACTACGCCACGCCGGACTCTATGGTCTCTCCATCTCCCGGGTCAACAACCTTGAACAATCAAAAATCTTCACCTAAACTACGGACTGACGGTCCGTCTCAGCTGGTCCATAGCACTATGTCATCCGGGTCACTTGATGCGATTGACTCATGGAGAAAAGTCGTGCCGTGGACGCATGATACTCCGTTCCAAGTGGATAGGATAGGCCAGCAGTATCCCTTCGGGTCGTCAGCTCGCGTTATGCAGAACCGGATCGATTGTATACTGACTGCTGGCGGCCCAGTCAAGACATCACAAGGGGTGCAGGTGCAATCTCTCAGTGGTTCTCCGTGGCTGCTTTAAGCGGCACTCACCAGAATCCATCAGAAGAGTACAGTTAGTCTCAGGATAGTATCACCTCCGTAGGCGACCTTGAGACTAACTGCGGCTCCGTCACCGTCGGGGGAGTTTGGAAGACTATATAACGACGCAGTTCTGAACATTTCAACCTCATCAGGAGCCAAACAACTTACTATGCGCTTGACTAACTTCGTCGGTGCTGTCGTATTCCTCGCTGCTGTCCTGGGCATTACGCACGCTGCCCCCGAGCCCGAGCCCGAGGCAGAGCCAGAAGCACACTGCGACATCTTCCCTTGCGTCTGTGCTGGGCAACCAGCTTGCTGTTGTGACTGAAAAGGTCAGCTTCCTGTCCTCAGGAATAGCGTCGAGATGATGACAATGTGCAGCGTGGTTAATGCTACCGAGGGTCACGCCGAACGTCGTGCACATACCGGATCAACAGTGAATAGAGTAATTGAGGGTTAGTAGGCGTGTCTACGCAATTGCGAGTATAATGCTTGTGTATTCGCACACGATGGGCTCGCAGTTATCGCATTCAGCATAGCTCAGAGCAGAGTGAAGCGTGTTGAGTCCCAAAACTCTCTGAAAAGACGACAGACACTGACGGTCAGTGACTCAAGGTTACTTTCGGTGGCCTCACTTCGAGAATTTATGTTTGCTTGCCACGTCAATTCCTTGAATCCGTTGCGCTCGCTGGCGTCAGAGGTGTATCAATTGGCAGCGCCGCTCTACCAGGCTACACTCCGCATGTGAACGGGCAATTCGAATCATGCGACGTCATGCAGATGCGATATTCATTTCGCATCAAATTCGCTCCCGCTCCATGTGCAACGGAGAATCGCAACCGCCTATAAAATACGCCGTTCAGATAGGCATCACGAACAATCCGGAGCCAGGTACGCTCGTGGGACGCCCATGGAAAGTGACGCACCCGTATTGGAAGCGGTGCCGCCATCACTGATGCGCGATCTACGAGCGCTCAGGTACTTTCGTCAAATGGTACTCGCGCTTATCGCGGCAAGGATGACAAGCAGCACTGGTTCGTGAAAGGAAGCACGCGTATAAATGCGAGCTGCAAGGCAAGGGAGATAGCAGGCCCATCGCACTCACCTTGCTCACCCGCAAAGCACGATCATACACACACCATGCGTTTCACGGTCGTCGTCGTCGCCCTTGCCACGCTCGCCACAATCGCCTTCGCAGCTCCCGAGCCTAAGCCTGCGCCTGTGCCGAAGTGCTTGATTGACCCGTGCCCTTGCATCGGGAAAGGCGGCTGCTGCTGCGCATAAGGTAAGCGATCCTACGATTTTGTTACAGCATTTGACTGCTTACGAACATGCAGCATCGCAAACATAGCCGATGGAGGGTTGCGAGGAACTACTGTCGGCGGCTTTGGAAGAGACAGCATGAGCGGAGCGTTTGATACTATTAGTACCTGTACTTCAGCCGCCATATGAATCTTCTTTCGCGTTCGAGCATTGCCGCAAAGCAAGCATGCACGAATGCTTTGAATGCTTCGGCTAAGCGATAGTGCTCAATCAACGTAAGGTCCAGAGGACGCGTGTCCGTAGTATTCTACTGAATGCGCCTGAACCGCCCGGAGAGTGTTCCTGACAGTCGTTTTATGAAGTTGGAGTCCACTGCGTTGACCCTCGGAGTCTGCGACGGTTGGAGGCAAGGCGCGCGTTGGAGGCTTGACACGGTCGTGTGATCGTGAGAAGGCCGCGCGGTCCCCATAAAATTGCAATTGCTCCCTTTACGCTTTCCTTCGAACAATCATGGGGACACAAAAGTTCGGGCTCGGTGCAAGCTTTCCGTTTCCTTGTCCGCGTTCCCGTCCCCTAGACTGACCCAAGGTGCAATCATGCGCTGGATCTCCTTCTTGTCTCGGGTTAGGTTCGTTTGACCGGCATTCATCGACTGGGAGGCATCGCTTCAGCTGATGCTCATGATTCGTCGAGAGATGCTGGGAGGATCTAGGTTGGGACGAGGTGGAACCTACATCTATTTTGCCGTATGTCTCTTCAGCGAACCTATATCCACATGCTTGTACTTCGATAGAACGATACGATCCATTCGTGGTCACTCAAGAAACTGTCCTGAGACATGCTTTCTTCGGTCCAGGCAAATCTGTGCAAACGTCACATACCCTCATCACAGACCGTACCGCCCTGGATAGTCATTCCCACCACAAAAATTCTTACCGTGAAGTCCGAGGTAGATCACTAGACGCCTACGGTCATAAGACCGGAACTCATGGTCATAGCTACCTCGACAAGGCGAATAGAGCGCGACATCGACTCTATGACCCGAACATTTCCCTTCCAGGACGACTCCGATAATCTGCCGATCTCATCCCCGTTGCATGAATCATGTTCCCCTCTTCAATCGCAGAATGCTATGAGTACATGGTGTTACATCCAACACGTCACTGCTCATGCCCTGGTCTAAAGTAGGTAGCAAAATGGGATTCTCGATCGCGCTAAAACTGACTAGTTGTATCCATAGGTCTTTCGCAATATTCCGTGGATCCGCATCTTCTTATGATGCGAGCTTCTTCCGGTAGTATGGGTGGGGTATCATGATTACGGAATTGCACCTTCGCCCGCTCGGAAGCTCGGCACCTGCAACTCACATGCGTAGGCCCTTTCGCGACTATACCCCGGAAGACCGCCACGTCGACTTACTAGAGTCGCTTTAAAGAGCGATCGGCGCATAGAGATCGGCATCGCGAGGGTCCCTCAATTCAGTTCAATTTAGTCATGCTGCAACTTGCTACCTCCTTCGGCGTGCTTCTGGCGTTCGTGTCATTCGCCGCGGCCCAGTCCGCTGTGTGGGGCCAATGTGTGTAGATCTAGTTACCTTTGTGCATGATGATTGTTGTTGATAACCGATATTTCACAGGCGGGGGGATAGGTTCGGCGCAGCTCTTCGTTCGGGACTGGCACTAATTGAATGTGATGTCAGGTTGGACCGGCGCTACTACCTGCGTTTCCGGAAGTGTGGTGAGCATCTCGCGAATGCCGCCAGAACCTCTAAACTAAGGGTATCGCTTCGTACAGTGCACCTACCAGAACGATTATTATAGCCAATGCCTTCCAAGTGTAAACCTCCACATGCTCCTTCTGGATGGAACATGGAGGCTAATCTCTCCTCTAGACTGCTTCCGCGACTTCGGTTGGGACGTCGACGACCAGCGGTACTACTTCTACGGTTGCGACTACATCAACCAGTAGTGCTCCGGCATCGACAGCGAATATCGGCCTTAATGTTGCCGCCAAAGCTGCCGGGAAACTTTACTTGGGCTCGGCCACCGATAATCCCGGTAAACGCACTCATTACGCCTATGTTACGTTGTCTGACACGCTGGTTTTACTTGCAGAACTCACCGACACAGCCTATGTGGCTATCCTGAGCGATAGCACGGAATTCGGCCAGATCACGCCAGGAAACAGCATGAAATGGGTTGGCGGCCGCAAGTTTTCATATTGACAAACTTCAAGCTAACGTACTCTCAGGATGCTACGGAGCCCTCCCAAGGCACGTTCTCCTTCGCCGGCGGAGATACTGTCGTCAACCTTGCCAAGGCGAATGGCCAGCTGGTCAGAGGTCAGTATCTTGTCCCGGTTTCCATCAGTAACGCTCTGACCATCAACACAGGGCACAACTGTGTCTGGCATAATCAGCTGCCCTCTTGGGTCAGCTCTGGTAATTTCAATGCGACTGCATTGGCGTCCATCGTCGAAACCCATTGCAGCACGATTGTCAGCCACTGGAAAGGGCAAATGTCAGTATCACACATTCGCTCCCATAGACGTCGCGCTGAACATTCGTTTGTAGCTGTGCGTGCTGTTCTCAGATCTAGTCCTGCATGATCTCTCTAAGTTACACTTCACTAGATTCGTGGGACGTGATCAACGAGCCCTTCAACGATGACGGTACCTGGCGCACGGACGTCTTCTACAACACCTTGAACACGACCTACGTTTCTATCGCCCTCAAAGCCGCTCGCGCTGCTGATCCTGCCGCTAAACTGTACATCAATGACTACAACATTGAAGGAAGCGGCGCTAAGGCCACAGCCATGCTGAACCTCGTCAAGCAGCTTCAGGCCGATGGTGTACCGATTGATGGCGTCGGGTTAGCCTGGAGTTGGACCTCACTTTCCACCCTCTAAAGCTGATCGTGACCCTCTCTCAGGTTTCAGGGTCACTTCATCGTCGGTGCCCTTCCGTCGACGATTCAGGCAAATCTGGAAGCGTTCACTGCTCTCGGCATCGAGGTGGCCATCACCGAGCTCGATATCCGCATGACCCTCCCCGCTACGGATGCCCTCCTTGCTCAACAGAAGAAAGATTATCAGACCGTCATCTCCGCCTGCAAAGCCGTCACGGGATGCATTGGGGTCACTATCTGGGATTACACTGACAAGTACAGCTGGGTGCCGTCGACGTTCTCCGGCCAAGGCGCCGCATGCCCTTGGGACGCAGTATGTTCACACAATATCGCTCTGTTGGACCATGAAAGAGCTGACTTCGGTATTACCGCGTAGAATCTCCTTCGCAAGCCCGCATATGATGGCATCGTGGCGGGATTCCAGTCCTGAACTTCACTTGCTTGCTAATGCGCAGCAAAACGATTCGTGAGGCCGTGTAACATACCAAATTAAATTCAGATATTTCTTGTCATGCTGGAGAAAAGAAAATGGAGAATATTCACTCACTCAAATCATGGTATGCATGTTTGTTGACGGCCCTGCCGAACTTCGTGGGTACATTCAAGCCATTGACTGGCTCCGCCTTATCTCACCAACCTCTCGCAGTGACTAGCACACGCCGGGTGGTTATTGCTTGGACCAGCGCAGGTAGAGACTATCGCCGCTTTTTGTACTAAGTATCCAGGGCTGAGGCCTCGAGCTCAACTTGAACATGCACCTCGGTGTCTATACTTTGAATTCGTTTCGGAAATAGAAACGTGGGGGACCAGCGGTCGGAGCCGAACACAGAGCACAAGCCGGCGCTTCTCCCATTACTTCCTCGTGACGCGGACTTCTTCCGGAGAAGGGGCATGGCCATGGTGACCACCGCTGACAGCGGTCCGTCGAGCTCCCCAGCTTGGTTCTTCTTCATTTAGGTACACGGGAGCACGCACATGTCGGGCGTTTTTGCGACATTCCTCCGTTGGCGCGTCGTTCCTACAACCACGGGCGCGTTATAAGGCGATGTTGCAAGGTGCTCTGCTGCTAAGGTCCCACCCGGTCATACGGCTTCGCTCAGGATGAGGTTCTCTGCGTCGTTCTCGGTGCTCTTCGCGTTTGTGTCGTACGCTGCTGCCCAGTCCGCAGAGTGGGGTCAATGTATGTCCATCCTACAGCATTCAGTCCTGCCCGAAGCTCACGATACGGCAGGTGGAGGTATCGGATGGACTGGTGCAACAACATGTGTTTCCGGCACAGTGGTAAGATTTTACGTTGACGGAGCGGCACGTTCTCAACCGACGCGGGCCTACAGTGCACCGAACTCAACTCTTATTACAGCCAATGCCTCCCCGGTGTAAGCCATCGCTGCGTGACTTATCTCTCGATACCCATCACTGACCTCATTTCGCCAGACCGCGACCACTGCTCCCAGCGGCGGATCATCAACCACCAGCGCTGCCAGCGCACCTTCTTCAACGGCGACTGTCGGCCTCGCGGTCGCTGCCAAAGCCGCCGGCAAAACCTACTTCGGCTCTGCTACCGACAATCCAGAGTTGACCGACACAGCCTACGTCACCATCCTGAACCAAACTTCCGAATTCATGCAGCTGACGCCTGGAAACAGTATGAAATGGGTGAGTTGGCATTCACACGATGTTGCTCGGATTTGAACGTGTTCCGGATATAGGATGCTACCGAGCCTGAACAAGGCGTCTTCGACTTCAGCGGCGGAGACCAAGTTGTCAACCTCGCGAAGGCCAATGGCCAACTCGTCCGCGGACACAATTGCGTCTGGTACAACCAACTCCCGTCTTGGGTGCGGAAATTTTGCGGGTTTTCCATTGGAGTTGGCGCTCACTGCTGGTCTTGCATAGGTCTCCGGCGGTAGCTTCACAGCAGCCGAGCTGACCTCCATCGTGCAGACGCACTGCAGCACCATCGTCAGTCACTGGGCAGGCGATATTTGTGAGCAAGCGTTTGTCATATCCATACGACCGTATCCTAACCATCTGGATCAGACTCGTGGGATGTCATCAACGAGCCCTTCAACGACGACGGCACCTGGCGCTCCGACGTCTTCTACAACACCCTCGGTACCGACTACGTCCCTCTCGCGCTCCAAGCTGCCCGCGCTGCGGACCCGAACGCGAAGCTGTACATCAATGACTACAACATCGAGGGCAGCGGCGCCAAGGCAACCGCGATGCTGAACCTCATCAAGTCGCTGCAGTCGCAGGGGGTGCCGATCGACGGCGTCGGGTTCCAATGCCACTTCATCGTCGGCGAGCTCCCGAGCACGCTGCAGACGAACATCGAGGCGTTCACCGCGCTCGGGATCGAGCTCGCGATCACCGAGCTCGATATCCGCATGACGCTGCCCGCGACGGACGCGCTGCTCGAGCAGCAGAAGCAGGACTACCAGACCGTCATCGGCGCGTGCAACGCCGTCGAGGGGTGCATCGGCGTCACGATATGGGATTACACGGACAAGTACTCCTGGGTGCCTTCGACGTTTTCGGGCCAGGGCGCGGCTTGCCCTTGGGACGAGGTGCGTATTCCTTGGTGCGGTTCGCTACGTTTGACGGATGCTGAGGTTGATGATAGAATTTCGTGCGCAAGCCCGCGTACGACGGTATCGTCGCTGGCTTCCAATCCTAGATGGGTCATGTTTTCATCTTGTGTTCTTCGTCTTACCGGCGAGTTCGTGTGTGAAATACCGGAATGTACTCTACATCCAGCTGTGGGATCGAGCGGAATCGAGATATCGGCTGAACACTCCGCCTAGAACAAGCCGAGAGCTGCTGAGCGTCCAGTCGCTGATCATGAGCCAGTGCATGTAAGAGGGATAAACGTATGGGAGACCTTAAAAATCCTACGAGAAACCTTCCCTTGCCCGCTGATATCACTTCTACACGGTGATCCGCGTTCATTGTGAGCAAGAAGATACAAACATATGAAGACCGATATGGTCGCGCTCAGATAACCACGTGCCGGCATGTGCCGAAGCTGATGCCGAAGCTGATGCCGGGCTGATCTGGCTGACATAGCTGCATGGACCATGGACACCAGGTTGAGCAAAGCGCTGCACCAAGGAGTCGCCAACAGAATTTTTGGATATCTTTGGCAACAATTAATTATGTGGCACATTGGTCTAGTGGGTCCATTACCTAATATAAGGCTTACCATGTATGTCGATATCAGAACGTGCACCCTGTTTTGCTCTACCATTCTGTGCGACAAACACACCGACATGCCTGATCCACCAGGACACCATCCAGCTGAGGAAGTCCAGGCTACTTTCACCTGTGGTGGCCAGGTCTGCCAGTGTTGCTTTGTACGGTTTCAGCCTGGCAAAACAACCTTTACTACTGTGCTCAGCTCTCGTTCATCGCGTTCTGGCGAAGCGTTCAGAATATGCTGTGTGGCCTGTACAGAGTATTATAGAATGAAGGCTGCTGCAAGTGAGTCCACATTGTGACAGGCATCCGTGTTATACACACAACATTGTCTTCAGCTTCCTCGTGGTCATCGTTGCATACAAGTGCTCCACTCTATAGCGAGGCTATTCATCAAGATGTCTCTGCAGCTCAGCGAGGGCAAGGTATGTTCTAAAGCTACCTCCCAGCCCTATACCAGTTGACTCTTCTCAGGAACAGCTCCTATTCAGCTAATTGGCACGGCGCATGGACTTTCTGGGCCCCAAGTTTCTTTGATCCCTCCACAAGTAGGCCGACGGAGTATCCACTCACTGCACCCTGTCAGTGCTGTCCTTCCTGCTGTCCCTCGGGTAGCACAGGTGACAGGCACACCTATTGGCTACACCCCAGCGCATGGTCAGCTTGGCTCTCAGCTTGCTATATACCAGTCTCATGCTAGCGGCTTGTCTGAAACATTCAACGCGTCTGTCTTGATGGGTCGAATTGTCTGTAGTGGGAGCAGCCAGAAGCTTGAGAACATTGGAGTATGCCAGCAACATTTCTATAAGACTTATCTAACTTTGATGAATCACGTCTCCCATAGGATATTGGCATCGGTGTCCCAGCAATCCCTGCACGTATTGGATTAGCAGAGCTCAAGCAATGCCTCTTTCACGCTCTTGCTCCTCGGTACAACAAGTGGTCGGAAAACTATCCTCTAGAACTTGATGCTATAAACGTTCACTACAAGAAGCAGATTACGCCCCTCCTCCCAATGTCTCCAGATATTAATATTGTCTGGCGATTCTTGGTGAAGAAAGGAGGGGGCAAGAATGCTGTTGAAAGCTTTCAGCCAGATACTGAGCTTCCTCTCTGGCTCGTCGTTGAAGAAGAGATGTATGATCGTATTATAGGTCATATCTCACAGACACAGTCTACTTCTGAGGCCAGCTATGTGAGTCACTCTTACATTGCATTTCTCTTCCAAGAACTTACCTCGCTCCTTAGGATGATCAGGCCCAAACAGAAAGACACAAAATGTCTGGCCGAATATCACCAACTTTGACATACATGAGTCCCTCCCAGGAGCCAATTCAGTCTCTCACAGACAGCTCGCGGGCGAAATCAGTAAGAGTCAGATTCTTGATACTATTGTCTATGCTGAGCGTACTCCTCTAGACTGAAAGAACACTGACCACCACTCGTTCGCCTCCTGGTTCACCTCCAGCTACACCTCCTCCATCCAAGCGGCTGATGACTGCAGAATTGTTCACCTCCCCGAGTCGTTATAAGGACAGACTTGATGCTGCATTGAGCGCTCAGATGCGTCTGGACCCTGTTCAGCTTCGTGACATATGTATGTGATTTCTCAGCTGCTATTTCTCTAATCGAATTAAGTCCTCTCTTAGTGGGCAGGAAGTTCTATCCATCTGTCAGCTTTTATCATCTTCCCAAGCTCTTGCTCAGCCAACTTCTCTCCCATCAAGATCATGTACCTATCACAGGCAATTCCATGCTCCTTCAATACTGCAAGGAGCTCGAGGGTACCTTGGTCGTCGACATTGCCAATCAGATCGGCGATGGGTCCTTCAAGACTGCACACAAAGCCGAGGTGTCTGTGAGGACTGGATCTCTTCCCCAGTTGCTTCATGGCACTGTCTGTGCCAAGCAGGTTTATGTGGTCTTGGATAAGAAGCAGAGACATCGTTTAGATGGGATGAAAGAATTGCGCGAGTGCTATGGCGAACTCAACAACCTTGCATGGGGTTCTGCCCTTCTTCACGATGTTTATGCCTTTATGGCCCGTGAGGAACAGAATCTTGGCCCTCTGCCCTGGGACTGTCCAAAGATGCAGTTCGTCGAGGCTATGCTTGCCATTTGTCAAGGCCCACAGGAGAAGATTTTCCTTATCAAACAGTGGATCCCGATTGAAGATGGCTTCTACAAGTACATTAACAACAATGTTCCTATTCCTGACACCTTTGCTGACGAGGACTTGAATACGCGCGCCGAGTTTTTGTCGTTTTCGCAGCACGTTCAATGGGTTAAGAGTGGTCAGAAAGTATTTGTCTCGGATCTACAAGGTATGTCCATCGGCGTGCATCTTGCTCAGACACTAATGGGTGCATCCAGGTGGTCGAGACCTCTTAACTGATCCACAGATCATGACACATCCGTAAGGCGTGAAGTAAATCCACCATCCTAAACCTGACCATGCATCTTTGCTAGGTCTATGGGTGATGTTTTTGGAGATGGAAACGTCCCATCAGGATTTCTCTGCTTCACCCAAAAGCATCGATGCAACAGGTACTGCTCATACTATAAACTGCCTATCCTTCCTATCAAGACTATTCATTGCGGTGCGGGCGTAGCCTCATCTTCAGGTCATCTTAGTGCAATGAGTGTCTCATTGGACGATTAGTTACACTTACCCTACTCTATATACCATTTGATGTACAAGGTCTTCAACAGACCTAAAAATGAATCAAGATGCTTCAACGCTCACATTGCTCTTGTCTGAGTATAATATGCAAACACGAGTTATCATTCTATGGGATACCTGTTGAAGATGTCCATGTATGTCTATAACATGGGGAGTAAACTAAACCATATCAGAGGAGGGGGCCAAAAGCTCCTGGAGGAGCTCATCGCCAGCAAAGGAATATATCGCCAGCCAATCCTCCCATGCATGTGTCTGCTGTGTATCTAAAACACGCTTCAGCTCTGGATTGTAGGTTGCCAGGGACTTGGCATCCTGGAACTGGTAGTCGTGCCATCTAAAAAGGGAGCCTGCAGTATACATTGTTAGGATCGCCGGATTGAACCTTGAGGGATAATAGTGTTGCAGTGGCGAACCACAGCGCTGGGGAAGAAGATGGTACCCCCTGGAGGAAATTCGACCAAGAGGCCAAGTTCCCATAAGCACATATGACCGCTGACCTCATGATCATAGTCACCAAGGCTGTGAACGGCACACTGGCCAGCAGCATAGTTTGCTGAGTCACGGTGGTCCTTGGTGACGACTGAGCTGCCAAGGTTGAAGGTAATCGCAGAAAATGTGCAGTCAGGAAAGGGTTCGTGCAGCTCAGGCTGGTTGTCCATAATCTTCTTCTTCACCAACATCTGAGAAAAATCCCATGACTATACAGCACTACATAGTCCAATATAGCATCCATAGTTCCATAGCAATGTCAATTTGTATGGTTGCTATGGAGCTGCCTGCAGTTGCTATAGAGGTACCTGCCAGTGCTATAAAGTGCTATGGGTGCTATAGATCACACTGCCATGACTAAATAGCACAGAGCCAATGCTATGGGCACTACAGACACTATGGCAATTTGGTAGTCATCATATGCTCAGTAAATGCCATGATTAATCAGACAAAAAACTAAAATGTTTGATTTTGAAAGAAAATATTTGGAT